GCTCTGCCTTAGACTGTGTGGGACTGCACAAGCTAATAAAAAACAACAAAACCAGAAAAGACAAATCATGGTAACCCTTTGAACAATCCTGAAATATTGTCAGTATAGTCAGGGGTTAAAATGTTGAACTAGGACTGGGTTCAAATCCCTGTTCCACTGTGATCTTTGGAGAGCCACTACTGACCAGAACAAATAGTACTCGACAAGAACCAGTGGCCTGACTCTTCATTCTTCTTCTTTGGCGATCACTCATAACTGAGAAAGATTGTCTTCCATGAACATGGTCTTAACCGTGAGTCTGTAAGTGACTGTGAATGCCAATTCTGGATCCACATGTCCTTCCACAGTGGGGACATAGGCCTAACTCTATACTACAAGGATAGGGAGCCTATGGCGCCTCACCTGTTTTTGAACTACAACTCCTATCATCCTTGACCTCTGGCCATGTTGACTGGGGCTGCAGAGAAATGGAATCTGTTAATATCTGGAGGATCACAAGTTTCCCATCCCTGCTGTTGTTTAGTCGTGTTTAGTTTAGTCGTGTCCTACTCTTTGTGACTCCATGGACCAGAGCACACCAGGCACTCCTGTCTTCCACTGCCTCCCGCAGTTTGGTCAAACTCATGCTGGTAGCTTCGAGAACACTATCCAACCATCTCATCCTCTGTCATCCCCTTCTCCTTGTGCCCTCCATCTTTCCCAACATCAGGGTCTTTTCCAGGGAGTCTTCTCTTCTCATGAGGTGGCCAAAGTATTGGAGTCTCAGCTTCAGGATCTGTCCTTCCAGTGAGCACTCAGGGCTGATTTCATTCAGAATGGATAGGTTTGATCTTCTCGCAGTCCATGGGACTCTCAAGAGTCTCCTCCAGCACCATAATTCAAAAGCATCAATTCTTCGGCGATCAGCCTTCTTAATGGTCCAGGTCTCACTTCCATACATCACTACTGGGAAAACCATAGCTTTGACTATACAGACCTTTGTTGGCAAGGTGATGTCTCTGCTTTTTAAGATGCTGTCTAATCCCTGCTGTACAAGATAACAAAAAAACTAAAAAAACTGATGGCTGCAGAATCTCACAACGAAGCAGAAAAAAGGCAGAAAGGAAGTCATGGGTGCAAGAATGCCCCTTAAACTCAAAACCTGGGGGTTTCCTCCCATTGCAAATAGCCTCTTTGGTCAAATTCCACACTATACCACTTAAAGCACATAACATTTCCCAAAGAAACCTGGAAACTGTAGTTTAAGGGTGCTGGGAATTATAGCTCCATGACCAGGCAACTACAATTCCCAGGATTCTTGTGGGGGAAGGCATGTGCTTTAAAAGTACGGTGTGGATGTGACCTATGTCCGAGCCCTATTTCGCCCTGAATTTCATGTGCCCATGGAGGAAATTCCCCTGATCTCTCTGCACCCAACATTCTTTTTGTGACCCTGAGCCAGGATTTCCGATAGGGCTGCTGATCTTTGGAGAAAGTGCCCAACACTGGGAAGTTAAACAGGTGGAGCTTTCCTGGCTGCTAGAAACAGTGCTTAGGGAAGCTTCACCTGTTGAATTTCAGCCATCCCACCATTGTTCAAGCCCTTATGAAAGAAACAAAACAAGGCAGCAATTCTCCCCACCCCAAACTGCCCCTGCAGCAGGATGAAGCTTCATGTGATGGAATGGAGATCACTGAAGACAGGAATCTGAGTCTGAGTAGTGAAGGGATGACTTTTTTAAAATGTGGGACCATGGGGTGAGAGATGAATTTTCGGTTTCAAAATGCCTCGGGCCAGCTCTGCTCCACAGCCTCCTTCTTTCCCTGCTTTTCTTTCTTCAGGAGACTTGGAGAATTCTGACAAAACATATTAAAATGTCAAGCAAAATAAAATAAGTGGAACCACCTGCATCTGGGAGGAAATCAGCCCCAAGAAAGAAAGAACTTGTTGGCCTTCCAGAAGATCCCAGGCGTTGGCTCATCCCCTGCCTTAAGTTATCACAGGGCAAGGAGGACCAAGGGAGAAGAACAAGAAGAAGAAGAATCTGCTCTGCAGGATTGCCAAGCAGGCATGAACTCACAATTCAGCAGGTGCAGGGTTTTTATCCCCAGCATGGAAAAACAATGGAGAAGGCTTCACCCTTTGAATTTCTGAGTATTGTAAAAGGCACGGGAACGACTCACTCTAGCCGGCCCTTGATGCTGTCAACCACACCCTTCCTTGACTTTGTTTTGCACCCTCTTGGAGGTGTTTTTGCTTGTTTGGGGTGCATCTTCAATCTCTGATAATGCCTTTTGCTTCCCTGGATGGAGGATAGAGGGCGTGTTGGTGTGCATGTGCAGAAACATGCCTACCATAAAAAGGTAAAATTGACATCCATTGCTCTGCTCACTTTTTGCCCCTTCCCCCTCTCAAAGGTTGCCCAGAAGGGAATCAGAGAATCATAGAATTGGAGAGCTGAAAGGGACCCTGGGGATCATCATACAACCGCCTGTAATGCAGGAATATGCAGCTGTCCCACACGGGGATTGAACTTGAAACCTTGGCATCATCAGCACCATGCTCTAACTTTCTAGGAATGTGGCCCTTAAGCTGAAATGGGCCTGTCAATGGCTTCTAACTGTATTGGTATTTGCAGCCTCCTGATTGCCTATTACAGGTATGTCTCTGTATGAATGAATGAATGGTTTATGAAGGTCACAGAACAATGAAGTGACTCTTTATTGCTTTGTAGGCTCTCCCCTGCCCCATGCACAGCCACACCCAGAACAATGACACATACAGAAAGTGGGGGCTCCTCTGCCTCTGGGTAGCAATGCTTCTTCAGCAGTGCAATTCCTTTACCTGTCTATTCAGAAAGGGCTGTGCTTTTCCTTCCTACCCGAAAACAGCCAGCAAGAACATCACTGAGCTGAAAATGTCGAAACCATGGAGGCACCCAACTTCTTGCTTCTGGAGCGCTCTCGTTCTGTGTGCTCCGTTAACTATGAAATCCCTAATTTGGGTGCCTCGCCTCTTTCCCCAGGCTGCAAACCTGGGCGGTGGTGGTGGCCAGCTCTCAGAGAGCTGCTGTCCACCTGTTGGTGGCTATGTGCCCATCTCTGTAATAGCACCCACTGTGTCCGTGTGTCCAAATGATGAACTGGCACAGCTTCATTGGAGGGGATCCAAAATTATAGGGTTTGTAGTTAAGGAAGCTCGGTGGCATCACAGATCTGGTGCCTGGGTGGGAGACCTGTGCCTTGGCTGGCAGAGCTTAAGGTGAAAGGGTTTTTCATCTGCAAAGCAGATTCCATTATTCATTTGAAAATGCCCTCTGTCCGAGGACCCACGTGCACTTGGCTGAGGTTACTTGACCAGTGTGTATGTGTGTCTCAGTAGGTCCTTCCCAGGCTGTTAAAGTTCCCTGTGGCTTGTATCTACCTAGGCTATTATAATACAATAATTGCTGCCAGTGCCTAGGACCTAATTATAATTTCTCCATTGCTGCTTCATTCCTACCTACCTAGGCTAGCGTAAGAATCCCCTCACTGATGCCTAGTTGGCAAGTACAGTATTCATTCCTTAAATATACTTTGGAAATTTGAAGGCTAGCACACAAACACCAGGATCCACCTGCCTGGAAATTTACAGGGTTCACCCCTTTTGTGGACCTACTATGTCTCCAGCTTTCATACACCTGTGTGGGAAAAAACCCAGAAAGTTATGGCCAGTTTAATTTTGATTTTTTAGATATATAAATAAAAATGAAAATGTAAAGTTTAAATGTGGCTATCACAGGGGGCCCTTGATCTGCCTCTCTGAAATTTAGCAGGGTTAATCGCCTCTTGTGGGGGCTACTGCACCTTCAGGTTTCATGCACCTCTGTGGAAAAGAAAACCCTCTTTCGGTTTCCCCATGCAAGTCAATGGGAAGACTGGAGCTATGGTTTCCCAGATATTGGTTTGGATATGAGATCTGAGGTGAGACCCTCCCAAAATGAACCCAAGGGAACAGGGGCTGAGTCAAGGTGCCAACACAAGCTGGGAAGGTGGGGGGTGGCCTCATACAGTCATGCCATTGTGCTCATTGGGACGCTTGAGATAAATTGCCTATAGGATTGCAGCCTTGTATGATCCAATGGGCATCTTTGCAAGTGCAAGACTGAAGCATGTTTTTATTGGTAATCAGTGCCTATTGGTGGTTTATAAAACAGTTGTCTGAATTCTGCTTGTCGGGCTACTTGGTCATGAGTAGGAAGAATATGCTCTGCAGGATCTCAGAGGTACTCTTTCCTCTCTTGTTGCTTCGTGCCTCCAGAGGCTGGACTAAGCCTTGCATCCCGGACAGAACTTCTTAGGGTGCTGCTGGTGGGGTGCAATAGAGATTTTGAGCTTCAGAGCACCGCGTCGGCTTAAAAGACAACGACAGGAAACTTGCCTCGATAAGGGCAGCACTTCAGCTCTCAAGCACCTAAAGCCTTCCTCAGGAACAGCGTGCCTCTGAGCATGGGCAGAGCTCTTTCATCCTTCACCGCGGCAGCCACCGTTTATTCCTTAGTGTTGGGACAGTTTCTTGGTCAGAATTGCGCTTGTCATGCAGCGTCGAGAGCCAGCGGTTCCTCTTACGGGTGAGTAAATGAAGCAGGAGGAGGGAGAGAGAGATCACAAACCTTTACCAAGTTTCCACGTGCTTGAACTCCAGCGAGCCACACCTCCCCACCCTACAGGAACCCAAGAAGCTGCCTTCTACCGAGTCAAGCCGTTGCTCCACCTAGCTCAGCGTTGCCCACACGGATCGGCAACGACTCTCCAAGCTTGCAGGAGGCAGGGGACACCCCCAGACCCGCTGGGCGATGCCCGGGGGGGGGCACTAAAGGCGGCATCTTCTGCGCGCAAGGCAGGCGCATTTTCGCTGCGCTACGGCCCTTCGGCCTTCAGGTTCCCTCCCTCCCGCCTTCCCTCCGCCGTTGTTCCCTCCCCGGGGAGCCCCCGCCCTGCCCTGCCCTGTGACGAAGCACCAGAGACCGGCCCGCCGGCTACTTGCCCAGTTCCTCCGGCGCTCTCTGGGGCTGCCTCCACTCTCCACCCTCTTCCTTGCCCGGATCGCTGCCTCCGGCTCCGCGCGCTTGGAGAACTTCGCCGCGCGCTCTTTCTCCTTCTGGCCTCCTTCCTTCCATTTATTTTTATTATTTTTTTGAAACCCACGCTCTTCACTTTCTCTTTCTTCTCCGGACCTTCCAGCTCGCCTTCCTTCTCGTTCTCGCTTTCCCCACGCGTCGCTCGTGCTTTGGTTTCTTTTTCTTTTTTGTTTCTTCCACCCTCTTCCTTTCCCGGCCACCCCGGAGCGCCAGCAGGTGCCACCGCCCCATAATACCCCTACCGCCCCCCCTCTTTCGCCCTGGCTGCCTGCTGGCTGCTCAAGAGGCAGGGATGGGGGGCTGCCCAGGGGGTCTTCAGCCCCTGCCTCCCAACCTCGGCGGCCAAGCGCTCCTCCGTCCCTGGCAGCGCGCAAGAGATGCAGAGCAAGGAAGACCCGGCGGAGACCACGGTGCTGCCCATCCCTGGAGAGCCCGGCGACAACCTGCGGCGCCTCCGAGGCAGGAAAGTTTTGCTGGGGGAAGAGAAGAAGCTGGCGGGGTGGGCGCTGGGCATAGCCCTGCTCGGCATCTTCCTGATGATTTTGCACACCGAACTGGCTTGGTTTGGACGCTGTCAGGTAAGTCACCTTTACGCTCGACTCTTAACAGCCCTCAACAACCAAATGTTCTCTGTGCGGATGTTTTGGACTGATGGGGATTGTGGTCCAAAACATCTGAAAGGCGCCAGGGTTAGCAAAGGTGTTTTAATAGCAGGTGTTTGCCCCAGATCCGTTTCCATTTGGGGGACTTTTTAAAGTTTTCCCTCATGCAGAGAAGATACAGAAGGAGTGCAATTTGGGGTTAGGAAGAAACTTCTCTTAAAATCGGTCAGCTGGGGGAGATCCATGGTCTTTGCTCTCTCTATAAATCAGGGATGGTGTCCGTGGTGTCCCAACAGATGTTATGGGACTCCAGTCAAGCATGGCTAATGGTCAGGGAGGGTGGGAACTCTCCATCCCTGATGAGACACCCAATAGCCTGCTGCTGCTGCTTTTCCACCCGACAAAGAATTCTGTGGAATTCAAAAGCTGGCACGCACTCTCATCAACCACAAGTCCCTCCGTTGACATGCACAACCTATAATTGGAGAGTCGTTGTGGTGCACTGACTGCTTGGTCTTGGATGGGCTGGGTGGGAAGAGTCTTTTTAAAAACACAACTCTGCAATAAAGTTAACTGAGTGACTTTGGTCTTAAGTAGCCTGCGAAGGGATTGAGTCCTTTGGGAGAAGGGCAAGATTGAAAACGTGATGTTTCCTTGTCCATACCCCTTTGCATCTGCACCAAACATTCAAAATAGGTATCAAAAGGAAATGGAGGCAATTTGCCATTTCCTAAACCAAAGTTTAGGACGTTGTGAGCTGGGAATGCATCCTTCTATATTTTCTTTTTCCGTTGCCCAGTGCAATATCGCATTGCAACAAAACAATAGCCTCAGAACAATAAACATGTGTGGCTTTCAATCCTGACCCTGCCTGCTCCTCAAGAGCGCTCTGCCACCCCCCACCCCTGGTGATAAAAGTGGGAGTTAATTAACATACAGGTGAAACTAGTCCTATTAAATTAACCTGCGGGACTCATTGCCACTCAGTGTTGTGACGGCCACCAGCACACACGGTGGCTTCAAGAATTGCTTCAGTTGAAATCCTGCACACATCTGTCCCCCTGAACTCCAGCTCCCATCATCTCTGACAACTGGCTGGGGTTTGTGTGATGTATGTTGTGGTCCAACAACACCTAGAAGCCCCCCAGGTTCTCTATCCCCTTCCTTAAGACCTACTCAAAGTAGGTGCCTGCCTGAATTCTGCCTCGGAGGTGGCTGTACCACAAGGGAAGGTGAGGCAGCGGCCTCTGGTGGTTGAGGGAGCGGAAAGCAGGTGGACTCAATCTGCAGGGCATCATTCACAGAGAAGTTTTTTTAAAAAACACCTCGATTTCTTAGAAGTCTTTTTGCAGGAGCCCCGTTGAAGTGAATGAGAACTGAGGGGCAGAGTAGAGATGATGCGGGGAATTTATTAACAGCATCTTGATTATTATTATTTTTTAAAATGCTAATAACAGCTAAAGGTATTAATCAGGAGTGTGTGTGTGTGTGTGTGTGTGTGTGTGCTTAACCCTTTCATTCCATGCCAGTTTCCCAATTAAATCAACCTTCCAGCTGCCATTTAGCCCAGTTGTTTTGCTAGTACCACTGTGCTTCCTCCCATGGGGCAAGTAGAAGATTGGTGCAGAATTTAACCAGAAAAATAGTGAAATCGCCCATCTCTCAGTCGTCCCCCTCATAAGTCCTGCAGCTTTTCTTAACATTTGCAAGAGAGAGAGAGAGAGAGAGAGAGAGAGAGATCCTGTTTAGGGATTTCCTGCATCACTTCTGTATTGGTCCTGGAATGAACAGCCGCTCATTCCGATGCAGCTCATGCAAAAGAACATCCCAGCAGCTTCCTTCCTTCTCCTGTTTAATTTGTGTGTCTCAGGCGGGAAGGGATTGCACTTGGACTTTCCTGCCTCAAAAGCACAAGTGGGTTCCCGTTTGTGGCTAACCTGTGATATCTGATGCTATGCACTCGATATGTGAGGACACTTCTGAGTCCTCCAAACTGTGGCTATTTTGGGGATGGGGTTCTATGGGTGTGACTTACAGCAGGCTGTGTGTTACAGCCACGGAAAAGCCAGAGGTTTCTGAGCACCCAAAACACACCTCTTCACTCCTACGAGCAAGAGTCATTGTCCCAGTTTGAGGATGCATTCCATCCAAGCGAAAGAGCACAGAACAGGCCCAGCGTGGACAATGGCTTGGAGAGGTGGGCTGTCCAGAGGGCAGAATCCTGAGGGCCAGATTGATAAGCTTGGAGTGCCACCTTTGACTTCACAGGAGGAGGTGAACTGGAGGTTCTCCACCCCAGAAGCAGAAAGAAAAAACACCCTTGGGAAAAGAAGACCCTCCATATTCACTGATTTGCGTACCTCTGTGTTGGAGGAGGAAAGAGTCCACTGTTTGTGTCCCCAGAAAAGTCCATGTGTGTCTGCAGTAACATTTTTTCAAAAAAGACTCCTCTACATCTTACCAGAAGACAAAACAGTGATGGTGCTTTCAACAGGGAGATGTAGTGAAAGGGTGAGCCAGCGTGGTGTAGTGGTTAGAGTGTTGAACTAGGACCTGGGAGACCACTGTTCAAATCACAGAATCATAGGGTTGGAAGGGATCATGAGGGACATCTAGTCCAACCCCCTGCAATGCAGGAATCTTTTGCCCCATGTGAGTCTCGAACCCATAACCCTGAGGTCAAGAGCCTCATGCTCCACTGACTGAGCTATCCCAGTGATGCCCACCGGATGACCTTGGGCCAGTCCCAGCCTCTCAGGCTAACCTACCTCACATTGTTGCGAGGATAGAATGGGGAGCAAGAGAACCTTGAGCAACTTGGAATTCTAAATAAAAATGGGGACTTTTTATTTATTTTATTTATTTTCACATTTATATCCCACCTTTTCTCCAAGGAGCTCAAGTTGGTGTTGACACTTGTCCCCCTCCCCACAACAACCCTGTGAGGTAGTTACAGGTCGGTAGCCGTGTTGGTCTGCCGTAGTCGAAACAAAATAAAGAAATTCCTTCCAGTAGCACCTTAGAGACCAACTAAGTTTGTTACTGGTATGAGCTTTCGTGTGCATGCACACTTCTTCAGATACGAAAGCTAATACCAGTAACAAACTTAGTTGGTCTCCTGTGAGGTAGGTTAGGCTGAGAGGCAGTGACTGGCCCCAAGGTCACCCAGTGGGATTCCTGGCTGAGTGGGGATTTGAACCCTGGTCTCCCAGATCCTAGATCTGACACTCATCACTACACCACATTGGCTCAGACTGGCTACACCACAACCAAGAGAACAGAGTTTCTCCTTGGGTAAGTTGTGCTGGTGGATCTAGGTGTGGAGCTTGCAAACTGTCCTCATCACACTGCGTAGCACAGCTCTCTGGTCTGAGTCATCTTGGCTCTGACTACATCAAGCACTTCCCTTGCCCTGCAGGCAGCTCTTAACTGTAGATTTCCCCCCCTTGATAACAAAAGGGCTGTAAGCCTTCTTCACAAGTGAGGCTTACGCTGGTGTTTGTATTACCCCACATTTGTAATGCAAATGAAAAGTCTACATGGCTAGAGCCGCCTCATCTGCTTGTCTGCTTCAGGAAGCCAAAGGCAGCCAGACAGCGATGGCTGATGATAATAGGCCGCTGACTTTAAGCGCTCAGTTAATGCAGTTTAGGAAGTTCTGTGCATGGTGGAAAACAAGACTTCTGAAATAAGAGATTGTGAAACTGGAAGAAAATGATGTGGTGTCTTTGCAGGACATTAAGGTCAAGGTCAAGGGACCCCTGACCGTTACGGTAGGTCCAGTTGTGGACAACTCTGGGGTTGCGGCGCTCATCTCGCTTTACTGGCCAAGGGAGCAGGTGTACAGCTTCCAGGTCATGTGGCCAGCATGACTAAGCCGCTTTTGGAGAACCAGAGCAGTGCACGGAAACGCTGTTTACCTTCCCGCCGGAGTGGTACCTATTTATCTACTTGCACTTTTCGGTGTGCTTTCGAACTGCTAGGTTGGCAGCAGCAGGGACTGAGCAATGGGAGCTCACCCCGTCGTGGGGATTCGAACTGCCGACCTTCTGATCGGCAAGCCCTAGGCTCTGTGGTTTAGACCACAGCGCCACCCCTGCCCCATTTGCAGGGCACTCATTTGCAGCGAGATGAGCGCCGCAACCCCAGAGTCGTCCGTGACACACTGCATCGTTTTCTTCCAGTTTCACAATCTCTTTCTTATTTCAGAAGTCTTGTTTTCCAGCATGCACAGAACTTCCTAAACTGCATTAACTGAGCGCTTAAAGCAATGCTTTTACTGGAATATTCTAACATGGTGCTTGCCAGCTGATTTGGAGATGAGAGCTGTGGTCCAAGACAGCTGGGGGTATCAAGGTTGCCAAAGGCCGGAATAATGTTGTTGTTGGCATCATGGGCGTAGCCAGGGGGGCGGGGGGTGGACAGCTGTCCCCCCAATCAATAAAAATCAGTACAAATCTGAGGTTCTCCCCACCCCAAAACAAAAGCCTGCTCCCCTAACAAAAATCCTGGCTATGTCCATGGTTGGCAACCATCTTTCTCAAAAGTGTGTCTCTGGGGGGTGAAGTCAAACTGCTGCGACCCTTCCCACAAAACCAGCAGCCAAACATAGAAGCTAATCTCCTCTTAAGGTGCATGGGAAGCTATGTTGCAGCAAGTCAGACCACTGGTATGTCGAGCTCAGTATTATCTACACCTCTTCAGGACTTGGGACAGGAACCTCCCCTGCCCTGCCTGGAGATTTCATGGCCCTTCTACATGCCAAGCATGCTGTGCCACTCTACCTATGGCCTTCCAGCTGTTGACAAGCTCCCACTCTTACTCCACTCCCCAGGCAGTGCAGCCAATGGTCAGGGATGATGGGAGTTGTCGGGGGTTACAGGTGCCCCATCCCTGCATTAAAGCTTAGATGTACTGAGCTGCTCCAGCAGAGCAACTGGGAGGCTGAGTTTCAAATAGGAGTACAGGAAGAATCCTATGGGATCAGGCCAATGGCTCACCTAGTCCAGCATCCTATTCCCACAAAAAGCCACAAGCCAGAGCACACACACCTTTCCCACCTGTGACTCCCGGAGACAGGCATTCAGAGGGCATCCTCCGCTCAACTCTCAAAGCCAAAACAAATGGGAGGAACAGAAACCAAAAAGAATATGAAAAGGTTCTCAAAAGCACTTACAATTAAAAGTTTATCATAGCTCAGCATATTTCAGAACCAAAGGTCCTTCAACTGGAGACTTTCCGAAGCAGTTTGCACAAATGCTGCTGACTGTCTGGCGCCATGGGGAAAAACAGGGAACAAGTGGGGTTTGGGTTTCTGTGGTTTTGCATCTGTCTTTTCAGAGTTCCTTTTTGCACAACCTGTTTAGATGGGCCTAGACCAGCCATGCTCTCCCAGTCTTAATCCCACCCCCTTTTGTGTTACTATAGGGCAGGGCTTCCCAAACTGTCCACAAACTTCATTTTGGTGGTCCAGGGCAAGGCTGTAAAGAAGAACATTTACCCTTTGAAGTCTGCAGAATTCTGCAGAATTCGAACTGGAATGCAATGAAGTGCAATATAAGAAAGGAAGGGACCAATCAAAATGCAATTAAAAGTCATTATGAGTGCTACAGCAGGCACACAAAAATCACCAAGAGCCAGTGCAGTGTAGTGGTTAGAGTGTCAGACTATGGCCTGGGAGACCAAGGTTCAAATCCCCTGCTTCTATGCTTCGAACACAGCAAAAACAATGCAGGAGGCAGCAGCTACAAGTTACCGGTCTCTGCAGCCACGGCAGGCGCTGTGATTCACCAAAGGTTTGACTTCACCCCTGGAGTGCACTCCATTGTCTTTCGAGACAGATGGGTGTCAACAGCAATTCAAAGCACATTCAATACAACTTAAAGCACACAACTTCTCCCAAGGAATTTGGGGGACTCTAGTTCCCCCCTCATATAGCTCCAATGCCCAGCACCCACAACAAACCACAGTTCCTGTGATTCTTGGGGGAAGCTATGTGTTTTAAACAAGCGTTGAATGTGCTTTAATTGTATGGTGCAGATCATTGCTAAGCATGCCAAGCTCTGCCGATCTCCCACTCCGTAAAAATGTCTCCCGTACCTTATCCCAGAGAAGCAGGAAACAGAAAGTCCTTGCTCTGGCTTGTCTCCTCCACCCCCTCCCTTGAGATTTATTGCATTTTGCTGCTGCTGCAATTAGAGACCTGCAGGGTGGAAGGACGTCGGGGACATCAAGACCACGGGAAAGGGAAGGGAATGTGCTTATTCAGGGGTGGGGTGCAGGACTGAATGGACAAGTCCCAGCATAGCGGGGCAACTGCATGCTGAAGTGAAAGATTTGTATCGGTTGCATAACACAAAAGGTGCTGAGGTTAAACCCGCAATTGATTGTGTGTGTGTGTGTGTGTGTGTGTGTGTGTGTGTGTTTGTTTGTAAGCTAGCCTAAGTGATCCATAAGTTAAAGTAGCTGAGGCAGATTGCTTATCTGACCCTTCTGAGTCATCAGCAGTTGGATTGTCCGTAAACATTCTGTGACATCACCAGTCGCTAGCATTCCATAACTGGTCCTTTCTCCTCAGCTGTTAGAATGCCCGTAAACATTCTGTGACATCACCAAAGCTGAGGCAGTGACAGGGTTTGGAGGTGGCTGGGCAGTAGCCTGCATCTATAAAGTGCTTCTTAAACCTCTAAAGTGTTTGAAGGAGACTTCCTGTGGAGCAGTCATTCCCAGAGTGTAAGGTGGGTCTTTGTAGGGTGATTAGCTACTTCCTCCTTGATCCCCTTCCAGAATGTGCCAGGAATTCAATTGCTGAGCTTTCCTTTGTAAATGCCAAACAGTGTTGCCATCTTTTGCAGGGTGTGTGTGTGTGTGTGTGTGTGTGTGCACGCCTGCCGGCCTGAGAGGGTTGCATTGGTAAGAGAGTTATGACAAGCAGAAATTCAACTGGAGCAGTGTGACCTGGAGATGTGGTGACTGGGGAAAAGACCTGCTGAATTTCTGCCTCTTGTGCAAATGTTTTTTTTTAAAGTACAGCAGTTCAGACTAGAGAGGGGGAGGAAGTAGCAACACTAGTGAGAACAATAAATTGAGGGCATGACCTGCTTTTTCCAAAGTTATTTTTTTACCTCAATTTGTGTGGTGGTGGGGAGAATATTAATTTCATCTACTTACCTACTACTAGGTTGAGGGCAGGAGACCATGTGAATCATTGTGGGGGGAATAAAAAAGCAGGTGTTGTATCTTATAAGGAATGAAGAACCAAACCCTTAACATGCAAGGAAGAACTGACAGGTCAGGGGGTGCTGAGTTATTCCCCGCTACCCTGATTCTCCCCTGGAAATCAGCCCTGCAACCACTTAAAATCCACCTGCTGAACTGAGCTCCAAAAGGAGTGTGAGCTCAGTGGGGAGTGGGATGTGTTAAGCACCTCTCCCTCATCAAATGATGGCATTACTGCAATGGGCAAGCCAAAATAAGTTGCTGGGGTCAACAGCAATTCATGGTAATGATTCACAACTGTGTGGTTCTGCAAAATCTGCAAGATACCTTAGTATACGTTTAGAGGTAGACCTATATCCCAGTTGTTTAACGATAGCAGCAACAAAAAGACCCCACCCTCCTGGCAGATTAACTGGGAGTAGCTTTTTGCGAGTTTCGTTCAGTCTTTTGTACTCAAAACGAATTCCTGAGTTCATATTTATTTCTGCAAGTAAGTCTGTCATACCAGACTCTGGTTGGTGGATCTCAGCAGCGGCAGGCCTTGGGACCTCAAATTTAAGTGGTATGCTAAGTAACACCAAAATTCAGCGCCCCCTGCCTCTTGCACTCCATTCCAAATAATAGTTGTGGCACCCCCAAGGCTGCGCATCCAGGGCAACCAAACTGGTTGCTCTCCCCTAAATCTGCTTCTGATCTCAGGGTTTTGGCAAAACTCCTTCACAAAATCATTGCCGCAAGTTTGAAGCTTGTCCACCCCCCGCCCCGCAGCTCTGTAGCACAGATCCTATTGTGACATTTGTGGGGCAATGGCGGAACCCCACAGTCTGTCATGTATGCGGAATATACAGGAAGGACCCTACTAATCAGTGTGGACAATACTGAGCCAGATGGACCAATAGCTTGCCTTCATATAAGGCCGCTTTTCTGATGAATGGCTTGCTGAGAAGGACTGGGGTTCTGCAGAACAGGATTCTATAAAGAGAGTGTGGGAAAGAGCTTGTTGACCTTGAGAAGTCCAGCTTTGTTAAAAAAAATAAAAAATAAGTATGGCAATCACTCCAAAAGTTCTGGCTTCTACGCAAAGAGGTCTGGCAAATTGCCCAGAGGTCAAAAACCTGCTTGGGCTGCTTTGCTTTGTTTTCGAGTCAATGAAGCAAGAAGACCTCTAGACCTACCTTATAGGGCTGATGTGAAAACTTATGAGTGAGTGTTCTAAAATTGCCTGGTTTTCAATTTTTTAAAAACATTGTTATTAGGTCTCAATCAGAAAGAGAGACGGATGTGTAGCTGCTGTTGCCATGCTAAACTTGGACGCTGCATGTCCTGAGCTGCGTGCCCAGTGCTGTTCAGATCCAAAAAGTGATGCTGTGCCTTTCCTGGGATAGATTTCACATTGCAGATTAGATACAACAGGAGCAGAGCATATGCTATCTTTGTGTTGGGTTTATAGCTTCTCTTCCCCCAATTTTGATGGGAAACCTTGCACAGACCCGGAGAGGACTGAGGAAGCATCTTGTGCCCACACTTCCTTGTGTTTGGGACAGCGTGTGACAGAAAGCTGCCCTTTGTTTCAGAGTCTGAGGATGACCGCACAAGTGCACAAGCCCCGGACCCAGGAGTCCTGGCATGCAGCCCCCCTGCCCTCTACCTCCCCACCCGCTGGGAAGGGGAAATATTTTCCCTTGCTACAGCTTGAGGTCTCTTTGCTTTTGCCCTGCTATGTGACGGCAGCTCCGCCTCCCAAGGGCACAGAGATCTGGAGCAAGTTTCCCCTGGAAGATGAAGAGCCTTTCCTGAACCTCCGTCTGCAAACAGACCTCGGATCCGTTCTAGGTCCCCTCTGTGACCGCTCCCTGCTTGGGAACACGTCGGAGAAGCTGGCTGGAAGAAACAAGGAGGGAAACGCAGGCAAAGGGCTCTGTCTGGGCTGCAGAGGAGAGGGGGCTGATTTTTATTTTTTTGGAGGCAGGGGAAATGTTTCAGTAAATGTGCTCCAATTTAAATATTGCACTCTGATTCAAAAAGGAGTACCATGATTAGAGCTGCCTTCTGTGGGCTATAGTGACCTCCCCGTTGCCCTCGTCACTCGCTGGTACCGAGACTGAAAATAAATCCGATTCCTGCCAGCTCAGGCATTTTAATATTTGGGCTCCTTCAGAGCCTGTTCTTAAACATCAGGTGAAAAGAAATGCCCGTTGGCGTCTTTCAGAGGCAGGACCATGCAGCCAAATGTGACCCACCAGCCATGTATGGAAGCAGCTGGTGCTTGACTCCTTCCCCATTTTTGCAGTGACAGGCAAGCCAGGGGATCGTTCTTCAATCTCATAAATGCTACCTTTACATGTCTGGTAGCCTGTGTTCAGCTTGCTGGGTCAAAATTTGCTGACCCATCAGGATTAAGCAGATTTCAGTCTTACTTCTGCTCTGTTTTTAAAGCCTTACTATAACAGATTAGCAAGTGATCCGCCTTGAACTATTTGGCCAGGAACACCAGTTTCCACTTAAAAAAAACCCTTGAATCTTGCAGAGTTCTTGATTAACTTGATTAACAGCTGAGCTCTTGCAAACAGCTCTGGGTTTTGCTCCAGTAGGTCAGTTCTTGCATAGTTTACAACCCAGGTCTTGCAAGGAACTTTGCTTTGACCTCCCTGCTTGACTCAAACCATGCTTCTGACTGGAGGTTTGTAATCAGGTGGCATCCTCAGAGGCTTGAGTTCAAGTCTTCACTCAGCTACAGGAGCTGGGAGGAAGGCCCATGGCTGGATTGCAGTTGCTTCCCAGCTGATTGACATGTGGTGGTAGGATTCCGGACTGTACCACTTTAGGGGTGTGAGCATGGTTTTCCATGTCCCCTCACAAAGTAATAAATTAGTAAAATGGGGAAAAACTTTAACACAGCCTTCTCCCTGGTGTTCTAGTTTTCTGCATGCAAGGAGTTCTATTTCTGTTGTTGTTGAATGCTGGAATATCTACAAGTGTGACCCAAACACACCTGCAGTCTGAAGTGGTACAATCCGGAATCCTGCCCCCTAGTTCTCTTTAATGTGTTGCAAGGGTGGGAGTTTTCCACTTAACAGAACAAAGGTGGGTGCTTATTTTTCCAACATAAATAGATTTTTTAAAAAAATTGTTTTGCAAACTGGGATCTGAATGGACATGTAGAGGAGCCAAGCAGAGGCATGTAGCTCTGGGATTTACTGAGCAACTTGTCCGTACCTTCACAGAGTTGACCTTTCTTATCTAGTAAGAAAGGTAATTCTGGCTTAGGCAAAGGAGCAAAAAAACGTTTTCATAGCACTTTAGTGGAAATGGGCTGGAACGAAATCAAAGCAGGAGGCGAAAGATAAAATCGGGAAAGGGACTAATGTTGACTCTTTGGCATGTGGAGCAGTGCAACAGGCAGGTGCTGAGGGGTGTTTTCCCCCATCGGCACCCAAGGGTGACCGTAGGAAATAAGTTTTTGGGAACAGGCAGAGAAAAGGCAACGTCACAAGATGAGGGGGCTGGGAAAGGAGAGCATCAAGGAGAGGAACAAAGACCATAAAAGGTGGCAAGAGTAATGTTTGGTTCACCCGCAGCTATTGCAGAGCCACTGGCATTTCCAAAGAGAAAAACAAGGAGGCGTGAGAATTTGGAACATCTGACCCATCACAGATGTGAACCTGTGATGGTGGACTCTGGTCCTATCAGCCCCAGCCAACATGGGAAATGGTCAGGAGTGATGGGGTTGTAGACCAGCAACATATCAAGTGACACACACACACACCCTCGATTTAGTTTCACACTCATAATCACTGCCGGAGCCCCTTCCTGTCTGCACACACTCCACCAAATTGTGGTAATTTGTGTAAACTTTCTCGTGTCAGCTTCTGATGAAGGGTGTGTGAGTCGACTGGCGATAACCATTTCCGAATAATGTTTAACAAAACGTTTTCATCTTACAGTGGATTTTATTGTAATCGTCGAAATAACAAGGGCAGCTCAAATGCATTCAGGCTAGGCACAAGTTACTGTTTACTCTGGCCCCAGTGCCCTCCCGCTGTTGGGGTTTGAAGCTAAGTACACATGAAGTTTGTCATGATCCGTATGTATCCTGTAGCTTCTTGAGAAACGGTGCGGGTGGGGGCGGGGAGGGAAACAAATCAGGTCATGTGCAACAGGTGAAGACAGGAACACAAGGATGTGACTTGAGATGCAGAGGTGCACAGACAGGACCTCACTGAGTCGCCTCAGTGACATTTAGGCGCACAGAGCAGGAAGTGGCGCTCTGGGATTTTTGCACATGCTCTAGAGTCAGGACAGGTGGTCCTGCAACAAAATGTTGCAGTATGGATTGCTACAGCTTAGGATGCCTGCTGCTCATAGGATGAAGGAAATCAGAGTAGACCTAATTTTTCAACCAGTGCATGCACTTCAGATTACTGGAGCGGGGCTAAGTACACAACATACATTTAAAGCACATCCCCCCCCCCTCCTGGGAAGACTCCTGGGAACTGTAGTTTGTTTGTTATAGGTGCTGGGAATTGCAGCTCTGGGAGGGGTAAACTACAGTTTCTGAGATTCTTTGGCAGGTGCATGTGCTTTAAAGGTGTGTTTTGTACACAGTCCCAGTTAACCGTCTTGAAAGAAGATAAAAGAATTGCCTTGCAGGACCAGCACAAAGGTCCGTCTCACCCTCAGCCTTTGGACGTTCGCAGGCCGAATATTAGGCAACATCCCCTTCCCCTGTTTATTTCACGACTGGTAAGAATGGAACCTGCGACAAAGTGCTGCAGCATGGAATGCTTATGTTCAGGATTCTAGCCAGTCAGCCATACTGTTTATCAGGATATTATTCTGTTGGAAGCTTCCCAGAGTGACTGGGGCAAACCAGTCAGATGGGTAGGGCACAAACAAATTATTATTATTATTATTCTCACTGATACAGTGGTACCGCCGGTTACGAACTTAATTCGTTCCGGAGGTCCATTCTTTACCCGAAACCATTCTTAACATGAGGTGCACTTTCACTAATGGCACCTCCTGCTCCTGCCGCACCGCCAGCATGCAGCTTCCACTAGCATCCCGGGGCAAAGTTTGCAACCAGAGCATCTGCTTCTGGGTTAGCAGGGCTTGTAACCTGAAGCATTCGTAAGGAGGACAGTATGTAACACAGGGTTCCACTGTATTTGCTTTTTTTATAAGCAGAGTTTTTTGTGCATGGGGTGGGGGGGGCAAAAAACCCAAAAGTAATGCGAAAGGGGGGGGGAACTAGTTTTGGAAAAGTTCCCTGGGAAAAGAGATTGAAACTTCTCTTTGAATTGTAGCTCTGGGCAGGGAACAGGGGTCTCCTAACAACTCTTAAACTACATTTCCTAGGGTCCTTTGGGGGAAGCCGTGAGTGTTTAAAGTGGTATCATAGGGCTTTAAATGTATGGTATGGCCTAGATCTGGTCTTTACTGAGCATATGTTCTGATTTGTTTGTGGGACAAACAATGAGCATTCATCCTGATTGGCTTTGTGGGGTGTTTATACATCTTCGCTGGTTCACCCCACACTTTTCAGTGCATTTTCCTGGGCACTTCCAGCCTGTTTTTGTTTTTGGATGGGCCACCCAGTCACGTTCTGGGAAATTAAGCTTGCACAATTATAGCTGGTCAGGAGTTCTTGCACAACAGACCTGCTTCTCCTAAAGATGGGTTATTTCTTGATAAAGAACTCATTTACACTTTTGCTTGACCTGTATTTTGATCTTATTGTGCACTAATTAATTCCCCCCTGATCCAACGGATGTTTGTTTGTTTGTTTGTTTGTTTAGCGGCCGTGCCTTGTGAAAATCTAATCTTACCCGTTGAATCAAGGCTCAGTTAAGCAAAATCTCTCTTGGGTTTTTCCGCACATCGGATAAGATCCATTTCAGCAGCTAAGGTTGGGTAAGAATCCAGGGAGCTGTGGTTTATCCACAGTGCTGGGAATTGTAGTTCTGTGGGATAAACTACACTCTGTGAGGAGGGGAATGTGCTTTAAATGTATGGTGCGTATCCAGTCCCCACTAGCCTGAAAGGTTAGAATTGCCTCGTTGGATCAGCACAAAGATAATAGAAGTCCACCCACTGATCATAGAACTGTAGAGATGTAGCCCAACACTTCGTCTCCCATCCAATTTGAAACTATACAAGACCCTGCTTAGCTTTGTAAATGTGCTAGCAGTTTTTAGCGCTGCACCACAAGGAGGACTAAGATCTGTCTGGCCTTTGGAGGATTTACAAGCAAGAGGCACACAGAGGAATAAGCAGCACACTGGCCTTTTGAGTTTCTTGCGTTTGTGCATTTTTCAAGGCTACCTGCAACAGTATGTTGCAGCGTGGAGAGCTTGCAGCTTCAGATTCCAGCCAGCCGGTAGCACGTAGGACAAAAGAAATTGGTAAGAAGAGCTTGCTGGATTAGGTAAGTGACCCATCTAATTCTGCACCCTGCACTGTCCTGAATCTTCCAACAGATTAAATAAACACACAAACTTCAGATTACTTGACTTGGGCAGCATACTCACCATACATTTAAGGCAACCCCACCTGGGAACTGTAGTTCCTTTAAGGGGCTGGGAACTGTAGCTCCGTGAGGTAAATTACCACTCCCAGGATTCTGGGGGAAATGGGCTATAAAGTTGTGCTGTGTACGCAGGCCCAGTTCAGAGGAAGGTTCACCACCTCAGTGAGAAAACAAGGCTGCGTCTTCTTGGCTTTTCTCTTTTCCCTTCTTTATTTCCTTATCCTACCATTCCTGGCACGGGCAAGCCCCTTCTCCCGGCTCATGGAGCAAGCCCAACTTCCTTCTCTTGTCCGATTGTTCAGGACACAATTGCTCCCTTCACGGCAGGGGCTGTGGAGCTGGAGGGGGTGGGGAGGCAGCGTTGGGACCGGTGACAGGATAAATATTAATCCGGATGGGCCAGGTGACATGTGTTCTCACGGAGAAGCCGCCACCAGCAGTGGGAACTGCCCAGGGCAAGGGCGCAGAGGAGCCAAGAGCTCCAGGAGTTCCTTCCCAGCGCTGGGAGGAGAGTAAGGGATAGTGGTTAGGGATGGCAGGACTGCAGACGTCACAAAAGGGGAGAAAACACACACACATACGCAAAACCTTGCAAGTGCAATGACTGGAATTCAATGGAAAGGAGAGCCAAGTTGTAAATGTTAAGCTTTTAATCCAAACTCTGAAGGGATTTGAGGCCTAGTGGGTGCTGCCAAGCCGCAAAAGTTGTTATTTCCGCTCCTGGTCCCTTTATTCCACCTCACCCTCGAGCTGTGGCAAGTTAATTTAATTTGCCATCTTTACGGCGCGCGACTCTGTGCCCTTAATGGAGCAGTAGCTGATGTATTTGCTCTGCAGAGGTAGCGGACTGCAATTCCTAGGATCCAGTGCCATTGGCCATGCAAACTGGGGCTGATGGGAGTTGTAGTTTATTTGTTTGTTTGTTCATTTCTCACCCGCTTTCCCCCTTAAGTTCCTAGGGCAGGTTGCAACATTAAAAGACAATATTCAAAACAGTTTAAAACAACTCACAAAAAATAAAAAAATTACACACCTGGCAGGCACCACGATGGCTTCCCCTTGCCCTGATAGTAGTTGAGGGCTGCTAGCTTGAATGAAAAGAGGACTGGAAAAAATTGTGGAGGCTATCTATGGTTCCTTTCTGAGCAAAGATGTACCTGTTGCATTTCTGCTCAGCATGGGGTTGTTTATCTGTCCACAAAACAGGTGGATGCCTTCTTGCTTCTCCAAGGATACTGGGGCAGAGACTTTGGTCCAGCATGCCTGAGGGATGCTCAGACCTCACCCTGGACCGGCTGTTACCCCTACTAGTGAAGCAGCTCCTGCTGCAGAATTTGCATTGCAGGGATGAAAAGCTGGTGTTGATCTGTAACATTTCCCCCCCCCACCACCTGAAAAGTGAAGCACCATATTTTTCGCTCTATAAGACGCACCAGACCATAAGACGCACCTAGTTTTTGGAGGAGGGAAACAAGAAAAAAAAATTCTGAATTTCAGAAACCAGAACAAGAGGGATCGCTACGCAGCGAAAGCAGCGATCCCTCTTGCTGTTCTGGCTTCTGGCATAGCTGCGCAGCCTCCACTCGCCCCATAAGATGCAGACACATTTCCCCTTACTTTTTAGAAGGGAAAAAGTGAGTCTTATAGAGCAAAAAATACGGTAAATTAGCTTCCATGCCCTGGAGCGAAATGCGGAAGTGTTGAAAAGGGGTTATTTTTGGTGCAAGGGCCTCCACTCCCCCATCGGCCAATGGCTTCACAGAAACAATCCAAAGAAGGAACCCAGTAGGGCTACATGCCCTCACGGGTGACTTTCCAGGGGCCGCCTGCCAAATGGAGGGCGGGGCTGGAGACAAAACAGGTGGATCACAAGCTTGACTTACCTTTGCACAGTAAAAGTTGCAGATTTCTGCATGCAACCCCAACCCCTACCTCTCTCTAACCTCCATTCGAGCAACAAGAGGAATTATCATAGTTCAAAGACACATTCCAGTCAGGCAAAGGCACTTGAGGAGGAAGCAGAGCAGGGCTGTCCAAGGGCAATGCTGGGAAGACCCCTGGAGTAAATAAAGGTTACATTCACGCCCAAAGAATCCTGGGAAATGTAGTTTGCTAAAGGTGCTGAGTATTGTTGGGAGAAACCCCCAGTTCCCCTCGAAGAATTATGATTTTCGGAGCGCTTTAACAACCAATGCTTTTTCACAGGGGACTCTGGGAATCGTAGCACCTCCCAGAACCCATATCGAACTACAGCTCCCAGAATTCTTTAGGGGAAGCCGTGATTGTTTAAAGTGGTATTGTAGTTCTTTAAATATATGGTGTGAATGTGGCCAAAGTCAGGATATTTTTTGGCTTTAAAAAGAGACTCATGATGAGGAGGCAGCATGGGTTACTCAACTCTCTCCTCTGCCCCCTCCTGTGCCTCTATCTGTCTGTCTTGGCTGTCCTTTGAGGCCTGCCTTGCTTATATATCTTGTGAGTGCCTCCCCTCTCAGTCACCTTCCCTATTGTAATAATATTTGCCCAGGGTGTCTCCTGTACTGCCTTGGCAGTCCTTTAGTGGCCAGAAGTGCTTCCCCCCCCCCCCAACCTTTTTGCCTTTCTGGAGCCCAGCTCTGGAAACGCCACCAAGGCAAATGTTTCCCCCCAGGACAAAGACCCCTTACCGTTCCAAGCTTTTATCACTTTCGAGGGAAAGACTGGGGTGCAGGGCTGGAATGTTTTAATCTGGAGTGTTGCTAGGTTCTAAAAGAACTCAGCTGGACACAGGCTGACAACACGAAACTGGAACTTAAGAGCACCCCAAAGTATAGGGGTCCTGGAGGAGAACGTAAGAAAACACAAACACGCAAAAATCCTTGCAGTGGCCCACCTAGTTCACCATCCTGTTCTCACAGAGGCCAGTCAGATTCCAGATTCAAGCAGGACCCAAGTGCCACAGTATTCTGTCCTCCTGCGGTTTCCAGCAAGTAGCATTCAGAAGCATTACTTCCTCCAGTCATAACCTTCAGGGCTGCTAAGCCACAGACCCGCTTTTTAGAAGTACAACTTTAGACAGCTGTGCTTCCTTACATCTTACATTCCAGAGCATGTGGAACTCCCTGCCACTGTAACTCAAGAGTTCCTCAAGGCGACCCTTTTCTGCTGCCGCATGTTTCATTTTCACTTGACTGATGGTTTGGCATGAGCCTGATACTGACAAGGGGGATGGAGCGAGCTATTAACTGCAATCACTTACGGAAAGGAAATGGCGTACGTAAGGGAACACTGATATTTACTGTGATGGAACACGGGAACCTGATTTATACTGAGTCCAGATTATAGGGTCCATCTACCTCAGGACTGTCTGCACTGACTGGTAGGGGCTCCCTGGGTTTCTTTAGACAAGGGTCTCTTCACAGTCTTACTAGAAACTCTGGGAATCTGGTACTTCATGCAAGGCAAATGCTCTACTGCTGAGCTATTATCCTTACAGAAAACTCGCTCATACTCTTTTACAGTGGTACCTCGGCTTACAAATGCTTCGGATTACAAACACTTTGGGTTACAAACTCCACTAACCTGGAAGTAGTACCTTGGGTTGTGAACTTTGACCCAGGATGAGAATGGAAATTGTGCGCCGGTGGTGCGGCGGCAGCGGGAGGCCCCATTAGCGAAAGCACACCTCAGGTTATGAACCGTTTCAGGTTAAGAACGGACCTCTGGAATGAATTAAGTTCGTAACCCGAGGTACCACTGTACTGTATATATATTGATGCCTTGGCTGAGATTAAGGTGATATGTGGCTGAGAGTTCACCAGCTCTGCACTTTGCAGTATGCCCATCTTCCTGAAAAGAAAGTTGTTTCTTTCTTAATTGAAAAATTTTAAAAAGTAGCAGGGGACACCGTGGCTCAGTGGCAGAGCATCTGCCCTGCAATGCAAAAGGTCACAGGTTCAAAACCCTGCATCTCCAAGTATGGCTGGGGGAAAACCCTGCTGGGTAAACCAACTGGAATTACTGAACGTGACCATCAGGTCCATTGCTTTCAGTATGTTTGCTCTGAATAAAACTTAGCCGAATGCCACCCAGCATAAACAAGGCTGAGCAAGATGGACCGATGAGCTGACTCTGCCTCCAGCAGTTTCCAAAGGGGCAAGACACCTGAAGTCTGCAACAAAAGACCCCTTTTTGGCTCAGTGAGCCAACCCTCCTAATTCCCAAGGGATGTATGCAATGCCCTTCAGACTTGGAAAGAACTGAGTGCTGAGTTATTCTTTTCCACGGGCGCATTTATTTCTACATCTGAGTTCTGTGCCTAATTTCCAAATGCTTGTAAATAGGATTTTAGTCTGTGTGTGTAGGGGACAGCCTCGCCCTGAAACCAGTAAGCCTGTCTGGAAACACCTGGTTCAGGTGGTAGCTGGTTGCCCAGGTGAAAGCTGTTGCCTCCAACAAAACCCACAATGATTCAATTGTTTTATTAGCACACGATTGGTCACACACCCCTCATCTGTTGCCCCACGCAGCAGGGTTTTAACTCCTTCCGTTCCATGAGAAACAAGTAGAACCACCTCTTCGAGGGCTGCAGAGAGCTGCCGTTTTTGGAATAAAATGGTAACGCGCTTGCAAACGTTAATAATAATAATAATAATAATAATAATAATAATAATAATAATGTTTATCCCCCACCCATCTGTGTGGGTTTCCCCAGCTACTCTGGGCGGCTTACAGAATATATAAAATGTAAGAAAGCATCAAACATTAAAAACCTCCCTTAAACAGGGCTGCCTTCAGATGTCTTCTAAAAGTTGCATAGTTTTTTATCTGAAGGGAAAGTGTTCTACAGGGAGGGCACCACTACCCAGAAGGCCCTCTGCTGCACAGTTCAGGGCAAAGAATGACCTACATCACAGCACTGGCAGGTTGGCAGAATCTCACATGATGCTGTTTGGCTAAACCACCTATCCACCAACTTGCCCTTATGGACAGCGGGAGACATTTGATTCAGTACTTGTCTGAAGGCAAACCAACCCAAGTTACGCTTTCAGAAAACAGTAACCCAAAATGGAAATGCAGACATCGTTCAAAATTCATACTTCTCTGAGTTTTGCAATTCATTTATTTATTTCAGTTTTTAAAGTACTTAACCCTCCCCCTTTTATCCGAGGCTCACAGGGCGGTTTATAGTATAAAAACATGAAGATACATAACATAGTAACAAACGAAATGATAACCCACCCCTGCAGTTTAAAAGACCATAGATTGTTTAATTGGCCAAAGGCCTCAGAAAAGAGGAATATTTTTGCCTGGCACCTAACGCATGATCATCAGAGGATGATCATAGGGTCTGGGTTGGTTCAGTTTTCCAGACAAATTGTACAAAAATGCATATACTACTAGGGTAAAGGTAAAGGTAAAGGGACCCCTGACCATTAAGTCCAGTCGCGGACGACTCTGGGGTTGCGGCGCTCATCTCGCTTTACTGGTCGAGGGAGCCGGCGTACAGCTTCCAGGTCATGTGGCCAGCATGACTAAACCACTTCTGGTGAACCAGAGCAGCGCACGGAAACGCTGTTTACCTTCCTGCCGGAGCAGTACCTATTTATCTACTTGCACTTTTTGGTGTGCTTTCGAACTGCTAGGTTGGCAGGAGCAGGGACCGAGCAACGGGAGCTCACCCCGTTGTGGGGATTCGAACCGCCGACCTTCTGATCGGCAAGTCCTAGGCTCTGTGGTTTAACCCACAGTGCCATTGTGGAGGGGGGGGAAAGCATTTTGACATCAGGCATACACCTTCACTGTACTCTTTTCAGTGCCTGCTAAGAATTGGAGTTTGTTTGTTTAGACAAGCCTACCCAGAGATATAGAATGTTGACATGTGTTTTAATCAGGTTTTTAGCTTATTGTTGATTTTATTTATTTATTTATTTATTTTTAAATACAGTCAAACCTTGGTTGTCGAACGCAATCTGTTCCAGAAGCCCGTTTGGCTTCCAAAATGTTTGACAACTGAGGCACAGCTTCTGATTTGTTGCAGGAGCTTCTTGCACTGAAGCGGAAGCCGCGTCAGACATTCGGCTTCTGAAAAAAGTTCAAAAACTGGAACACTTACTTCTGGTTTGGGAGCCAAAACGTTCCAAAACGGAGGCGTTTGGGAACCGAGGTTTGACTGTAGTTGTTTTTAACTGTTTTTACTGATTTTTTTTGTTGTTTCATTCTTTTTGCAAACCACTTCAGTCCTTTTTTAAAAAAAAAAATCACCAGCCAGTGCACTAAGCTGATGTTTCTAGCTGCCATGTAACCTTCCGACAGCTTGACCTCACCCCCAAAGGCGCAGTCCTCCATTGCCTTCCGAGACAGACGAATGCCAAACGGATGCTGTTTCCATTCCCCACAGTTCCTTGGAGCAAGGCCACATCAAGGGCACTGTGGGAAATCAAAATGACTCTTCCCAGCTCTCCCGACACTAGTCAGAGCACCAGGCCGTGTGTGTTTGTGTGTGTGTAAATGACATCTGTGGTTGTGCCCTGTTGGGATGTTGGACCTCTGGCAGATACCCAAGGCCCACAAAGAAACTGGAAACCAGTGCAGGTTTTTCAACGGAGCCAAAATGTGGCAATTATTGCAGCGATTCCCACCCCCTTCTCGGTTATTAACCTTTTTGTTAACTCTGTGAACAATTACTTCCTTTTGTTCGGCCTGAGCTTTGTGCCAGCCAGGTTCCCCTGAGGTGCCATTCAGCTGTCAGTGCTGGCAGCCAATTCTTGAATGCCATCCTAGACTTTCCTGCAGCTTGGTGTAGCCTAGGAGCCATAGGAGAAGGATCCGCAAATTAGGAAGTACCCGCTTTGGATGTTATCTGTGGGCTGAGGTCCCTAGGTGGTCTCAGGCAATCTGCTCCTTCTCAGCCCTCGTTCCTCAGTCCCATCTGCATTATGGAGGGTGATAATATTGACCTACCTAGCTACAGCTAGAGCTATATCATGCATTGTATGTGGAGTGCTTGGAAATTTGCAAGCATTAAGCCGTATTATTTATATCATCGCTGTTCTAACAGATTTGCTTACGTATGAACAAAGGTATGAGCCACATCCAATGCATGTCATACTCAGAGTTAGACTCGTTGAACTTAATGGGCATGGTTAATTTATATAAGTATAAAGGGGCTAACTGAAAAAAAGTGGTGTTTGTTTGTTTTTTTGGCTAAACATCAAGTGGGATTTACAGCACAATCCAATGCATGTCTACTCAAAAGTAATCCCAGTTGAATTAAATGGGACTTATGCCCCAGGAACTGTCTACATGATCACAGCCATGGGCATAGCCAGGATTTATTTTGGGGGGGGCAGGCTTTATGTTGCAGGGGGCAGAACCAAGTTATCTGTGATACAATTGGTCAGTTAGTCAGTTAGTTAAGTATTTTTATTTATTTACTTGATTTGGGGGCGGGATCTGCCACACCCATGATCACAGCCGGGCATAGGCAAACTCAGCCCTCCAGATGTTTTGGGACTACAACTCCCATCATCCCTAGCTAACAGGACCAGTGGTCAGGGATGATGGGAATTGTTGTCTCAAAAACATCTGGAGGGCCGAATTTGCCTATGCCTGACCTTAGTTTTGTATAGTTGTGCTGTCTGCTTTGTTAGGTGTGTGTGTGTGTGTGTGTGTGTGTGTGTGTGTGTGTGTGTGTGTCTCTCTCTCTCTATATATATACATACATATATGAATGTATTATGTACTGTTTGTTTTATGACCTTTTTAAAATGTATTTTTGCTGCGTTGTAGATCAAGACCAGTGGAAGGTTAGGGTTTGTTGTGAATAACAGACAACATAAAAGTGTAGAATGGCTACGGAACAAGCATCTTCAGCTTTGTTTACTATGATTACTGTTATTTAATATGGATCATAGAATCGAGGAGTTGGAAGGGACCCCTGAGGGTCATCTAGTCCAGCCCCCTGCAATGCAGCCATCCCGCCCATAGCCATCCCTGGGTGGGCTGGAGCCACCAACCTTCTGGTTAACAGCCAGATGCACTGACTGAAGATCTATGAAAAAGCGGGTTGGCAAAACGTGCAAGAAAGGAACACCCCCCCCCCCAATGCAACCAAATTCATGCTATGATCAAGCCATAATAATAGCTAGGGTCTTTGAATGCATATCTTCCCAATTGCATTCATGCACCAAGCATGAACTGAATGTGAGAATCAAACTCTCTTTTACTCGCAGCTACATGACAGAAGCTCTGACTTCCCCCTCTCCAGCCCCATTGGAAAGAAGAAATATTGAGGAGGCTGCAATTCTGGGTCAAACGGTGGAAGGGGAGGCATTTTGCGTAACTACTTTTCTGATTAAAAGTCACTTTCCTCACCCAAAGCTTGGAGGGAAGAGCTAAGCGCCCACAAATTTTGCTTCCTCCCCACTCACAGTTTGCGGTCCCCCTCAAACCTCTTTTTCTCAGTTAAGTGGAAAACAAAGCAAGTCCATTGCGACACTGTTGCAACAGAGTGCACACAGTGTGTCATTTGGTCCTAAGGCTGAGGTACATAACTTGTTTATTTATTTCACAAAAGTTATTTAACACTTGATTGTGAAAAACAACAGCAGCAACCTCCAGGTGGTCTACAAAAAGAACGAAACAACGCAACAGTTAAAAAAGTTAAAAGCATCAATTTGAAACCAGTATGAACCTACCCAGACCCTGTGATCACCATCTGAGGCCCTTCTTTGTGTTTCTCCTCCGTGAGAGGTCCAGAGGGTGGCAACATGACAACGGGGCCTTTTCTGCAGTGGCTCCCTGTTTGTGGAATGCTCTCCCCAGGGGGGCTCACCTGGCGCCTTCATTGCATACACCTGTAGGCATCAGGCAAAAACATTCCTCTTCAACCAGACCTTGGCTGGTTAACATTATATGGCAGGGGTGCCCAAACTTTTTTCGAAGGGGGCCAGATTTGATGAAGTGAGGGCCGACCAAAGTTGCTGAGCTTTTTTTAGGGTTTAAGTTGCTGAGTTTTTTTACCCCAGGGCATATACTGCCACAGGGGCCAGGTTAAATTGACTGGTGGGCCACATTAGGCCCCTGAAGCAGACTTTGGACATGCCTGTTATATGGCCTTTTAAATGTGCTTGCGGGTGGGAGGGGTTTATTGGTTTTGTTCTTGTTTTTATTATGTATTTTGTGTATTGATCTTGTATGTTTATGCTATGAGTCACCTTGAGATCTATAGATACAAATTTAATGAATTTAGTAGTGGTAACAACAACAATTGTGGCTTCCCCAAAATGGCCTTTGCTGGCCAAATGGGGAGGTCTGGTGAGCCATGCTGGAGGGCTGGAGGTTCCCCACCCCACAATACTATGATAAATATGGTCCCATTTCATAGAATTGTAGAGGTGGAAGGGACCCCAACGGTCATCTAGTCCAACCCCCTGAAATGCAGGAATTTGAGAATTAAGTGCTACCATTCAAAGTTTTTGAAGGGAGGCCAACCACCAGAGCCTACAACTCTTGTCAAACATCAGCCACCATCAAACTCTGGGCGTAAGAGCTGACACCCTTGAGGGGCTGAAATCCACCCAGGGCCCACTTGTTTGTAGACAACTGGCTGGCCATTATGAAAACTGGATGTTGGACTAGCCAGGCCATTGGTCTGATTCAGTAGCCAGGCTCTCCTTCAGCTATGACTTCTTATCCCATTCAGTGTCTATAATTTTTTTATATATATATGCAATGACTTTCCATTGTTTCTGCATATGCTGTTGTTTTAACTTTCTATATACTGTATTTTTCGCTCTATAAGACACACCAGACCACAAGAAGCACCTAGTTTTTGGACGAGGAAAACAAGAAAAAAAATATTCTGAATCTCAGAAGCCAGAACAGCAAGAGGGATTATCCGCTGCACAGTGAAAGCAGCAATCCCTCTTGCTGTTCTGGCTTCTGGGATAGCTGCGCAGCCTGCATTCGTTCCATCAGACGCACACACATTTCCCCTTACTTTTTAGGAGGGAAAAAGTGAGTCTTATAGAGTAAAAAATATGGTAATTAAGCAGTAGTTGGATATGCATTTCTACTGTACTGCAAAATCACTTCAAGGTGCTTCATAGGAAGCGATTCATGAATGAAGTGGAATGATAATAATGCTCTGATGGCACCCGGCCCTTCTCCTCACTTCTCCCTCCTCTTCCCTTCAGTGGTTTGCATACTCCTTCATGGTGAAGTGCCTCATCACCCTCTCCACAGCTGGGCTGCTGATCACGATCCTGGCTTTTCACATCAAAGAGATCCAGGTAAGCCTAACTATGGGACTATTTCTCAAATGAGCGCAGCGGAGGTCAGACAGTCTGACAAAATGCTGCAAACACACCATGCCTTTAAAGCACTAAGATGCCGCAATGATAGCAGTCATGGCTTCTCTCAAAGAATTATGGGAGCTGTAGTTTGTTCGGGGTGCTGAGAGTTATTAGGAGATGCCTGTTTCCCTCACAGATTTACAATGTCCAGGATTCACTGGGAAGAAGGATTGCTTGTTAAATCTCTCTGGGAATTGTAGCTCCGTGACTACAGCCACCAGAATTCTTTGGGGGAAGCCACAACTGTTTAAAGCGTTACCGTAGCACTTCAAATGTTGGGTGTAAATATGGTCACAAAGGACCTAGATCACCTATTGAGCTTCATGAAGTCACCTGGGTCACAGTCTTCTGTGAAGTGTTTTTTTCTATCTCCGTTATAGTAATTAATTCTAAAATTAGCATATTTGTGTCCTTCTTTTGGACAGCCCTACTTGATGCAAATATGCCTGTGGTGGTTCCCACCCCCCTTGGGGGAGAGCTGTTGTCATGGAAACGACGAAAAAAAATAAAAACCTCCCCAAAACAGGTTCACTCCAGTAATTGGTACATATTTTGGTATGCTCACAGCAAGCAGCACACAGAGTGAGAAAAAGTAGGTGTTGTGCTTGTTAAAGAGGGACAGGATGAGGCTTGGGAGGGGGATAATTATGCCCCAAATCAATGACCCAAGGCTTGAAACAAATTCCTGGCAGTAGGGCTTCTGGGTGAAGGACAGGGCACTCAGCTGAAGGTTACCTAAAAGGGCCCGATTCCTCATTTTGGGAAGCTCTAGCCATTATAACAGGAAGATGGTAATGGGAAGGTACGTATATGAAACTGGGATAGTGACGGAGATCTGCATATGCTAAATTATATGCATAGGTGCAAATGTCTCTGAGCATGTTAAGCTGGAGGGGGCTGGACTAGATGACTCTCGGGCTCCCTTCCAACTCTAAAAGGTAAAGGTAAAGGACCCCTGACAGTTAAGTCCAGTCGCAGACAACTCTGGATTTGCGACGCTCATCTCGCTTTAGAGACCAAGGGAGCCAGCGTTTGTCTGCAGACAGTTTTCCTGGGTCATGTGGCCAGCATGACTGAGCCGCTTCTGGCGAAACTAGAGCAGCGCACGGAAATGCCGTGTACCTTCCCGCTGGAGCGGTACCTATTTATCTACTTGCACTTTTTTTGGCGTGCTTTCGAACTGCTAGGTTAGCAGGAACAGGGACCGAGCAACGGGAGCTCACCCCATCGCGGGGATTCGAACTGCCGACCTTCTGATTGGCAAGCCCAAGAGGCTCGGTGGTTTAGACCACAGTGCCACCAACTCTACAGTTCTGTAATTCTATAAACTGACCACAAGAGCACTCTCCCCTCTTGCGGCAACTGGTATTCAGAAGCGTCGCTGCCTCTAGTTGTCAAGGTAGAAAATAGCCATAATGGCTCATAATCACTGATAGCCTTATCCTCCTATGAATTTGTGCAGTCCTATTTGAAAGCCATCCAAGTCACTGCCTCCTGCGGAAACGCGTTCTGTAGTTTGCTGTGTGAAGTACTCTCTTTTCTGTCTGCTGGATCCAAAGGACTAATGGTCTCTGACTCAGTCAGCTTCCTATGTTCCCTACCTTTGACCTTGGGGTGGTGGCGGCGGTTGCATGGATTTCAATTTGGAACCTGTAACATTCTTCTACTCTATAAATTAACTGCAAAGAAAAAATGGCCGGGAACTAGTTTTTCATGGGGAAACGAAGGCGAATGGAAAGATTAGGCTGGCAGGAGGGGATTTGCATTCAAGGTCTGGGACGCAAGCCCAGAACTTCAGCCTTCTTTGCAGACCCATATAGCTCAACCGTGCATAGGAGCTAGTGACACTTGGAAAATACATCTCAGAAGGGTTTTTCCTTTCCTTTGGGCTGTTTGATCTCTGCTGCTGATCTGAGTGAGCTGTTTCCTGACTGAGTCACGGCATGTTTCATCCAGCTACTGGGCGAGTTGTGGTCGCGGCAGGATATCGCGGAGGGCTGGCTCTGGTGTGATTTTGGGGGTCCTTCCTCTTCCTCTTCAGGTTAACTTCTCCTGTAATTTGCCAGAAGGACTTTCTGGTCATCGTTCAGTTTAGCCTGGTGTTAGCAGTTCAAAGCAACCAAAGGAATCAGGACGAAGATATACAACCAGATGCCTCAAAGTCTCAGAATATTGGTGGGTGTGCAGAAACCACTGATCTGAATAAGATTTTGCCCCCTCCAAAGTGCACACGCCTTGGATTGTGCTATAAATACAGCTTAACTTAGTTGATTGTGTGAGTTTTAATCGACTGGTCGGTTAACTGATTAAACCAGCCTGGCTTCTACATGAATGAAACAATTGTTCTTGAGCACAAAGCACAGAATCAAGGAGTTGGAAGGGACCTCAGGGGTCATCTAGCCTAACCCCCGGCATTGCAGGAATCTCAACTCGATCATACAAGGCAGATGGCCATCCAACTTGTGTTTAAAAACAGCCAATGAAAGAGAGTCCACAACCTCCCGAGGGACTCTGTTCCACCTTTGAACAGCTCTTGCAGTCAGAAAGTTCTTCCTGGTGTTTCGTCAGAATCTCCTTTCTTGCAATTTCAAGATATTGGTTTGGGTCCTAGTCTCTGGAGCAAGAGAAAATCTTGCTTCGCTCTTCATGAGACAGCGCTTTAGATATTTGAAGATGGCTGTCACATCTCTCTCAGTCTCCTCTTCCCCAGGCTAAAACACACACAGCTCCCTCAACCGTTCCTCATAAGGCTTGCTTTCCAGTCCCTCAACATCTTGGTTGCATTCCTCTGCATACGTTCCAGCTTGTTCAATACCCTTCTTAAACTGTGGCACCCATATTTTGAATGCATTTGATGATAATCGTAATAATAATAATAATAATAATAATAATAATAATAATAATTTATTTGTACCCTGCCCATCTGGCTGGGTTTCCCCAGCCACTCTGGGGGGCTTCCAACAAAGACCAAAAATACACTAAAATGTCACACATTAAAAACTTCCCTGAACAGGGCTGCCTTCAGATGTCTTCTGAATGTCAGGTAGTTGTTTATCTCTTTGACATCTGGTGGGAGGGCGTTCCACAGGGCGGGCGCCACTACCGAGAAGGCCCTCTGCCTGGTTCCCTGTAACTTGGCTTCTTGCAATGAGGGAACCGCCAGAAGGCCCTCGGCGCTGGACCTCAGTGTCCGGGTAGAACGATGGCGGTGGAGACGCTCCTTCAGGTATACTGGGCCGAGGCCGTTTAGGCCTTTAAAGGTCAGCACCAACACTTTGAATTGTGCTCGGAAACGTACTGGGAGTAGAGCCTGCAGGATCAGGCCAGAGCCTGTAGCTCTCTCCCCCCTCCTGCAGTTTCCATCCACTGATGGTATTCTGAAACATACTGCCTCTGACAGTGGATGGAAACTGCAGGAGGAAATAAGGGCCGCTGCTATTGCTGTTCTCAGCTCGATCCAATGGACTTAAGTTACTCAGCTCCATTGATTGACGCTGAGCATGACTAACGTTGGTTTTCACCCTTAAAACGTTTCAGAGCAAGCCAGTGAGGAAGAACTGAACTAGAAGGAGCCGCCAATACAGTCAGAAGCATTAGTAAGGTCAAAACTATGCCTGATGTTTTGCGCAGACGAAACCTGATAAAGCCCAAACTCCTGTTGCCTAAACACATATAAGCCTGGTATTCATTTTTACTCCGTATGTTACAAGAATTACAGTGGCAGCTCTTAACAAGCGTTGGGTTTCCCCCCTGCCCCCCTCCCACAATGAGCTTGAAATTCCTCAATTATTATCAGCCTGCTTTACATGCAGATAAATATATAACCTTGAGTCACACAGACACGCCCAGAGGTGCAGGCGGCCAGCAAAGAGACGTGGGCTGCCAAAAACCTGCCTAGCAGACACTCTTAAGTGTTTGCGCATTCCCACGCCAGACCTTCTGCCACACGCGATGGGGCTAGCCAGCGGAAGAGTAGCTCCTGCAGCTGAAAGTGCTTACATAGCGTTGCAGGCAAGAGGCAATGATGGCCACAGACTCGGGTGGCTTTGAAGGAGGAGCTGGCAGCTTCATGGAGGATAAGTCGCTGTCGGAGGCAGTAAACACGTTTGGGGGAAGATCCCTGCATTAAAGGGGGTTGGACTAGATGACCCTGGTGGCCCCTTCCGGCTCTACGAATCTGTGATTTTGTGATTCTATGAATGCCAGTTGCTAGAAAGCGCAGGAGCAGAGAGGGCTCTTGGGTTCAGGCCCTGCTTGCAGGCTTTGCGTGGGCAAGTGGTCGGCCGCTACAAGAACAGCATGCTGGACCCAGATGGGCCACATGCTCTTATGTCCTTAGGATTCATCCACATGCCAACAAGTTCAGATTGGGCAATTAAAGCTGATTTGGCACAGCAAACCTGCTTCTCCAATAAAGGTTCAGACTTCTCGCAATCAGGGAAGTGATGCGGAAATACAGCGGGACAAACACTTGCTCTGATGCCACGCCTTCCTGCATACAAATCAGAGTGAATATTCATTAAATAGACAACTTCATCGAGATTCCATGCAAGTAAATCAGGATGAACGCCTAATTCTCATCTGGAAATGCCCTATGCATTCTCTGTGGAGCATAGGAAGATGTGTTATACCAGCAGATCCAATGTAACACCACCACCATCATCATTACAGTCGTACCTCGGAAGTCGAACAGAATCCATTCCGGAAGTCCGTTCGGCTTCTGAAACGTTCAACTTCCAGAGTGCAGCTTCTGATTGGCTGCAGGAGGCTCCTGCAGCCAATCAGAAGCCCCATAAGCCCCGTCGGATGTTTGGCTTCTGAAAAAATGTTCAAAAACCAGAACAATCACTTCCAGTTTTCAATCGTTCAGGAGCCAGAATGTTTGACTCCCAAGGTGTTCGGGAGCCGAGGTACAACTTTATTATTATTATTATTATTACTGACTAAACTGCGGGAGGCAGTGGAAGACAGAAGTGCCTGGTGTGCTCTAGTCCATGGGGTCATGAAGAGTTGGTCATGACTAAACAACGTTTATTATTATTATTATTATTATTATTATTATTATTATTATTATTATTATCCTGTCTTTCACCCTATGGTCCCAGGGTGGGTTACAGCATTAAAACAATATTACAAACAGTTTAAAACAACTTACAACCACAGTTCCTAAAAATATACACCTCAAATATCAAAAGCCAGGGTTAAAGAGGTGTGTCTTCAGCATTTTCCAGGAGATGCATAATGAAAGCGCTAGCTAGATGCATCTCTGTGGGGAGGGAGTTCCGCAGCTTAGGGGCCACCACAGAGAAGGCCCTGTCCTGGGCCACTCTGCTCCCTCCCCCCCACCTGAGCCTCTGAAGGTGGAGGAACAACCACGAGGGCACCCTCCGCTGATCTCAGCACCAGAGACGGTCTGTAGGGAAGGAAACATGCTTTCAGATATTTGGGCCCTGAACATTTAGTGCTTTAAACAATAACATGAGCACCTTGAATTGGGACCAGAAACGAACTGGCAGCCAGCGCTGCTGTCTTAAAACAGGGGTTATTCGAGATCTAAAGGGACCCCTGGCTGCTGAATTTTGGACCCACTGAAGTTTCCAAGTCACCTTCAAGGGCAGCCCCATGTAGAGAGACCTGCAGTGATTTGATGCAGAAGTTTCCAGGGCACAGCCTTTAGTCTTTTCAAACTGTAAACTCCCTTCGTTGTCTTGGCCGAGAGATGTAAATGCAGTCTTCGTCTAAGATAATAAAACATGTTGTAAGCTTGTCAAGGCCATCCTGCTGGCCAGCCAGTTTCCGGGAGGTTGTGTGTGTACACAAATAATTGGAAATGTAATGCTCTCCTTCTACTCAAAGCTAGGTGCAGGAGAGGCAATGCGTTTCCTGTGGGATGTGGAGATGCTTTGTGGGAGTTTAGGGACAGACTGGGGGTAGTGTGTGTGGGGTGGGGGGAGATGGCGATTTAAGAGCAGATGGAAGTTGAACCAAGGTAGATGGCAGGGAGCAGCAGCAGGATATGGGCAATGGAAGGTGTGCTGGAGCTTCCACACTTCTCTCCTTCCACACATATGTGCATTTTCATAAGCCATTCATTACTGTTCTTATACTGGGAATCTGAATTTGTGCGGGAAACAAAACTCTTGGCGTGGCAGCAACTGTTCTGTGGAACTCCCTGCCTATTGATATCAGGCAAGCTCCTTCACAGTGCTGTTTTTGACCCTGCTAAAAAAAACCTCTTCCTTTTGGCTAACCTAGCCAGACATGCCATTTTATTATGTACATTTGTGTTTTCTTTTATCATGTTGCAATGCCTACTATTTTCATAAAGCCTTGTTTTTATTGCTATTTTAAATGAAAGTTTTATACCATTTATTGAGACTGCTTGGAGAGAGAGAGAGAGAGAGAGAGAGAGAGAGAGAGAGAGAGAGAGAGAGTTTGTTAAAGAAATACAAATAAATTAAGAGGCCTTTTGATTCTTTTACTCTCATATATATATTTTTAATTAGTTTTTGCACAAATTTTCCAACATAATAACTCCAAAGCAACATGATATGTCTTTGGCCATCACAGCCTGAGACCTCCCTCAACCCCTTCTAATGGTTTTCCAAATTTTTCTCTGATTTTCCATTTTATTGCTATGCTTATTGCTAAAAGTCCAGTCTTACATCCACTAATCCTAGTCCTTTTCACAATAATTTGTAAAGTCCTCCTTACAAAACTTCCTGTACTCCTACAAGTGATGTTAAGTGATTACAATTGTCTTTCAAATACAAGATAAATTTCTTCCAGTCCTTTAGGAAAATCTGGTCCTGCTGGTTTCGAATGTTCCTTTTTAGTCTCGCCAGCTCAGCATAATCCTTTTACTCTCAATTCCAGGAGAGAAGCAAGGTGCTGTATATGTTTCGAGAAGGGTCGCCATGTTAGCCTCTTGTAGCAAAAACAACAAATGTTGCATTTCCATGGCCGCTTATTCCATTTCCCCAACATCTCCCTATCTTCTAATTTCCACATTATATTTGAGCTTGAAGCCATTTCTGGAAACACAGCTGAAAATATAGGGCATGTTTGGTGCTATTTCTGAAAGGATTTCTTTTTCCTGGAAGCAAATAACATTGACCTGAGCACAAAACTTCCACTGTAGTCCACGATATTTCCGGAAGTGGCTTCCACATCAGAAACACAGCAGAAGATGTCGTAAATTTAGTGCTGACCTTAGTGTTAATTGCAAGCAGATTCCCACCCCCCACCGGAAGCAAATAGCATGGAACTTAGCGTGGAACTTCTGCTATGTTTCCGGAAGTGACATTTTTAGCGTCATGCGGAAGCTCCAATATAACATGGAAATGAATAACTAAGGAACCGTCAAGAGAATGGAATAAGCTGAACGGAACATTGGTCTCCCTATCTTCTGCCCTACCAGTACCAACGTCCACCAGCCACTGGGGGGTGACAAGAGGGCGTCACTTGGATACTGGATTTTTATTATTATCTGCTCTCTTTCCCCTTAGCTGTTCATGATGGACAACTCCTTGACTGACTGGCGGATTGCTGTCAGTTGCCGCAAGCTGGCGTTTATCATGCTGGAGCTGCTGGTCTGCTCCATCCACCCCTTGCCCACCGGAGACTTCGCCTGCTTGGAGCCCCAGCCCACGCAGGCCTTCCTGTTCCTCTCCGAGGTCGACATGCTGTTGTCGCTGCTCATGTTCCTACGCCTCTACCTGGTGACGCGGGCGGCCCTGCTGCAAAGCAGCGTTCTAGGAGACGCCTCGTACCGCAGCATCGGGTCCCTCAACAAGATCCACTTCCAGTACCCCTTTGTGCTACGGGTGATGGTGAACAGCCAGCCGGGAAGGGTGCTGTTAATCTTCACGATGGGACTCTGGTTCATTGCCTTCTGGGTGCTGTCTGTCTGCGAACGGTAAGGACCGGGGCCTGCCTGTGCTGGCATTAGGCAGCGAGGGTCAGTTAGTAATAATTATCATCATCATCATTATTATTATTATTATTATTATTATTATTATTATTTAGGGATGTGGGTGGTGCTGTGCGTTAAACCACAGAGCCTAGGACTTGCCGATCAGAAGGTCAGTGGTTCGAATCCCCGCAATGGGGTGAGCTCCCGTTGCTCGGTCCCTGCTCCTGCCAACCTAGCAGTTCGAAAGCACGTGAAAAAGTGCAAGTAGATAAATAGGTACCGCTCTGGCAGGAAGGTAAATGGCGTTTCCGTGCGCTGCTCTGGTTCGCTAGAAGCGGCTTAGTCACACTGGCCACATGACCTGGAAGCTGTATGCCGGCTTCCTCGGCCAATAAAGCGAGATGAGCGCCACAACCCCAGAGTCGGCCATGACTGGACCTAATGGTCAGGGGTCCCTTTACCTAATAATAATTTATTATTTATACCCCGCCCACCTGGCTGGGTTTCCCCAGCCACTCTGGGCGGCTCCCAACAGAACTAAAAGCACACTAAAGCATCAAACATTTAAAACTTCCCTAAACAGGGCTGCCTTCAGATGTCATCTAAAAGTCAGATAGTTGTTTATTTCTTTGACATCTGATGGGAGGGCGTTCCACAAGGTGGGCACCACTACCGAGAAGGCCCTCTGCCTGGTTCCTTGTAACCTCACTTCTCACAGGGAGGGAACCGCCAGAAGGCCCTCGGAGCTGGACGTCAGTGTCTGGGCTGAATGATGGGGGTGGAGACGCTCCTTCAGGTATACTGGACCGAGGCTGTTTAGGGCTTTAAAGGTGAACACCAACACTTTGAATTGTGCTCGGAAACGTACTGGGAGCCAGTGTAGGTCTTTCAGGACAGGTGTTATGTGGTCTCGGCAGTCACTTCCAGTCATCAGTCTAGCTGCCGCATTCTGGATTAGGGCAAACGGGGCACTGGCCCACCAAGCTCAGCCGACCAACCCACCTGCCTTACATGCAACCAGTCTAGGGGGATGACCCTGGCTGCCTGCTTCCTCTTAATCTCAGGGTTGCTCTTGTACAACGTGGGAGAGAGGAGGATGGGGACCAAACCAGAATGGACTCTGATTAGCTGCGTCCCTTTATAAGACACAGCACCCCCCACTTCTGTTCTAGCTGCAGACTGAGCCTGGAGCTCTCTGCTTACAGAACATGTGCTTTGTCAGTTAGATGGACCCATCCTTAGAAGGAACCCATTCTACTCTGAAGCAGTCCAGAGCGCTACCCTCTTCCTTTTCAGAGCAGGCCTTTGTTTGTAAAGGACAATCCCATTTTCCGCCTGATGCCCAGCCAACAGGTAAATAAACTCCCCTGATGAGCCGGAGGCTAGCAACTGAGTCAGCCTCGGTGAAAAGAATAAACAAGCATTTTGTCACTTCAGGTGACACTCAGTCAAAAAAATAATAAATAGGCAAAGCCCATAGATTGGATTTCAAAGCAGTCGCGAGGAAGATCAGTTGCAAAACCAACAGTCTCCTGCTCAAAAGCTGCAGTGTTGGCATGCCTGCCCCGGTGCATGATGGGAGAGAACGCTTGCCTAACTGGACTGGGTTATGTTTCATGGGAAAATGTACCCAACCCCGCTTGATTATTTTCCTCGCTCTCTGGTGTCCCCCTCCCCACTATGCCAAGCTGCCACGAGCAAAACTTGAAAGCCTTGTTATCCCCTCATGGATTTGCCCGAGCAAAGAGAGACAAATGATGTCATCGCTCCTGCCCTGCCCCACTCCCGGTCTGTTTGGGCAGTGGTCCAGACTGGGCTCAGAGGGAGAGGGCCTGTGAGGGAGCAGTCGTGGTAGTGGCAAGGACAGCATAGACTGTGCCTGAGGTTTACTTCCCTGACTAGAGGCAGTACCCCTCTGAATTCCAGTGGCAGGGAGTCACAAGCGGAAAGAATGTGCTTGTGCTTGCAGTACCAAATGTATTTTTATTTCCCAGGGCCTATTTTGAGTCAATTTGAGCACTGCTGGTACCTCTTCACTGATCTGCTATTTTAATCTCTTGCGTATGGGTGTTTAATTTTAGTTTTTCGGAGTTTACTATTTCTCCTGTCCTCTTAAGTAACCCTGTAGGGTGTAATATAACTCTCAATAATGTGAAATACACATTTCCTGACGAATCTCTCTTCATTCCCACCTGTCAGGGAGCATATGGACAACGACTACCTATATAGCACTTTCTGGCTGATCCCCATCACTTTCCTAACCATTGGCTACGGAGATGTTGTTCCAGTGACGGTGTGCGGAAAAGTCGTGTGCGTGTTCACTGGTGTTATGGTAAGAGATGCGTCTGCGCATGGTGCAGAGCTGAAATGTGCAAATTTGTGCAAATCCAAAATCCGTCTCCCAGCTCCCCCCCCCAAAAAAACGTATGTATTTATTGTGTCCATATCCCACCCTTTTCTTCAAAGAGCTGAAGGTGGCTACGTGGTCTCTCCCTCTCTGCATTTAATCTTCACAACAACCCTGCAAAGCCAGGGTTCAAAACCCCACCCAGCCGTGAAGCACACTGGGTGACCTTGGGCCAGTCACTGCCTTACCTTGCAGGGTTTTTTGGGGATTAAGTGAGGAGGCTTTTTGGAGGAAAGTGTGGACTAATAAAATCGATTAGGCAGCGACTGAGAGGCAGCAGCTGACTCCAAGGTCATCTGGCGAGCTTTGTGGCTGACTGGATATTTGAATCCTGGCCTCAATCACTCTAACCACTACACCACACTTCCTCTCAATTCTGAAACGGAAAGTTCATATCTGAAAATGTGATGCTGCAATGCTACTTCAGAACTTTGACAGATGGACTTGAGTGCTTTAGACTCAAATATCTTGATTTGATTTTTTAGTATCATTATTATTGTTGGTCAGGCGTCAAATAAGAAATCCTATAAAGCTGTCAAGTGCTAAATGCCGCTTTTTGTGGTGCCTGTCAAGGGCTGTCGGATGCTATATAACATTGGTCTCTTGGTGAATTGATTTGATAACAAAACAGGAATTGATATCAGTCCTTTCATTACTGGGAATGTAGGCTGGACCAAATGAAGTTGGCTTGGATGGACAATGGATTTTGTATTTCAGAATCATAGGATTAAATAAGGAATAGTCAGATCTGGTCCATAGCTACTGCTGAAAAATTAACCCAGAAGTGAAGGTAGAGGACAAACCCAAAAAAGATTTGTTTTCAACAACATGGCAAAAAATAATTTTATATATTAATGGGGAAAACAATGTTCAAATGCCTCCTGTGGAATACAGTTTGGAATTAACTTTTCATCTTCAAATTAGAATGCCAAAAATCCTCAGTGGCAATATATTGATATTTAGCAATAACTTTTTTTTTTTTTTTAAGATATTGTCCTCCCCACCTCCAGTAACAATAATTCCCCCCCCCCAAGGAATGTGAATGAAACAACACAAAGTTACACTGTGTGTGCATTTGTACATTTCATTTCATTTCCTTTGAATTGTATTGTTTTTCTTGACTTCCTTACTTTTGTGTTAATTGGAAGCCTATGTTCGTGGACCTCAGATTTTGCTGTTTATTGATGATACGCTTTTACTACTGCTCTATGGATTGTTGCATGGGTAGCCCAAGTGGAGATCTTGAGATTTTGGGCTTCAGCTTCCATCAACTTTAGCCAGTGTGGTCCATGGTCAGAATGCTGATGGCGGCTGCAGTCTAAAAATGTATTGCGGGTCTTCCCCACACAATTGTGTTTTCTGCTTTAAGTTGCTTTGTTTTTATTTCAAACAAGTAATATATAAATCTTATGAAATACATTGAGAAAATCCTTTCTGCATTTCCAAGATGTTTAGAGACTATTCATGTAGCAAGTGATTAATGATGATCACAAACATAATCACAACAATCTACTATATATTTTGGAAAGTTGCATGTTTATTCGTTATGTGTTTGGGCATCTCTTAAGAGATCATCACCAAATTTTGCACATGTTTATTTGTTATGCATTTGGGCATCTCTTAAGAGATCACCACCAAAATTTGCACAGTAGTTCCCAAGATCAAGGAGCCAGGTTTTCATCCGTGCTTGGATACAATGCGATGCCATTTTGAATTAAGATGGCAGAATAAGCTTTTCAAAACTGCACTGATAATCAAATGCACCAACTGGGCTGATTTTTCTGTTTTTAAATTTCTGAGCTATGCGAGGAACAAGGCTAATAATACAGAAAATCCTGAAATTAGATATGTGCCCTTCCGCTGAGCTATCATAGTCCCTATCTGCCACAGGAATTCCTAGTTTAACCCGAGGCACAAGGCGTATATTTCCTCTGTGCCTCCAGTTTTATTACTTCAAACTCATTGTCCTCGTTGTTTTTTTGCAGGGAGTGGGCTGCACGGCCCTCTTGGTGGCTGTTGCTGCTGATAAGCTGGAATTCAGCAGGGCTGAAAAACACGTCCATAACTTCATGATGGACATTCAATGTGCCAAAGAGGTAAGGCAGAAGATGAGCTTGCTGGGTCAGGGCAACGGCCCATCTAGTCCAGCTTCCTGTTCTCACAGTGGCTTGTGGGGAACCAGCAACCTGTATAAAAAGCAATTTGCCAACCTGCGATTCCCAGGAACTGGTGCTCAGTGGCAAAGCAGAGCTTGTAGCTGCTGATAGTCTTCTTCGCCATGATTTTGTCCAGTCCTCTTTGAAAGCCATCAAAGTTGGTGGCCATCACTGTGGGAAAGAGTGGGAGAGAGTTCCATAATTTACCTATGTGCTCTGCTTAGAAACACTTGTATCTCAGGGTTGCCATACGTCTGGAATTTCCCATAAATTGCCGGTATTTGGCCATTGGAAACAGTGTCCGGGCAGAAATTGCCCAACATAAAGAAAAACACAATAAAACATTAAAATTAAAAAAAACACAACTTCCCTATACAGAGCTGCCTTCAGATGTTTTCTAAAGGTTGTATAGCAGTAACTCGGAGGCCTGTTCGCAATATGAAAAGAACACAACCTGCAGTGGCGCGTCTGCGCACGCGTGGATTGCGATTCGCCGCTTCGGCGCATGCGGGTGACATCATTTTGCACTTCTGTGCATGCGCGAGCAGCGAAACCCGGAAGTAACCCTTTCCGATACTTCTGGGTTGCCGCGGGACGTAACCTGAAAGCATGTAACATGAGGCAGATGTAACATGAGGTATGACTGTATAGTTACTTATCTCCTTGGCTTTGGGGGTCGCATAGCTCCATACCCTCCAACATTTCTCTGATGAAAATAGGGGCATCTGCCAGGCAAGGCCTACCTTCCCCCTCTCTGTAGATAACAGCATGAAGCGAAAGCAGTCTTTTGCAGCAACAGAGAGCTTTATTGAACACAGCACAAACATTCAGCATCCATTTTCACCGTGCAGGTGCTCCCAATTGAGTTCCTCCCACTTCCTTCCACTTCCTTCCGTCTTCCCGTCCAGTGGCGTAGCGTGGGGGGTGCAGGGGGGGCCGGCCGCACCGGGCGCAACATCTGGGGGGGCGCTCGCACTCGCAGCTCTCTGCCCCTAGGGCAGAGGGGGCGCAAATTACTTGCCTTGCCCCGGGTGCTGACAACCCACGCTACGCCACTGTTCCCGTCTCCTCACCACGTGACCCCCCTCCAACCACTGAGCCTTCTGAGAGGCTACCCTATCCAGACGCCTGCCTCTACAGCTCATGGGCTTTCTAGTGAGGGAGATCCAACCAGCTCTCTCTTCCCGTTCCTCTCCCCTTGGTTGCTCTTCTCCCAGCTCAGCCCAACAGTCAGTTCCCGAACTGTGTCCTTCTGCAAACCGTTGCTCTAGGTCAATACTATCCTCCTGCTCCAGAGGAGCTTCAGGATCAGGCCCTTGAGCAGAGGGAGAGGGGGGTGTCCACCATTCTTCCTCAGAGCAATACCCTTCAGTCTGGTTCCTGACAATGTCCTAAGAAAAAGAGGGACATTCTGGGATCAAGTCAGAGACTGGGACAGCTTCTGTAAATCCAGGACAGTCCCTGGAAAAGCAGGGTTGCCATATTTCAAAAACTAAAAGCCAAGACACCCCAAAATGAGTTGTTGAGCTTATTTTGAACAAACCCCAAAGTTGTTGAGCTTGACACTTCTTTCTTACCTTCTCTCTCAACTAAAAAGTACCAGATGTGTCAGCCTTTCCTCAGAGGAGAATAGCTCCCATTACCTGCACCTGGTGTGGGTAACTTTAGTCCATCAAGGGCTGCAGTCCCTTGGGGAATAATATTTTGGAGCCTGCATATTAACAGTGGGTGGTGCCACTCTTTTTTATCTCTCTGCTACCTTTTCTCTTTTTTCTGCCACCCGTTCACTCTCTCCCTCTCCCTCCCCTCACTTCCTCCCCCTGCCCCCCAGTGGGCTGCCAGGAAAGGAATAGGTAACTCTCGCCAGACATCTGAATTAATTGTTTGCTGAGGATTTTTGAAATTAAGCCAAGAGCGTCACATGCACGTTGCCCACCCCCTGACTTTTCGGATCAATCAATTTCAACAAGATTAATGTGGGAAGTGTAGCTTTTGAGTTTCCTTAATGCCTCTTCTGTTTTCATTTCGAAACATCCTCTTTCTTGTCATCATTCACCAGAAGTCAGGAATTAACAGAAGACAGGGCTTCCTGGTCACAGGAAGGTTTTCGGGTATTACATCAGATCTCCCTCCTTCCAGAGTTGCGTATCTTTGTTGGCTACAATTTTTAGTGAAATGCTACCATTGTGTTTTCCACAAAGCGTGTTCCTGCTTTGCAAGTTTGCAGGCTCTGGCTCAGTTTTTTTGGGGGGGGGGGCTGGATATGGGTCAGGTGGGTTCCCAGGTCAGCTTGATCTGGGGCCCCCACATTTGGGCTTCTGGTCGGGTCAGGGGCCTGCGCACAGCCTTAATTATCACAGTTGAAGGAACAAAAATACTCAGAGCCAGGCAGTGGTACCCCAAGAGGATCGGGAGGGGTGCACATGAGAGAAAAGTGTGTAGCCGAGGGAGAGTCTTAAGGGCCAGAGAGAAAGGCCTTGAGGGCCGCATCCCTGGTGTCTACAATAATGAGGTGGATGGGACTTTGGCTTGACTTTGGAGGAAGCAGTTTTATACGTCCAAGACTTCTACACTGATGAACTGCAGATCTACTCCTCGCTATTTCCTTCCCTGTCGGGCAGCCCTTCCAAACTGAAACTCTACAGGGGTTTCTGCTGCAGCATTTTGCCCTGCAGAAGAGCTAAAAGGCTCCCCTATTTGAATGTTAATATGCAAATACAAGGGGCATGTTTTTGTGTGGTTAGCTCTTCCAGCAAGGGGCAAAAACTTGAAACACGCCTGGCTCTGTTGTTCAATATATACGATATACGATATCTTTATTGTCATTGTCCCATGCAGAACAATGAAATTGAAAAACTACGTAAAACATTCAAAAACCCCTAAAAACTCTGAAACCCCATTTTAAAATACACTATACTATAGAGACCCCTTATGCTGTGTTTAGAACCAGAATTGCATTTGTGTAGAAACTGTTTCTCAGGTGGCTAGTCCTGGCCATGGCAGGTGCCATTTTAATGTGCCCTGTGGACCACGGTTTAAGAACCCCCTGCAATAAACAATAACCGCTGTTCCTGGGCTCTCTGCCCTGTTATCTCAGGGCGTGTGTAGGCATACATGCAAATCAAGACTTCCTTGTGGGTTTCCTCCTCCCTGGCCTCCCCCCACCCAACGCTTTCACAACACTTTTGACAGATGTCCTGTCCTAGCCGGCAAAATCAAAGGCCAATGCAGTTGTCAGTCTTCCTCCTTCTTCCGCTTGATGGGTCATGAATGGCACTGGAGGGAAGGGTTGCAGCTCAGTGGCAGACTCTCCTTCACTTGCCAAAGGTTCCAGGTTCAAATCCCCGGTATTTCCTGGTAGGGCTGGCAAAGCCTCCTTGCCCAGGTTGTCTCCCAGTGACGTCCACAGGGCCAAAAGTTCCCCAGTCCAGTTGCAGACCATCAAAAACTTTCTGCAAAAGGAGCATAGATCAGTGGTCGAGCTCGTGCTTTGCATGCGAAAAGTCTAAATCCTTGGCATCTCTAATTAATATCTCCTTGGCTGAAACTCCAGACAGCCTCTGTCCGTCAGGGCGAGAGAAGCCCTGAGCTGTTGGGCCTGTGCTCTGTCTTCATCTAAGGCAGCTCCTTATGTTCCTAGCAACAGAGAAGGGAAACTGAGCTTCGGCGAGCCGTCACGTCTCTCCCTTTTCTCTCCCTTTTTTTGCACCAACCTCTAGATGAAGTGGTCGGCCGCCAACGTGCTGCAGGAGGCTTGGATGCTGCACAAACACACCAAGAGGAAGGATGGCCTAAGGACACGCAAACATCACCGAAGGCTGCTGGCAGCCATCCATATGTAAGTCAATCGCTCCCAGGTCATGGGGTGCTCAGGTGTAGTGCCAAGTCGGGGGGAGGGGGAAGGCTGGGCAAGGCACCTTCCGGGGCAGAGGACTGCACTGCCCTGGTCCTGCTCTGCCAGTTTCCCCCTTTCTAAGTCTTGGACTGCTTGGGTGCCAAGGAATGGTGGGAGAAACCATCAGGCCAATGCCCAGGGAAAGAAGGCTCAGAGCCCTGGGATTAGAGCCAGTGTGGTGTAGTGGTTAAGAGGAGTGGACTCGTAATCTGCTGAACGGGGTTTGATTCCCCGCTCCTCCACATGCAGCTGCTGGGTGACCTTGGGTCAGTCACACTTCTCTGAAGTCTCTCAGCCTCACTCACCTCACAGAGTGTTTGTTGTGGGGGAGGAAGGGAAAGGAGATTGTTGGCTGCTTTAAGACTCCCTAGGGTAGTGATAAAGCAGGATATCAAATCCAAACTCCTCCTCCTCCTCTTCTTCTTCTCCTTCTCCTTCTTCTTCTTCAAAACTATCCTCATTAAGTCCTCTTATTTTTGCTGTTAACTTTGCCTAATTCTACATCACCTTGCTTATTCGTTTTTCTTTGGTTGGAACTTCTTCTTCCATCCATTTTTTGTGCGTAAATACAGTGGTGCCTCGCAAGACGAAATTAATTCGTTCCGCGAGTTTTGTCGTCTTGCGATTTTTTCCGTTTTGCGAAGCACGGTGTCGGGAAAGTTTTGGAAAAGCTTCAAAAATCACCAAAGTCTTTAAAAACCTCAAAAAGGCTACCACACCGCGTTCTATGAGTTGCTCCTCGAAGTCAAGTCGCAACTGTATTAACGGTGTTAAGAAAAAGGAAACAAACTTGCAAGACGTTTCCGTCTTGCAAAGCAAGCCCATAGGGAAAATCGTCTTGCGAAGCAGCTCAAAAAACAAAAAACCCTTTCGTCTAGCGAGTTTTTTGTCTTGCGAGGCATTCGTCTTGCAGGGCACCACTGTATTCCTAGTCAAACGAGGATTTCGAATTGAACCGGTCATTCGATTTGAGATGGGAGGCGGCGGCGACAAGGGCCGGTTAGATTTGTTACCCGTCGTCCGCCCTGCGTGCAAGGGCTCTGAGCCCCTCGCAGATGGGCCTGGGAGCATGTTGTACATTTCGCTAGAAATTATAGCGAGCGCTCGCAGCCAGTGATCAGGGTTTCCTGAGGAAAGTGCACCGGCGGGTCACGGCTGCTGCATACGTTTTAACTGTTAAAACTCTTCTCTCCATTGCAATTTGGAAAGGAAGCACATTGGCGAAAGCCCAGGAGGGGAAATAACTTCTCTGTTCTCCTCGTAGGTTCCGACACGTGAGGATGAAGCACAGGAAGATCCGAGATCAAGTGAATGCCATGATGGATGTCTCTAAGGCGAGTTGTGTGCCGGGGACATTGTTGCCCGGTCGATAAGAGGCTGTGTACACACAAGTTTAAAGCGTGTTGCTCCCCAATAAATGTATCCTGGGAAATTGCAGTTTACCCTTTACAGAGCTACAGTTCCCAGGCTTCTTTGGGCTGTGGTGTGGGGAATATGCTTTACATGCGCAGCATGTATGCATCCTCTGTCGACTCTCCTGTGGTGCAACGGACTAGTGCATCTGGCTGTTAACCAGAAGGCTGGCAGTTTGAGCCCACCCAGGAACTGCTGTGGGCAGAATTCTGGCATCAAAGGGGGTCAAGGACCCTTCCAACTCTGCAATTCTCTGGTTCTATTAATCTAAGGCAATGCAATGCCTTTAAGCGCAGTGTGTTTCCAATATAGTAAGCATTAGCAAATTCTTGCAAAAAGGCCACTGATAAGTTCCTGAAGGTGTAGCTTCTATGACAGTAAAGGGGTACCTTGGTTCTCAAACTTAATCTGTTCCGGAAGTCTGTTCCAAAACCAAAGCGTTCCAAAACTAAGGCGCACTTTCCCATAGAAAGTTGTGCAAAATGGATTAATCCGTTCCAGACTTTTAAAAACAACCCTAAAACAGCAATTTAACATGAATTTTACAGTAAACAAGCAATAAACAATGTATTCCAATTTAACAAGAATAATAAACAAGCAATAAACAAGCAATAAAAAATGTACTCCAATTTAACATGAATTTTACAATAAACAAGCAATAAACAATGTACTCCAGTCACACAATCAATCAATCAATCAATCAGTAGCTGAACTGGGTTCCACACAGTCACAAAAATAAAACAAAAAAGCCGCAAAAAGAAAAACACAAAATAAATAGCAAAAATAGACAGACCTCAGCGGAACACTCAAAACAGAAGTGTGGCACTCAAAACGGAGCACGTTTGGATTCTGAAAAAAGTTCACAAAAGTTCACTGTATTTTGTGTCTGGGGGAAAGTAAATTATTCCAAATATAAGCATTGCTGCTGCTTTTGTTGTTGAGATTATTATTTTTCCTGCCATTCTCTGAGTGGGCTCAGGGCAGCACATTGAGTTTCCCCACCACCCCTCCCCATTGATCCCCATAACAAGGTAGGCTAGGTTGACTAAACTGATGGACTTGATGTCATCCAAAAGGCTAAATAAGAAGTGTTAGCTAGATCTGGTACTGGACTGCCCTGATATCTACAGATGAAGGGCAGCATACAAATTAAATAATAATCTCAGTGTGAATATATTATATATAAAAAATATAATGTAATAGCAGGCTTGGGATGAAGCGATTTGTGCCTCCCCCATCTTATATTTCTGCAGCTGGTTCTTCCTGCCTAAGTGCAGAACCTTACAATTTGTCCCTATTTTGTTAGTTTTGGCCCAGTTCTCTAATCTGTTAAGGTCGTATTGGATCCCAATTCGGTCTTCTGCGCCATAAGCTACCCCTCCCAGTTTGTTGTCACCTGCAAATTAGATGAGCATCCCCTCACTTCCTTCATCCAAGTCAGAACCCTGCAGGACCCCACTTGTCACTTTCCCCCCATCCCTGAGGACAAGAGCGCCACCTGTGGGCCAGTCCCGGGAAGTAACTTGAGCAAAAGCTGAACTGTTGACAGCCGTGTCCTGTTCTTCCTCTGCTGCAGATGCAGATGATCATGTGCGACCTCAGCTCCAGCCTCAGTAGCTCCCACCGGGAGCTGGAGAAGCGGATCGAGTCCCTGGACAGGAAACTGGACGAGATGACGAGACTTCTCTCGGGACTCGTGGATTCCAAGCAGCGGCAGGAACAGCGGGCGCTCTGAACGCCAATTGCAGTTTGGTAGGTGCGGCACCTAGAACTCTGCGACAAAAACCCTCTTCGCAACACAAGATTCTGCAACTCGAAAACACCCAAATTCTGCAATCGGAATCTGTTTGGCCAATTTGAATATACTAGCAAGTTCTCCCCGGGAATTATGTCTTTCTGTTCTTCCCTCTGGAGCCTAGAACTTGAGAGACATGCTGGGATCTCTACCCTACGCTCTGGGCTCTAAAAGCAGGAGTGGCGAGACCTCTGACCTTCCCAACGCCCCTGGACTACAACTCCCATCATTCTGAACCATTACCATCACTGGCTGAGACGGATGGGATTTGTAGTCTCTCCCCCCAGCCCCCCAAAGGGAGGGGGAACTTGTTTGCTAGCTTTCTGGGGTCTAGTTTCAATATAATCCTCCTCCTTCATGGGACGCAGGTGGCGCTGTGGGTTAAACCACAGAGCCTAGGGCTTGCCGATCAGAAGGTCAGCGGTTCGAATCACCGCAACGGGGTAAGCTCCCGTTGCTCAGTCCCTTCTCCTGCCAACCTAGCAGTTCGAAAGCACAGAGTGCAAGTAGATAAATAGGTACCACTCCGGCGGGAAGGTAAATGGCATTTCCATGTGCTGCTCTGGTTTGCCAGAAGCGGCTCAGTCATGCTGGTCACATGACTTGGAAGCTATACGCCGGCTCCCTCTGCCAGTAAAGTGAGATGAGCGCCGCAACCCCAGAGTCAGTGATGACTGGACCTAACGGTCAGTGATCCCTTTACCTTTACCTCCTTCATTGCAGGTTTTTTAAAGCAGAGATTGGATGGCCACCCCCCAGGGATGCTTTAGTGAAAATTCCTGCATTGCAGGAGGTTGGACTAGATCCCTCCCAACTCTACAATTCTATGATTCTATCTGTTCCTCCAATATTAGTGCCACTGTGACCTTTGTTCTCCTTTACCTTCCAGGTGGCTAAAGAGATGGTTTTGATCATCTCGCTGAAGCCTCCATAGACAGAACTTTTAAACTCCTCCTGCCTTTCTTCATGGGCATCAGGCAGTGTGTCAGGAACACACGGGACTACACCGCCACCTTATGGTGGTGGAGAACCACTACAGGCATTTTGAAAAGCCGACCCACCGCATCAACAGACAAAAGAAAAGGAGCGAGGAGGAGCTTTTGGAACTTTGTTCTCCGCGGGAAAGACTTCTCGAACCTCTGAATGGATTTTTGTTGTGTCTTGCAAGAGGGACTCTGGATGCAAAATCAAAAGACAGGACATCCACTCCTCTGGCAGGCTTCTGAGCTGTGGGCGGGGGAACCAAGAGGACAAGATACAGGAATAAAAACTGTGCAAAGTCCTTGCCCTTTGGCAAAAGACAGTTTGTCCATCCCGGGCAGGAATGCAATTTTCAGGAAGCAATTGCTAACTGGCTGCACAGGATCTCCTGAGATGGGTGGGGGAGGACCCCACACCCTCGAAGTTCAGGCTTGCATATAATCATGTTTTTGGTCACCTAGAGAGTAACAACAGTAGCTGCAGGCGAGGAAGATTGTGTGTGTCTGTACCGGGGGTGGGTTTATCATTTAAGGCGGTTGATGCTACGCCAGTGTCTTAACATAAGCTAGGGCTAAGCAGGCTACTTGCCAGCCTGCTCTTGACATTTACTATGCATCTGGAACAAATGTGCCTTAAGACAACACTGCAGAAACACAACTGCTGGCAAGGAGACTCTGATCAGGAGCTCCAGAGACAAGCAAGAGCCATCGTTTTAGACTAGAATACCCGAAGGGTCCCAGCTTCAGTACGTTTAAAAAGTTATGTTAGGCACAGAGGCCTTGTTTGTGTCATGGACCTTGGAAGGCAGGCAAAATAGATGAAAGAAGGTTGGATGGACACGGTGGTCCAACTTGAGACCAAGAGTGAAGTTCTCAAAGGGCTGCTTAGGCTAGCTGTTCAGTGAGAGGTTGCAGGAGTCTCTTAAGTGTGGGGAAACCTAGGTAATCAGCCACTGAGCATCCTTTTGTCTGGCCGGAGGGGAAACTTTGGAAGTCAACATCTGGTGGGGAAAGTACTGCTTAGCTCTCAGCCTTCAGGTCAACACTGAAATGCAGAGAAGTGTGCTTTCTTTTTCCAAGGTGTCCGGACAGGAGAATTACAATTTGCACTCGGGTCCTGGTTTTGGGCTTCCCACAGGTATCTGGCTGGCCACCAGGAGAACAGGATGCTTGTCTAGATGGGCTTGAACCACAGCAGGCTTTTCTTACTTTCTTAGGGGATCAGCTTTTAGAAGCCATACTTTTGTGGGGAGCCGACTGCCGTCGTCTCCTTCCTTTCTGCAGAAGTTTGTGAAGCACATAAAACTGGAGGTACAGATTCCTACCTCTCCCCTAAGGAGAGAACTTGATATTTGGATTGCTTTTGGTGTCTCAGGTGAGAGATGAGGGAAGCCGGCGGTGTATGTATAGGCGGTACTCTCCTTTATAGTATTTTCTTCTCTCCTTTTTTCATTAGAGGGGAGGAAGGGATAGACGAAGTGCCTTTGCCCAGTCTGTTAAAGTGGTTTCTATCACCTCTCGTGAGAACCTGCTGCTTCCCCAGTGAGAGGCAAGGGGAACGTTTGGTGTGAATGCTCACCTGGGGGGGTGTCTATATTACTGCTTGCTTGTCAGTACTTGACATTTGTCTGGCTCCCATAGCGCAGACATGCGAGGATGAGAGACTGAATTATGGCAGCGATTGTGGAGTATGATTGGAGGGCGTGCTAGAATAGTAAATTTGAGTGCATTGGAGCATTGATGTGTGCTGACCATGCAAGGTGTGTGTGTGAGCGAAACTGAACCGTCTCTGTATTTTTAGCTGTAATTAGATTAAGTTGTGCAAAACGCTGAATAGGGAGCTGGGCACTGATACATTTAACGGGATGATTGATTGATGTACGGTGGTGGGGAAGAATGAGTTGATTTTCTTTTGCTTCATTGCGAATCAGATTTGTTGTTTTTTTTATAAAAAAGGTGAAATTTATACTTCTTAGCTCATTTTTAATTATTTTGCTTCCTGATCTTTAGAGGATGCTTGGAATTAGTCCTTTACTGTGGATTTTCCTTGCATTTTTTTGCAGCTGATGAGGATGCTCTACTTAGTTACGTTTTATAGAACGTAGAAATGCTCTCCTTTTTTGTTTTGGTATCTGCTGTTTATTTAAGATGTTTTAACCTATGTTGTAAACCGCTTAAGAGTTTTGTTTAACTAAAAGCGGTATATAAATGGTTCAAATAAAAATGAACAAAGGCCATTATTCCTGTTGCTAAATGATGGCTGCACACCAGACCCAAGGAAGGAAACATCAGGACCACTTTTTGTCCTCCCCTCCCACCCCTGGGGTGCCATCCCAAAACACACCGAGGCAGCAGTTTTAAGCAGAGGGGTTTGCATCTCACCAGCCACTTCCAACGATGTTCTTTACTCCCCTGGAATAGAGGTCACTACATATCAAACGATTACCGTATTTTTCGCTCTATAACACGCACCTGACCATAACACGCACGTAGTTTTTAGAGGAGGAAAACAAGAAAAAAATATTCTAAATGAAACAGTGGATGTATGTTTTTTGTGGTTCATGCTGTGGCCACAGACATGTGATCTGACGGTGAGTTTGGGGTGACCCAGTGCAAAAATCCTGAGGATCCATGTGGATCCGTGCTTTGTAACGTTTTAAGTGGGGAGGGAAGGAAAAGCACTCAAGGGACAAGGAGCACGCGTGGGGTGTGTGGAGAAGGATGCTGTTAATAATGCAGGAGAGGCTCCTCTCTGGCTTTGCTCCTTTAAAACAAGCAGGCTCTGCTTCTCTCCCTGCTCCCCGGCAAGGAAACCACGATAGTAACCACTCTGAGACAAATCAAGAAAAATTCCGACCAACACTCTCCCCCAACAAGCGCAGTGAGGTCAAAACACACACACACACACACACAGAACTGGCCTAAAGTCGCAGGGGCGCAGGGAGAGTGAACGGGAAGCAAGAGAAGGAGAAGGAGCCCTCACACACACACACAGAGTGTCAATTCTAAAGTCGCAGGGGCGCTGGGAGAGTGAAGGGGAAGCAGGAGGAGGAGAACGATAGCTCAAGCACACACACACACAGCCCCTACAGTGGCTAATCCAAAATCGGACAGCAAAAAACTGCAGGCAGGGACAGAGAGCGGGGGTTGTTTTAAAGCAGCCAACTCCCGCTCTGCTTCTCTCCCTCCTCCCCGGCTCCGCTAGCTGACAGGAGCCGCTTACACCTACTTTGCTGTTTCAAAGCGAGCCACGGACTGCTCACGGCTGCAGCAGATTCCCCCGCCATCTGTAGGCATTCGCTCCATAACACGCACAGACATTTCCCCTTACTTTCTAGGAGGAAAAAACTGTGTGTTATGGAGCGAAATTTACGGTAATTAAATCTGCATTCATGTGGATACAGAAAAAGGCAATGGGCTGGATCCACAGTAGCTCTACCATTGCCATCCCTAGTTTAGGTACCTGTATTGAAAATAACTTACAATATGAAAAGAAGCTGTTGATTGCTTCATTGGGGGCACCTTTGCAGTCAACCCAAATGTGTTCTGAGACTGCTGAGCTGCTACACCAAGGACAGCCAATATGATGTGTTCCCCGCCCAGGTGCTGTTGGACTCCAATTCCCATCAGCCCTGGTTACTCCAACCAATGGTCAGGGATGATGGGAGCTGGCTCCTCCAGGTATCTCTGTGCCTCACGCTGCAGCCCATGCCTTTCTGAACAATCCCAGCCTACACACCTCAGCCTACCTCTTGTGAACACAACCCACATAAGAAACGCAGGTTTCTGCTACCACACAGGCCTCCCCCTGCAGGTAAGCAAAGAGTGATGGACTCAGCATCTTTTGCTGTTTTAATTTTCACAGTCATAATTACATGGGGGGAGGGGAACAAAACAAAAGAAATACATCCCAACAGAAACAAGTTAAGCTTCACAACCAGTAAACCGTGTCAGACTAACGCTCCCCCGAAAGCAGCAGCCATTTGTCTTCGGTTCCCCAGACATACGAGGCAAACCGCCAAGGGACTGGTGGGCGAAAGGCTGGGGGTCCGCTCTCAACAGGACCTCCAGATATTCCTGGGGCCCTGACTGAGCGAGCCCACCTGGCTCAGCTCGAGGGGAGGAAACCTGAGAGGGTGTACACCCGCAGGCCGGGCCGCTGGTTCCTCACGTGGTGCCAGAGGTAGCGGGACAGGCGCCGGAAGCTGGCTCCACACGGGCAGCTGAAGTGGGCCGGGCGAGGGTGGCAGGAGCCGTGCCTGGCGAGGCCCGTGTGCCCTTTGAGGGACTTCCCACAGGCCGCGCAGATGAAGAGGGCTTCCTCCAGGTGCTGCAGCTGGTGCCTCAGGAGGTGCAGCAGGCCACGGAAGGAAGTCCCGCATTCGCACAGGAAGCCCCGCCCTCGGCGCCGGGGCCACTTCTGGTGGGCGCGGAGCTGGGATACCCGGCTGTAGCGTGCCCCACAATCGGGGCACCGGAAGCCCCACGCAGTCCTCCTCCGTCTGGCCGGCTTCCGAACCCTTCTCCTCTTGGAGGCCCGCCGCCTGTGGCTGCTGAGGGGGCGGCTCACCGCCGCCATCTTGGGGCCCCTCGAGTCAGGGTCCACTTCCACCACGATGAAGTCCTCCTCTGCCGCCGCCACCACTTCGGCACCGTAGGCCTCTGGGCCAGCCCTCCCATTTGCCTCCCACGGCTCAGAGGCCACAGGGATGCCGCCACCCATGTCGTATTCCAGGTCCAAGACCTCAGGGTGGTCCCCCCCGGACGTGCCGGGGACCAGGCGGACAACCACGGAGCCTTTGGGGGAAAGGCTGGCGGTCGCCGGGGGTGATGGCTGCTTGTTTTGTTGACACGGGTTTGGCACGTACCCCGAGAACTGCACGGTGGCGGCCTGGGGCTCCTCCCAAGCCCCGTTCCCGTCGCAGGCCGGATCTGTGCTGTCCAAGGTCAATGCGTTCCCGTACGGGACGGTTATAAACTGCGACTCTTGGTGCAAAGGGACCAAGTGGAGGGTGGCCAAGTCCACAGAAGAAAGGTGAGGGTCCGGGTCCAGATACAGCGTGGATGCACCTTCCGAGGTCTTGATGATCACCTGCTGCATGGGGCTGGTCTCCGCTTGGCCGTCCATGACAGTCCCCTGCTCGTCCGCCTGAAGCAGCACAGTCCGGAGGAGCGTGCAAGGGTTCTGGGAGACCCAGCCGGCGGCGAGGGCGGCCTGGTCCTTATTGACTCCGCCCAACTGAAGGGAGCTCAGGCTCACCGGAGCGTCCAAAATGGCCGCCTGCTCCTCGGCCCGGAGGAAAAGAGGCCGGAGGGCGTTCACGTTCCCCTGTCCGTCGAAGAGGGTGGCCTGCACCTCCGCCTCGTCGCCGTCCAGGATGATGATCTGGTTGTCGGCGTTCATGACCGCCGGCTGGAACAGGCCCCCCGCCACCTGGCCTTCCAAGATGGCCTCCTGCTTCTGCCACGGCTGCAGCAGGGCCACGCCGACGTCCCCGTCCAAGATGGCCACCGAATGCCCGGGGTGGGCGGGACCGAGCAGGCCCTCGGTGGGCGGAGCACTGGCAGCCGGCAGCTTCCTCTGGTGCTTGGAGGACTTCCGCTTGCCCGCCTTCTGGGCCCGGGGCGCCTGGAGCCTCTTCAGCTGCCCCGGAGCCTCCTGCGCAGCCAGGAGGCCGGACGCGCCTTTTGCTCCCAGCTGCGTTTCGGCGGGCTTGTAAACATAGGCGGCTTGGGAGGCGGGGGAAGTCGAGGAGGAGGAAGAAGAGGAGGTGCGCCTGCACCCCTTCCTGTGGCAGACCTTGATGCCCTTCCGCACCAGCTTCAGGTGCCACTTGGTGTGCCGGGCAAAGTGCTCTGGGTGCAGGAACCGCTTGCCGCACTCCAGGCAGCGCAGCTTGCGGGGCGGGGAGCGTGCGCGGGGTGGTGGCGCCGCGGGCTTCTGCAGCTCCTCTTGGGCATGGTCCTTGAGGTGCTGGGCGTAGTGCCACTCTTCCATGAAGACCTGCAGGCACTTCTGGCACTGGTAAGCGCCGAATGCCGGGCTCCCAGGGGCGGCGGGAAGGCTGGGGCGCAGTGGGCAGGGGTACAAGGGAGGGATCCATTTCGCGCAAGCGGCAGACCGGGCAGAGGGGGAGGCTGGCGGGCGCTGAGCTGGGAGGCGCTGAGCAGGCCGGGCCGGGCGCCGGGTGGGGAGGTAGAAGGTGAAATAGGCCTCCCCGTCGTCATCGCTGCTGGAGGCATCCAGGGTTTCCCAGGAGAGACAGTTCTTGGCATTTTCCTGGTGGTGGAAGGAGAAAGAGAGATGTTAAGAGAAGATGTTAACACCAGACACCATTCCTGCTTACAGATGTAGGCTTTGTTTGGAAAAATAGGACGTTGTTTGGAATGAGCTGATACAGGGGATCAAAGCTTCAATAGGGAATGGGACATATATAGACTGTATTTAAAAGAACACTGTAATCATTTGAGTTCTTTGGCAGGCTTTCAGTAACTCTTGCAACGTTACAAAGATGGTGGATATTTTGGAGGGCCATATTGTGGAAGAACTATAATATGCAGTTGATTTAGACATATAAAGGGCCCACAGAGGGGAGGAGGGAAGTTGTAAGATTTGGAAGAATCTTGTTTGGTTTAAAAATTTAAATGTGGTAGATGTGAAATTTATTTTGTAAAATTAATAAAAAATATTTCAAAAAAAATAAATAGAATGAGTTGATACAGAACGTAGCAGGCTATTAATATCTACATATGCTTAGGATAAAAAAAACTACATAAATTTATACAGGGTGAGTCTTTTAAAAGAGGCCCCGTGGAACATGTGTACTCTGTGTCCATGGGGCCTTTTTTAAAGGACTCACCCTGTATAACGGTGTCCAAACTTCTTTCAAAGAGGGCCAGATTTGATGAAGTGAAGGGCCGTGAGGGCCGACCAAAGGGTCAGCTAAAGTTGTTATCCTTTTTTAGGATTGACGTTTAGGATTTTACCCACACGTTTTTGAGCTTTTTTAAGGGTTGAAGTTGTTAAGGGTTTTTTTTTTAGGATTTTGCCCCAGGAAATAAACTGCCATAGGGGTCGGATTAAACCGACCAGTGAGCCGGATTCGGCCCCCAAAATGGACTTTGGACATGCCTGCTGTATAAGAATGCATGGGAGTATATTACAGTGCATTTTTGCATGTATATATATTTTCCCTTATACACATCTTTGTTTTTCCCCTCCTCTCACTTCTCCCCCTTTTTTCTCCACCACTTTATTCCTTTATAATTGAAATACTTTCAATAAAAAACAACAACACACCAGGCACCATTAAGCATCACATGCTACAGACACATTTGTGCGCACGTCACAATTCCAAATTTGGAATGGTGGGAGGAGGAAGGGAACAGAAGACAAGTATTGAGCATTTCTCAATCCACTCAGCATTTCTCGATCTACTCAGGACTCTCTCTCTTAAGTTTCTAGCCTTATGGTTGCAAAATGCAAGGCTTGGCGGACTCTTGGGACACCAAGAGTAATTTTGTCGGATGGGATTTCTGGCAGCTGTGGGTCACTTGCTTTTCTGTTCTAAAACAACATCCCCAAGTGGTCAACAACAAAATCACAGATCAAGATAAAATCATCCAAAAAAAGTCAAACCGGTTATAAAAAGAGAAGTAAAAGAAGCAGAAAAAGGAGAAAGAACTAACCCAAACCAAACATGTTTTCAAGTAACGGAATGTGATTAGAAAATGAATGTGAGAATCCCAATGTGAGAATCCCAAGCCTATGTCTGAGATCCTTGGCAGAAAAGCACCTTGACCCCATGGGCTCTCCTGCCTAGTTTTAGTAAGTCGTGGGGGAAAGTGAGGCTTCTGCTGAAGCCCGGAGAATGCCAAAAGGTTTGTATGGAGCGTATGATTATGTATCAGGATTTATACTGCAATCCTATGCATCTGTGGCCATCCAGATGCTGTTGGACCCCAGCTCCTGTCTGCAGAAGCCCTTATGGGCAAAGGCCAGGGATTTGGAATCTAACATCTGGAGGGCCACAGGTTCCCCATTTAACCTCTAAAAGATTTGGGACGGAGAACACTGCCTAGTTCAAACAATTCCTGAATGATACACTAGCCCACCACCTTGCTGAAGCTAAGCAGGTCTGGGATGTATCAGGGCCTGGATGGAAGACCTTAAAGGAACCACAGGGATTCCACCTTCAGTTCCATCGATGGAAGAAAGGTGGGGTATCAATGTACGTAAATAAATACAATAAACCATTTCCCCCTGAGAGTGGACTACGGCCTTGCTCTGCACACACTTCTGAAGGAGACCAAGATAAAAACAAATAGGTTGAATCCAGCTGTATCCAAAGTTAGTTGCATTAATTTCCATGGGTATAAGTTAGTCCTGCCCATTACTTTCAATGGGCCTACTCTGAGCAAAGCCAACAATGGACTCAACCCAATATTTAGTAGTGATATGCTTGTTTCTCAAACGAATCAAAGGTTTATTCTTGACAATCCTAAGAAGAATGACTGTGCAAAGCAAACCCAAGTTATCCCCATGTAAAAGATACAAGACAGTGACTTGCATTTAAGGCTACCGCTCAAGTTCATTGTGGGGCAAAGATCTGCATCACAGGACTTCCAGCTCGCTGCTCATGCTCTTCACCACTATAACCAACAAGGCTTAATTTAGGGTAATGGGGATTATTTAAAAACCAGAATATTTTTACTAGTACAGTCATACCTTGTGTAATGTTTGCTTCACGTTGCGGCTTTTCGGGTTACGAACACGGCAAACCCTGAAGTGTTTACTTCTGGGTTCGCCACGCATGCATGCGCAGAAGCAATCTGCACACTTCGCACATGTGCTCTATTGTGTTTCGCACACATGCAGTAGCGGCGCTCTACTTACAGATTTTTCAAGGTGCAAACGGCACCCCGAAATGGATCGTGTTTGTAAGTAGAGGTACCACTGTATACTTGATGCTCCATGTAACCTTCTGGGTTAGTGTAAGGTAAACAGCTGGCAAACACACAGAATTTAGACAAAATGCAAGATTGGGGTGAGTGGGATAGTACAGAGAAGAGTGCAGAACCCCAGGTACCCTCTGCCTCTCATACTACCCTCATAAGCCACGCGCTGGTGCAGATCTATAAAGACGAAGCAATTTGGGTATCCCCACATCATAGGGAGAAGAGCTGAGACCCTGTTGCGTACCAAGTGCAGAGGCAGTTCATCCAGAGACCCATCTTCCGTCAGTTCAATTTCAGCTCCAACATCCATCCCTGCCAAATCCATAGCGCCCTGAAATGAGGAGAAACATCTTGAACGATCCTCGCCTTCTCCTGAAAAATCAGAATTCACAACTGCGGGCTGTGTCATATGGGAAACTGATGCACCCCAGACAACGAAATGGGCCAACCTGCTGAGCTTGGGACAGTGGGGAAAGGAGAACAGAAAAGATGACTCTGCTGATCAATTCCAGTCGGGCCCATAGGGAAAGACTGAAAGAGGGACCCAGGAGTCCTGGATCTAGAGAGCCCCCCATGCCGCCAAGGCCACAAGCTCTCATACCAAGCAGTTGCAGCTGCATTATTGGGCTGTAGAAAAAATGCACCTTCCCCCTTTTCCATATAACTTTTGTTCCTAAGCAAACATGCAAGCTCCACCAATTCCAGGTTGCCATTTTGAGAGATTCAGCAGCAGCTTCTTGACAACTCATCGCAGTATCTGACTCCCAGTCTCCCTGCTGCGCTAGCCCTTAAGCCAGCCTTCACGAACTTGGTGCCCCCTCCAATTGCTTTGGGCTACAACTCCCAGTCCCATCAGATGGGTGTTGTAGCACAAAACATCTGGAGGGAGCTTCAGGTTGGCCAAGGATGCCTTGCACTCAAATGGAAACAGAGCCATGCACATTTTAGGGAAGGGCCACAGCTCACTGGTAGAGCATTTGCATGAAGGTTCAATCCCCGGCAGCTCCAAGGAGGGCTGGGAGAGACCCCCCCACCTGGAACCCTGGAAAGTCACTGCCAGTGTAGACTGGCACTGGTCTCGGTGGCCCACAAGCTTCTTCCAGGTGGTCTACGGCTCATCTGCTAAAATGCAATTAAAAACCATGGGGCGTCTGGCACAGCATGTTACAACTGCTACAGCAAGCAGGAAAATCATTAAGCGGTCCCCCAAGACCCTCTGCAATTTTCAAGTGGTTGGAGGGGCGGGGGAGAGATATTTAGGAAGCACCAGTGCAGCAGGAGCTAGCTGGACCAATGGCCTGACTCACTAGAAGGCAGCTGCTCCTGTTCCTAACCTAGGAGTTCTGATTACGTGCCTTGAACAGCAGATCTGGCTGCCATTTCCACAATTAAAGCTCAGGAACTGCAGTTCACAAGCGTAACTCTGCAAAAACAAGGAGGAGACTGAATCCAGACTGTAGACCAGAGGGAGGTCACTGGACCACCTAGCTCCTGCTGGGACAGCTGTATGAAGGTGTGCAGCACTAGATGGGCTCCTGCTTGCGGTAATGGTGCAGAGATCCTGGCCATGTGCTGCAGCTGGTTTTTTTTTGGGGGGGGGTGGGACATAACAGCACACCATCAGTTGATAAAGCAGTGCGCATGCCACACAAAACGGAAACCCTCTTTTAGCGCCACTGGGACCAGCAGAATGAATGGCAGAAACCCCCACCCTGGGTGGAATGAGACTCAATGACAGGCAGAGCCAACTAATCCTCTAGCTTTGTCCCCCTCCTCCTCCCTGCTGAGAGGGCAACTCTGAGTCTGGGGAGGAGCAGGAAGCTGGCGGCCAGGGATTCCCCTTGGACTAGCAGTAAGTAGGAAGGCATGCAGCTGGGGCAGGCTGGAGTCGGTGGGGCAGCGCCCAATTCGGGCAGCCTCCGCTGCGAATCAATTCCTCTTCTGCGTTTTATACAGAAGGGGCGAATCCAGGCCAGTTCCCCTTCCAAGCCCCGCCTAGCATCTAACCGCAGGCATTTTTTCTCTCCCTTGCAGGGATCGGGTCGCCTGCTGGCTGCGGGCGCGCCCCCTTCCCCCCGGGCTGCAAACTTGCCTCCTTTTGCTCCAGTTCGACCTTACCAAGGCGTGTCCCGCAGGCCTCGCCGCTGCTCCGGGCCAGCCCAGCAGACCCTCCCGCATGGTGCTCGGAGGGCGGCGGCCCGGAGCATCCGCAAGAGCCCGCGCTCCGGGGAGAGCCCGCCGCACGCGACCTTCTGCGCCGCGGCCGCTGCTCTTCCTACTGCGGCGGCGGCCGCCGCCTCCCCTTTTGCGAGGCGCACGGCGACCGGCCGGAAACGAGCCCGGAGATTGCTGGGGAGGTGGGGGTGGCGACGGCGCAGAGGCTGCTGGGAGTTGTAGTCTTTCGATTCCTTTCCCCTTAACACTCCCAGCCAAGCGCTTTCGGGTGACCTGCGGAACTCCCTGCCCCGTGCTCCGTCCCTCAGCTTAATGGCGCCGCAGGGTCGCCTGGGACTCACTACCCTTCGTGGTCCCGGGGACCTTTACCCCCCCCTCCAAGTCAGGATGCTTCAAAGCCCGTGGGAGCTGAAAGGCACCCTGCACATGCTCTGGAAGTACTTGTAGAGTTGGAAGGGACCGCGAAGATCGTGCAGACCAACCCGCTGCGAGGCAGGAATCTTTTGCCCAACGTGGGGCTCGAAACCTGAGTCTCATGCTGTGAACAAAGCTTCTTGGATGGGGCAGAGTCAAAGACACTCTGCACATGCTCCGAGGCACCCTTTTAGGACTGGTATTACCTATTCCACTCCAAGTCTGAGCCCGAGCAAGGCTTCCGGGGGCGGTCTTTTGTTTTTCAAGGAACCGCAGGGCTGATCAGGCTTTACGAAGCTGTGGTCCATTCGGATTGAGGGAAAGGAAGGGTGTGAGAACAAAGCGAGCCTAACGTGGATAAGGCTGCTGCGAGTCTGGATCCTAGTTGGCTGCTCTTGTTTTCAGTCTCCACAGAATTCTTCTTCCCGGAGCGGTTTTTTGCTGCTAGTGTAGTATTGTGACACCCTCCCTCCCCAAAGGGGGCTCAAGAAGATGCTTGTGTGCCTTTTGTGAATTTCCACATTTGATTTGGATTTAGCTTAGATTGATTTAAACGGGGATTCAGGCAAATGCAGAAAGAAAAAAAGTTTTTAAAGTGAAGACATGATTGACCTGACGCAGCCTGTAGCTCAGTGAGTCCCCCTACTCCAGAGTAAACGAGTTTGTTGCACTGAATGCTGTATTGAATTAGGCAGCAAGGGGTTGTTTTTAGTTTTTTTGGCTACACACTTCTACTTATTTTTATGATCTTATTTATTAACACCACCAAAATACTCCCCTTCTGGCAAGTTCTAGTTAATAGCTGGGGGGAAAGTTTTGTGTTGTAATTATTATTATTATTATTATTATCATTATTAATATTTTCTGCTCCAACCATTACACGCCACTACCATTCCGGGTGGGAAGCCCCGCCTACCCCATTCGCCCTGCCTGGCCTTTTGCCTCGGCCTTGTTTTCTCGCCCCGCCCCCGGAATGAGATCCATCTGCGCGTGTTCTTCGGATTCTGACGCATGCGTACAAATGAAACTACTTCCGCAACGCTGCCTAGGCAAACGAAAGGCTCCGAAAGCAGCGCTGCAATGCACACACTTGCCGCAGACTGAGCATGCGTCAATCCAAAGCCAACGGCGCTCACCCGTCCCCGGAGCGAGAAATGACGCCCAGCGCATGCGCGTTGGCTCAAGCAACGGTGGCCGATGAGGTCCGCAACCCTGCTACCTTCCGAGATGCGCTGATTCGCAGGACCGCATTCCAACCGGCATTCAACGAGGTGTTATCGCCGCCTAAGGCTACCTTCTGCCTCAAGGGACGCTCGGAGGATCTCTTTCCCGCGTAAGCGGGGCTGCTGGCTTTTACCGCCCTGCCGCTCAGGTATTTCTCTGGGACGGAGTGGGTAGTTCCGGGTTTTGCCCTAGTATCCTTCCGCTGCACGTTAAAATGAGTTTGCGGTATCCATCCGCTGGTTGTTGGATCTTATTTTCCTCTATATCCCTCCGCTGTATACTGCATTAGTGACGTTAAAAACCGAATTATATGAGTGTATCCCTCCGCCAATTAATATAGTCCCTTTGCTTGCCCACCCCCACCCCCCGCCCAGAACAACAACCTATGGTTAGACCTTGCGTAGAAGCTATGACTTCAGACCTGGAGACTTTCCCTGTAAATGGAGGTGGTTAAATTAATAAGTTGTGAGACACTCTGCACATGCTCAGAAGCATTATCATTTTCATGTGCCTCCCATGCTCCATTTGTACTCTTATTTATTTATTTTTAAGCAAGGCATGTTTACTTTGCTCTTTGTCCCTACAAGCTTCTCTTTATTTGCATGGAAACTTTAAGCGGACTAAATCCGTTTCTCTTCCTCCAGGTTGCTAACTCATCTCCATCTTGTCCTCTGCGGCTGCCTGTTGAGGTACTTAATGCACAGCTATAATGAGCACCGCAGGGTTGGTTTCTCACGTTTGAAACGAGATCCGGGAAAGCTGCTTTACATTGGCTGTGTTCAGACATTGCAAAAATAAAAAGCAACAGCAACCATGGTTTACTGTGACAATAACAAGCCTCCCCTCCCCTCAGGCTGGTATAGCCCTTGTTTATCTCCCAGCGTGGACATAAAGAAGCTTATGCTTCATGTTTTGATCATCCACATCATGCCATATTGTCCACGTTAAGCTCAGCGATGGTGTGTTTGAAACAAAGTCACTTCACACTGCGGCTTAGGGAACTAGCTTGAGTTTCAGCAAACCATAGTGACCTCTACATATTTTAGGCTGCAACTGTCATCACACCCAGTGCTCATGGGAGTTGTAGTCCAGAACATCTGGAGGGCATCAGGTTGGGAAGGATTAAACATAGTTTGGACGTAATGCTGAAGCCAAAACTGGTAATCAAAAACTAGAAGCAAAAACTCCTGATCTTCTCGTGGCTATCACTGGGAGGGAGGCTAGGTTTATTCCAGCCATGCTTACTCATGGCTTAGCTTTATTCTATCTGGATGCAGCCATTGAGACAGATGAGTGTTTAATCTAGGCCAGTAACCTTAAAGTAATTTGCTGACCCAAGTCCCACTTTTGATCCCAAACTGCAACATAGTGCCAGGTTCAACACTCCCTTCCTTGCACTTGGTCACCTTAAAGTGCAAGCAGGGCCCTTATATTTTTAATAATTGCATGGAGGAGGGAATTTTGATAGGTACAGAGGAGAAAATGTTGCGCCTACTGGAATGTATACAGCACAGCTCTTTAAAGATCAAGGAACATTTACAAACATTTATATGACGTTCTTCAGCAAAGCTTCCAGTGGTTTGCGAAGCCAAAGAAAAATTCTGAAATCAAAACAAAGTGCAATAAAATTACAGCATGCTAAATGCATTAGAAATCCTAAGAGAATGGAAATGCTTTTGCACGGCATCCAAAAGATAACAGTATTGGCACTAGGTAGGCCTTGCTGAAGAAGGGAATTGCACAGGCAGGACACCACCCCTGAAAATCCTTACCTTGAATGACTGGGGGCACTTGTAGAGAGCCTGCAGATATCCCTTTAATACAAGGACAGGTTTGGTACAGGAACAAGGCTTCCTTCAGCCTTGGCATCTTATCACCCTTCCCCTGTACACATCTGCTTCTGTTTCACAGCATCGTAGAATAATAGAATTTTGGAGTTGGAAGGGAGACCAAAGGTCATCTAGTCCAACCCCCCGCAATGCAGGAATCTCAACTAGATCATCCATGGCAGGTGGCCATCCAGCTTCTGCTTAAAAACCTCCCAGGAAGAAGAGTCCACAACCTCCTAAGGGAGATTGTTCCACTGTCAAACAGCTTTTGCTGTCAGAAAGTTCTTTCTGATGTTTAGTCAGAATCTTTTTTCTTGAATTCATTGGTTCGGGTCCTAGCCTTACAAAAAACAAAACACCACCTTTAAAAAGCAACAACAGTGGTGCAACTCACCCAATGGGTGAAGGCAAATGATCCAGCCCAGCGCTGAGTGGCAGCCGTTGTTCTTAAGTCCTCAGGTAGGGTCTTTCCTAGTCCTGCCTTCGTGTTTGATTAGTTCTGACATGGATGGAACCTGAGGCTGCTCTGCATCCTCTTGCTGAGCTGTGAGCCCACCTTGGAGCAGGTTTCAGGGCCTGAGGCCTTTGAATTATGGCCCAAATTCCTATATCTCAAGAGGTATGGATTATGCCTTGGGAAATGGATGGGTAGGTTTGTGGTTGAAACTCAGTCGACTGGACTTTCAGAGGCAAGGGAAGAATATTCGATTCCAAGTTGTACTTCTGGTCTTCTGGTTTTCATGACTGATAGTTTACAGAGGAAAAAGCAATTCCCACTCCCTGTTGGTTTTTGGAGCATTTTTAATAATCAATGCGTGTGTGGGCATTGCACATGCTGCTTCTCAACATTCAGTCACACCCCAGCGTGACCAAGAAACAACCCAGTGAAGGGTTGTTATGGTACGGTAGGTATAGTTGAATCCAACCCTCAAAGGCTTCTCAGTATCGCCCTTGATCTGGAAAAGGACACCTTCTTCTATACACATATTTTGCACCTCAGCCACGTTCTCCCAAACTGAGACCCCAGGCAAAGGACTCATGATCACAATGTAAATAGGAAGAGAGGCCTTGGCAGAGCCCTTTTCCTTTGTTACATTTCTCTGCTCTATGCTTGCATCTTTCTGACCCTTCCCCAAAACTTTCTGTTTGAGTGTCTCTTAGCATCCTTGCGGAAACAGGTGACAATTGCTGTTTATGTACTCAGACTAAAGTTTGTTTCTCAGATATTACTATTATTTATTCAGCTTCTTAACTTGTCTTTCCGCCTCCCAGGTCCTGCTTCCACATGTCCGAATCGGGGCACAGCCAGCCTGGGCTGTACGAGCGCCGTCGCCGCTGGAACCGTGACAAGGAACTGGGTCACCAGAGCCTGTCTGGGCCGGGCCGGGATCGTGACTACGTCCCCTGGGATCGCGAGCGAGACCGGCGGGTAATTTCCACGCTTTGGCTGCGGTGGGAATAAGGTGAGGGAGCAACGTGGGTCCCCAAGTTGACCCTGTTCTACTCCTTGTAGGACCCAGTGGATGAGCCGGTGGGAACCGTGATGCAGAAGACACCCATCATCCTGGCCAAGCCACCTGCAGAAAGGGTAGGTTGGGAGACAAAATGCCAGCATGCTGTGGCCTGATGGGCCTTAGTCCCCTGCTCGATCCCATGGTTGCCCTCCGAAGAGGCCAGTAAGAGCTCCTGTGGCTGCTCTCGCTTGCTCCTGAGGAACAGGCCTGCCATGCAAAGCTTAGCTGAAGTTATTGACACTGTCACTCATCGACAGTTGATATTTAATAGAAAGCTTAGAGGTTAGCAGCTAGGGCTGGGCTATTGTTGAGCTTATCATTTATTTATTTTTCATTTATTGTATGCTGCCCTTCAGCCAAAGATCACAGGGCGGTGGGTGGGTAGATGAGGGCTGTTGTTGCTGTTGTTTTTTGTGTCTTTATTTTAGATTTTGTGATGCGGGAATAGTTTTGTGTTTCTTAATGTTTTATTTGTTGGTTACTTTTGTTCGTCGCAATTATTTTCCCCATGTTGTCAGTCACCTTGAGCATGGTGCGAACTGTGCAGAGGAGGGGTACATATAAAATTATGTACTCTGATCCACTTCCTTAAGTGGAGAATTCTGTGGACTTCTTAGCTGCCAATTCTTTCTTTCCTTACCTCTCGGTTTGAAAAGGGATTGGGGATTCAGACAGACAGACAGACACACACACACACACACACACAGAGAGAGAGAGAGAGAGAGAGTGAGAGATTGAGAGATTGATTCCCTCTTCTTTTCATTTTATCTTCTCTGTGTGAATTTCCCTTTTAGAAGTTACATAGGGTGAGGTGGAGGAACAAGGAATCTGGAGCGTAGACACCCACAAGAGAAGGGACTCCTCTTTTCCACCCCGGCTGTTTTAGGTAGCACAGAGGTCGGGGGGGTCATGTGCCCAGGTCTGGGAAGGAGGCATTTGAGCCAATGAGGCTGTGCTCCCATTTCTGGCCGAGAGAGATGTTGGATTTCGGCCTCTGTGTCCTCAGCCTCTGTGTCCTCACAGTCCAAGGGGACCCCAACCCCCACTCCTGCTCCAGCACCTGCCGCCGCCCCAGCCATAGAGAAGCCCATTGTGCTGATGAAGTCGCGGGAGGAAGGCAAAGGTTCCGCGGGGGCAACGGAGACGTCCGCTCAGCCCCCCGCTGCTGTCGCCAAGGTGGAGAAGGAGGGCCAGCGCCCCACGCAGCCAGTCTACCAGATCCAGAATCGGGGCATGGGCTCAACGGCACCCAGCAGCGTCATGGACCGTAAGTCACGAGAGATGGCAACTTCCGGAGGTGTAGCCTCATTGGCCTGTTCCAGACTAAAACTTTGGGTGCTGCAGAGGCCAGCTGTGATTAGGCGAGAAGGGGCATGGAGGAAGTATTAGGGCCCAATGCATTGTCTACACGCTGCATCAAATACAGTGGTACCTTGGTTTAAGAACAGCTTAGTTTATGAACAACTTGGATTAAGAATGCTGCAAACCCGGAAGTAGGTGTTTTGGTTTGTGAACTTTGCCTTGAAGGCAGAACATGTTCAACTTCCTGTTAAGTGTGTTCCATTTGTAAATTGAGTCCCCTGCTGCTATGGGAAAGCACGCCTTGGTTTAAGAACGCCTTGATTTAATAATGGACTTCCGGAACGGATTAAGTTCGTAAACCAAGGTACCACTGTAAAATTAACCAGTCTAAGGCCCTGATTTGTAATAAACTCCCATGAGAGACAGAGTGCTAAGAAGCACCCCTGCCAGTCAGGTATGCAAAGCATCTCAAGAGTAAGATTCTAGTCCACTGTGTCACCGGGCCTCGTGAAGTGTGCTTTGGTGAATTGGCCAACATAACTGAATACAGTGATACCTTGGTTCTCAAACTTAATCCGTTCCGGAAGTCCGTTTGACTTCCGAAATGTTTGAAAACCAAGGCACAGCTTCTGATTGGTGCAGGCTCCCCGGGAACAATAGCTGACAGCCGCATTGGATGTTCGGCTTCCGAAAAATGTTCAGAAACTGGAACACTTACTTCCGGGTTTTTGGCGTTTTGAGTACCAAGGCGTTTGAGAACCAAGGTACCACTGTACATCCAGCACTTTGTGTGGCCACCCAAAATAAAGGCACCGGCATCAACCCGAGAGGGTGACAACGCAATCCGATGCACATCTGTTCAAAACTATATGTCCCATTGAGTTCATTGGGGGATAATCTGAGGTAAGCGTGTAAAGGATTGAGTCCTGAGTTAAGATGCCTATATAAGCCCTCGCACAACAATGGACTGACACTCTGGAATCGCCAGCAACTCAGAAAGTTGCATCATTTCTGACTCGGTGTCCATTCCATTTGCATTGCTGTAGGATGGTGGTGGGGCTCTGGGCAGCGTGTTCACTCCTCTCCCAAGTCACTGTTGCCCACTCTCTTGCGTGCTTTGCACATTTGCCCAGAGGAGTTGCCACTTGTCATTGCTTGCATACTCGAAAGGGGGTGACTGAGCAAGCAGTGATAGGAGGAGGAAGAGTGGCAGGACCAGGAAACTCCGGAGGGTGGCAGCAGGTACTGTGGGCCTCAGCAGATGCACAGTTATGTCTGTCCCTGATACTGGCCCTGTACTTACCAGGCAAAGGGAGCTCCAACCTCTGCGAAGTGCTGTTAAATGGGCAGTCCCACGCATTGTTCTAGGCGCCAGTGGAGAAATCTTGCACATATCCTCTCTTGGGTGTATGTGCTGTGTCTTCACTTTTAATCTGGCAGTGGGGTGGTTCCTAGGTGTAAAAAGTTTGGGGAACACTGTGCTAGTCCCTGTGACTGGGGGGTGGGAACTTGGAATTGTATGGGAATGTCTGGCGAAAGTTCAAACAAGAAGTAGGGCAGAGCAGAACTTGGGAAAGTCAGACTCGCCTTATGAAATGCCTAGAAAGAGCTGCAATATTTAATGGGGAGTAAATGGGACTTTTGAAAGCTGTTAATGATCACTGCCCGTATTTTTTTTATGGGTTATTGGAATGACTTCACTGGAATGCGTTGTTTTGTTCCGTTAGGCCTTTTTCACTTTTTTGTAAGCTGTTTGGCAACCTTTTTTTAATTTTTTCATTAAACGACTTATCAATTAAATAAATAATGATGCACTTAACCTTTATGTGGGACTTCTCACCTGGCCCCTGTTGACCTCAGACCCTCTTGCCATTCCAGCTGTGGTTGGCCAGGCCAAGCTGTTAGCCCCGGAGAAGATGAAACACAGCATCAAGCTGGTGGACGACCAAATGAACTGGTGTGACAGCGCCATTGAGGTACTGTGAAAGTCCAGGGGCTTCCTACTGGTCATCTTTCATCTGCACCCCTTCCTCTTCCTGCAGCTTTCCTGCGCTCCCCCAGTAATCCCACTTTATAATTGCTCGGCACTTGTTCTGTGATCAAGTATGCCTGCACTGGGGATGGGTTATTTCCCTGGGAACATTTCTCCGTGCTGAGAAACGATGGTAACAATACCTAGATAATCCCTCTCTTTAAAACTCCTGTGATTTCTGTCCTAGCTGGTTATGTTTTACAAGTGTTTTCCCCCCTCTGTCCCACATTAGTATCTCCTGGACCAAACGGATGTGCTGGTGGTTGGGGTGCTGGGACTGCAGGGCACAGGCAAATCCATGGTGATGTCACTGCTGTCCGCCAACCAGCCTGAAGAGGATCAAAGGTAATTTGGGGGCTTGGCTCGGGGAACCGTTAACCACAACTGCAGAGTCAGACTGTTTAATGCTAAGGGTTGGGTGATGAAGTTGAGAGAATGAATAAGGAAAGTAGTTGGGGAGACTTCCTCTGTTGGGAGATCCTCTTAGCTGTTTAGGGGGTGGGGTTGCCTGAAGATGCAGGGCAATGCATCTTGGGCATGCTGAAAATAAAGCTTTGAAGATTATCGCCTTGTGATTTGGATTGGCTGGAGACATTATTTGACGCTGATGTAGCGGTACCAGAAGCCTTAAGCCAAATAACTGACCGATTCAAGTCAATATGTAACATTCATCCTCCACCTCCTCTTAATGGTTTTTATCCCCTATCCCCTCTGCCCTTAAGACTCCTTCATCTGTTTCTCATTTGTGTACTTAGAATCTTTCCTTCAACCACCTTGTCTCTGAGATATCTGCCCCTTAGATTCTCTACATCCCAGAATCTCTTTCCAGCCCTAAGCTTGCCGTGTTGCCGTCGTCATCAATTTATTTATTGCCTTCTACGCAATCATCTCAACGTGATATACAGTCATGACAGTAAAAACAGTTAAAACACAGCCTCATGAATCTGTTCCTGTCCCCAGTATCTAAATAAGATTATAATCCCTGCTAAACTGACAGCTTTTCTTTCCCTCACACTGACATGTGTGGCTGCAGACATTTTCTCATCTTTTTTTTCTTTTAAGCACTGGGAATGATTAAACATTGCATGCCTTCGCACCAGCTCAGCCAGTCAGTGATCAGTCTTCACTGCCACAAGTGGAATTCAATACAGATTTATCAACTCTGCTTTGTCTTTCCTGCCAATCCTTTCTTCCAGAACCTATGTGTTCCGCACTCAGAGCCAGGAGATCAAGGAGCGTGGGGGCAACCAGACCAGTGGCATCGACTTTTTCATCACCCAGGAGCGTATCATCTTCCTTGACACTCAGGTCTCTGCTTTGGTCATCTTTCTGCAATTGCCTCTGACTATCTTTGGAGAATTCTCCATGCAACTTCCAGTAGACCCTGGATGGGTTAAACGCCAGACCTCCATTGCCTTGCCACGAACACCTTTGGTGAAATCTGTTTGTTTTTGTTGTGAGATTGAAGCTTATTTGATCAAGGCAACTGATCTTTAAGGCAGTTTATAACGCTTCTCTTCCACAATACATCTGTTCCCAGAGCGTGGGAGAGCAGGACAGAGCAGCTAGTCCAGTCTGGAGAGCAGAAAGTGATCCACTGGGTTTGTTAGATGGGGTACAAGAAAGGAGAGGTTGGAGCTATGTGAGTACCAGATTTGTTGAGCATCTAGGTGAGTGAAGAAGGACAAAACGAATAAGAATACAGTGGTACCTTGGGTTAAGTACTTAATTCGTTCCGGAGGTCTGTTCTTAACCTGAAACTGTTCTTAACCTGAAGCACCACTTTAGCTAATGGGGCCTCCTGCTGCCACCGCGCCACCAGAGCACGATTTCTGTTCTCATCCTGAAGCAAAGTTCGTAACCTGAAGCACTATTTCTGTGTTAGCGGAGTCTGTAACCTGAAGCGTATGTAACCTGAGGTACCACTGTATAAATTGGTCACGTTCTCAATTCACAGGATATAATGCTTCATCCATGAGTTGTTGAGAAGGAGGTAGCATCATTCAGTAGGAAAACCGAGGAAAGGACTAGCTTTAGCTAAGAAATGAGGACTGACAACAGGGTAGCCTCAGGTTGGAAACTAGGCTGAACAAAACCCTCCAAAGGCTTTTTCCTTTCTCTCTCCCTCTCTGTAGCCCATTCTCAGTCCCTCCATTCTAGATCACTTGATCAACAATGACCGCAAGCTGCCTCCGGAGTATAATCTGCCTCATACCTACGTTGAGATGCAGGTAGGGACCATTTGTATGTGTCGGGTGATGGTGGCGGATGTGGATGTAGGGAATAAGCTGCAGAATCCTCACCTCTGGCAGATGATGGGGGTGAACCTCCCTATAGAAACAGGTAGCTCCCTGTCCTGTTGGTCCTCACAGTGCTAAGGCATAAGTGAAAACAAAGCTGGAGAAACGGGGGAATTCCTGCCTTTTTCAAGCCAGCTTCCTGGGTCAGTTCTGTTATTTTCTGTAATCCTTAGAATATGACTCGCCCTCAACTCTTTTTTCACTGGCCTTCAATAAACTCATCTGACCCCGTAAAATGCCAAAGGATATTTCCCACCAAAAGTGCAGCTGGTTTTGAAGCATGGCACTCTCAGCACAGGAGCAAAGGTGTCATTTGGCCTGCGTTCTTGAGAGCATGCTCAGATCGAAACCTTGTACCCTGAGGTCCCAAGCCCTGACCCGTCTCCTACTCACACCTGCTTTCCTTCCAGTCCCTCCAGATTGCTGCTTTCCTCTTCACTGTCTGCCATGTGGTCATCGTGGTACAAGACTGGTTTACTGATCTGAGCCTGTACAGGTGAGGCATGCTAGTCACACAGCCGTAGGAAACGAAAGAGTCAAACCAAAGGCCCTAGGCCAGGCTTCCTCAAACTCTGTCCTCCAGAAGTTTTGAGACTACAGTTCCCAAAAACATCTGGAGGGCCGAGTTTGAGGAAGCCTGCCCTAGTGCCTCAGGGTCAGAAGTTAAGCCCCTTTGTTTTTCTGCTGCCTAAGCAAGAGGACTGGTCATAATCTTTCCCTTCAAACCTGAACCTGAATTCTACATTTGGGTAGCATGCAACTTGTTCCCAGAAGTGGTGGATTTCGCTGCCTCTATAATTTAATACAAATAAAGCATAATTTCTTTTGTGTCTGGGAGCTGCAGAGAGGTGCCAGCTATATCGGATGCTGAAGATATGACCCTCTGAGCATTGGGAATTTTACTCAGTCCCTAAGATTTCATTGGCATTAGATTTGGGTGTCTTTTAACTGGAGATTACTAGACAAAACATAGGACCTCATGTTCTTTATATATGCTGTTACCAGTAAGTTAAGGGAATTGATAGATTTCAGATATACACTTGGAAGTCCTCATTTTGTTTCCTCAGCTCTGAAGTTGCGTGGGTATATTTAAAAATCCAGAAATTTCAAAAGCTAAATTGCAGGGCTGATCTTGAGGAAAAATTTGCAGTCTTGAAAATGGATTTTTTCTTTTGGTGACTCTCCTGTTTGTTGGTACTTAAAATCCTTGAGAAACACCCATTATTTCCAAAAAGTTGGTATTTTGCGCTATACATTTTGAAGCGGTCTTGACAAGAGGAAAAAATGTTTGTTTTGTATTGTAAGTTCTGAGTGTATGTCTGATAGTGATGGGCTGGTTGGGTTTGGTCCATTTCAGACAGTACAGGGATATCTGTTTCTGTGGGTACTAACTGGCCATCTTAATGCCAACCAGTAGGTGCTAGCCCAGTAGCTCTGGATGAAATAAAAATAAAAATGCCTCTTTCACCTTCATGCTTCCGTTGGCATCTTTAAAGCTGCCCCAGCTATTTGTGCGCTCAGAAATGGTATCCCTTGGTTTCCCCCGCAACAGCAAAATTTTAAAAATGGCCAGTAGCAGAAGATCCTGCAGTATTTCCATTCTCAACTAGAGGTGGGACAAGGTCTATTCAGACGATGCTTCATCTTACTTATTCATTGCAAAATATTATTCCTAGTCTTCAACCGCTGCTGGCTTTTTGTTGCAGGTTTTTGCAGACAGCTGAGATGGTAAAGCCCTCCACCCCGTCTCCCAGTCACGAATCCAGCGGCTCCTCTGGCTCGGATGAGGGCACAGAATACTACCCGCACATTGGTACGAAACAGCATAAGCACGTCTTTATTGGGCTGGATCGGTGACCTGTCCCATCCTCACCCCAGTATCCTGTCTCCAAGAGTGATTGCATCTGGCAGGGTCCTGTGATGGCCTACAGCTGACACCTGCTCAAAAGGCCTCCCTAAAGAAAGATAAAATTACATCTGGGTACTCCCAATGAGAGCAGCAACTGGTGGCCAGGCATAGCAGCAGTTCTGATTTTCCACCAGACCCCCAATTCAGGGCATCGTGGAAATTTAAGTGGCCTCCAGCCATTTGGTGCTGTCTGGATCACCAGCAGCCAATGTCCCACCAATAAAGGAGGGAGACCACCAGAGAGCCCTTTTTCCTGGGCCTCATGACACCTGGAGCTGGCCCTGGGATCTGGAGTGGGCAGTGGGGTGGAAAGCAAAGGATGGTGGGGGGTGGAGGCAGAGACCCAAGGGCCGGAGAAGGCATGGGATGGTGAAAAAAAGGGGCAAAGCAGAAAGAGGCCACCGACGGCATCTTAGTTGGCATTTCCTCGTTTTCCCAGCTCTTCTCTTGAAACGCAGCTGAGGTTCCCCAAGCTGCAAGCTGGATCCTAGATTGTGTGTTTGTGCAGCGTCCTGGTAGACATGGCAAAATAATGCCCACAGCAGTTAACAGCTGCCAATTCAGAAATCTGAAGAGACAACTGCTCTTCATTTAAGTGCGCCACAATTGGATGAAGTTCTGGCTTAGGGTGGGGATGGCCCTATCTCCTCTTGTTTAGATTTGAGCAATGGGGACAGGCACATTTAAACTCTCTCTCTCTCTCTCTCTGCCTAGTTTTTCTCCAGAACAAAGCCAAGAGGGAGAACTTCTGCCCCCGGAACCTGAAGCAGATGCACCTGGTTATTGACAAGATTATGATGCACTCTCACCTGAAATATAAGGGTAATGTGCCTCTTTCCAATCTATTTGAAAGGCCAGATTGTGGAGCTTAAAATAGCTAGAAGATGAAGCCTGCCGAAGGAGGCAATGTAGAGACTTGGGCTTTCTCACCCCAAATATAGCAGGTTGCTGACCCAGTGGGCCAGCAGGCAGCACTGACTTTCTGGCTGCCACCTATTAAGCCCCCGAAACCCAGAAAATCGTATTTTGGGGTATCTCAAGACAGTTGTCTGCTTAACCGCACTGTTTCTTTCCACCAGGCACCCTCTCCATGCTGGAATGCAACATATTTCCTGGCCTTCCTCAAAGTTACCTGGACTCAGAGGTCAACCTGTTCTTACTTCCATTTATGGACAGTGATTCGGATGATGCTCTGCCCAGGGCAGGTGAGTAGCTGGAGCTGTGTCTCCGGCCCTTTTGCTTGATCTTTAAACAGGTAGAAGGGCTGAAGCCCCCACTGCCTTCTGCCTCTGGGCAGCTTCCTCTTCAAACTGGTCCCCAACATAAATGAATCCACATTTAATATTTAAATCACCATGTGAGCAGGTAAGGGATGCATGCTGATTGACTCAAGCAAGAGAGCAGGGCTGGTGCTCAGCAGCCATTTCTGGTATTTTGATTCATTATGAGTTTGTATTGAATGGCATTGTTTGCTGAACTCGTTTTCTGCTTTATTTATACACTGCCATGCTTTAGATATGATTACAGCGATTGCAATGTCTGCTGATTTTTTTATATTGCTACTACGAGCCACCTCGAGCACAGCGTTGTTGTTTGAAAAGGCAGATACAAATACTAAGTCAAAACTGAAAAAGAGAAGCAATGCACAGCATCAGTCCTACATCAGCCTTAGAAATGCTTTCACCTGCCTACCATTTTCTTTTTCATATGAATTAGCTGCAGGTGGCTCCTGGGTGGAAGATGGGATGGGGATGGCAACAGGCTTAGCTCTTTTGTGTGCTCAGAATCCTTCCCTTCCAGCGATCTGCCAAGTTAGTTCTCTCAAAAAAAGAGCTTAACGGGATGCGGTGGTATTCCACTTTTACTCAGAGTAAACCCATTGCAATTGATCATGTCTATGTTACGTCCATTAATTTCAGTGGGTCTACTCTGGGTAACTTGGGATGCGGGTGGCTCTGTGGTCTAAACCACAGAGCCTAGGGTTTGCCGATCGGAAGGTCAGTGGTTTAAATCCCTGCAACGGGGTGAGCTCCCGTTGCTTGGTCCCTGCTCCTGGCAACCTAGTAGTTCAAAAGCACATCAAAGTGCAAGTAGATAAATAGGTCCCGCTCCAGCGGGAAGGTAAACTGCGTTTCTGTGCGCTGCTCTGGTTTCACCAGAAGCGGCTCAGTCATACTGGCCACATGACCTGGAAAAACTGACTGTGGACAAACGCCAGCTCCCTCCGCCTCTAAAGCGAGATGAGCACCGCAACCCCAGAGTCATTTGCGACTGGACTTAACTGTCAGGGGTCCTTTACCTTTACTTTTACTCTGGGTTGAAGATAGGCTTTTACTAGAAGAACAGTTGGGGTGGGGAAACTGCAGGAAGGGAAGGCTTTAAGAGCACATTTCATTGCCTACCCTGTTTAGCCAAAATAGCAGAATTATGTTGCATTAGTGATTTAGGTTTCTGCATGGATTGCGTATAGTTCTGCCCTGATATGAGGAATTGCAGCAACCCTGGAGCACAGAGCAAAATCCATCCACTGAATTTCCCCCTGCTGCTCCAAATAACACTGCAACCTGCATCCCCAGTGTGCTGGGCTGGGGGCAGGTTTGGATTGTGTGAAGGTGTCCCTCCATCCAGCTTGTGCCTGTGGAGTTGGTGCCAGTTTAGTTTAATCCACTGAAAGCCCCCAAACACGGTGTTCCATGAGGGGCTGAGCCAGCCCAGGACCTCTTGGCTTTTCGGGCCAGTGCAGCAATTTGCCTGCCCTTCCAACCCAGCCAGATGCGGTGATGGCCCCATCATGGCTTGAACTGCCACCTCAGTTACACCAGGTAACAAATCACTTGCTTGCTTTTTCCTCGCGGGATCAGTGTTTTTTTATTATTTGATAGGTTTTTTTCCCCTCTCTCTCTCATTACAATTCCTTTTGGAAAAGGGCTGTTTACATTCTGGTGAAGGCTCCAGATGCCCCAACGGATGGAGTAACCCGCCTGTCTTCCTTTCCTTTGCAGCCCCTGGGAGCAGCCCTCTCTTCTCCCTCCTGCCTGGGTACAAGGGGCACCCCAGTTTCCAGTCTTTGATTGCCAAGCTTCGGAGCCAGATTATGTCTATGTCCCGGCCTCAGCTCTCCCACACCATCCTGACCGAAAAGAACTGGTAAGAGAGAGAGAGAGAGAGAGAGATTTTGGTGGTTGAAGTAGCATAGGAGAATAACTTAAGAGGGGTCTTAACTTGGTGGGTTGCAAGGCCCATTGAGCATCTGATCAGCCATCCGTTCTCGTCAGGCAAGTCGCTCTCCCCGCTAATGATTTTATGTAATTAAATAACGTTCCAGCTTCCCCATCTGGCAAAGTATGCTTCTGCTTTCAAAAGCTCTTGTCACAATAAAGCTTAATATTGATGGTGCCAGGTTACCTTTTGAGTTTAGCGAGTTAATGTGTCATCGCTTTATGTGCTGGCAGATGCCTGCCTTCCAGGAAGCGTGACAAATACAGTGCCTTTTGCATCGCCCGGCCTTGGCTGGTTTCAGACAATGGTTCAGACCCCAGATCTGAGCGTCCTGTTAATAATTTCCCTCGACCCAAGGTCACCCAGCTGAGCCTGTTACATAGGGGAGGAAGACATATTTTGCATCTCTGTGATGTCCACACCAAGAAAGGTGATACAGACCAGAATCACATTACCAGCCTTCTGGTCCCCATTCTCTTATCTTAAAACAATATTTTCTTTCTTAAAACAATGTTTCTTGTCACAAAACCACAAAACCTTAAGCTTATTGCAAAGTTATAAAAGCTCAAAACAACCAGCACCTATCACAAGCAGTAAAACCACACTTCTAACAAAGCCATAAACTTAAACGTGTTGTAAATTACTAATTGCTCCCAATTAGCAAGAAAAGTTTGTTTTCACAGAGATAGGAACCTGTGCATCAGACTCTTTAACTGACAATTCTGAGATGCATATACTGGACATTTTGTGATGTCTAAAAGTACCGGTATGTTATTCTGAAGACTTCCGCTCAGAACAGAGCAAAAATTGCTGTATAAGATGTACCTCGTCCTTTGAAGTGGCTCCATCTTAACCTTTTCATGTGATTTAAGAGGATTTTAAACCTAGGGGTGTGAGAGTCAGGAATGCCTCTACTATAAACACAATGTGAGTTTCACTGCATAATGAAAGCTGCCTCACTCCTGCGAGTGTGCATACTCTGTCTGTTGTGCACTATATAGATCATCCTCAGGAGATGCAAGAGGTAAATTTGCCATAGTAAATGGAGTTGCGGGCAGCTGGGTAGTGTTGTGAGCCACAGTGCATTTTAGAGGGGCCCCAGTCACCCTTACGTAGGAGTGAAAAGCCTGCCCTTCTCCTGTTCTGGTATGCCAGAGAAAGGGCTGCCAAATTTCCTTTGCATGCAGGCCCACTGCACAAGTGGATTTCAGATGTAAAATCTGCCTTTGAAGAAGCACATTTTGTATATTAAAGCAAGTTTCTAGCTCTCCTGCACACAGAAATTTAGAAATAGGATGTGGCTGACAAAAACTTGAAAACCTGAGTTTTGTTTATGTCAGGCATGGATTCTCTACCCTGTTTTTCTTCCTTCCTTCCTTCTTTCCTTCCTTTCTTTCTTTGCATGCCTCGGTTTTCTGGGGTTTTTGTATCTTTCCAGTGTGCTCCTTCTCCCTTGTTACTTGCTTCCAAAAATTTAACACAAACACACACACACACACACGCACACATCTGAGTATCTGCCAGTTGAAAGTAGAAATAAATAATATACGTATGCAGATTAACTTGCCATAACATTATGGGTATTGTGAGGCTATTGTGGAACAGAGCAGGTAACTCAGTAGGACCCAGTTTGCCTCTGGGCTGAAGCTGACTGCCATGTTCCTTTCCCTCTCCTGGGCAGGTTCCACTATGCAGCTCGCATCTGGGATGGTGTGAAGAAATCCTCTGCTCTCTCCGAGTACAGCCGCCTGCTGGCCTGAGCGTGACATCCTCGCATTGGTAGCTGCCAAACAGCAGCCAGGCTCCCCCCACCCCCCGAGCTGGGTGGGCCAGGGCATCTGAGCCGGCGTCCAGAGGCACAAAGCGACGTGTGTTCTCCCAGAGAGGGAGCTGTAGGGGGTGGGCACTAGCCCTCCTTCGGTGATGCTATGCAAGTTTCAAGGAGCAGAAACACAGGATTGTGTGGTGTCCCTACTGGGCCACCGTACTGCCTGCCGCCCAGCATGGGTCTTGCTCCGTGTCTCTTAGGGCTCCGATTCCCACCTACATGCAAAGACGGGAGAGCTCTGCATGTCTTCTCATGGGCTGCAACTCCCTCCAGAAAGCAGAAGCCAGTGTAGGAGTTATGACAGAACCACCAGTAACCTCCTCCTACCCTTCTAAGCAGGAAAAATAATATCTCTGCAATTGCAGTGGTGGGTCAGAGCAAAGGTCAGTGGGGAGCAAGAGTTGTTGCTTTGTATATGTTGAGACAGTACTTTCCTGTAGTCGAGTGTGTTGCTCATAACCTTCCATTTTGAGGGACGTGGACCCCGACGCATCTCCCCCTCCTCAAGTCTCTGCCCCTTTCCTCGATCCAAGCCTAGCTTTCTTGTTCCTGCAGCAATGTGAGTTAAGAGTAACTTCCCTTTGGGGAATATGACATTCTTGTTTAATAAATTGTTCGTGCCGTTTCACGTTGTGTGTGGCTTTCCCTCCCAAAAAACTCCGGACTGCCTCCATTGTTAACAGTATCTCTAGTGTGGGTATGCACAGATGCCTGTATGTTGAGCATAGCCTGGCCTATAAAATTATTGAAAGAATAATGTCTGTAATTGCATCCCTCTGAAGAAGGGATATAAGAAGACTTACCGTATTTTTCGCCCCATAGGACGCACCGGCCCATAGGACGCATCAAGTTTTTTGGGGGGGAAATAAAGGGGAAAAAAATTTATTTCCCCCCCAGGCGCTTGTGGGGCCGGCAGCGGGGAGAAGCGCTCTTCTCCCCGCAGCCCACCTTCAAACCAGGTCTGGGGACAGCGGGAAGACGCACTGCGCCTCCCAGCTGTCCCCGGAGCTTGCGGGGCAGGCAGCGGGGGGAAGCGCTCTTTTCCCCGCCACCCGCCTTCAGACCAGGTCTGGGGACAGCGGGAAGACGCGCTGCGCCTCCCAGCTGTCCCCGGAGCTTGCGGGGCAGGCAACGGGGGGAAGCGCTCTTCTCCCCGCCGCCCGCCTGCAGACCAGGTCCGGGGACAGCAGGAAGACGCGCTGCGCCTCCCAGCTGTCCCCGGAGCTTGTGGGGCAGGCAGCGGGGAGAAGCGCTCTTCTCCCCGCCGCCCGCCTTCAGATCAGGTCGGGGACAGCAGGAAGACGCGCTGCGTCTCCCAGCTGTCCCCGGAGCTTATGGGGCAGGCAGCGGGGAGAAGCGCTCTTCTCCCCGCCGCCCGCCTTCAGATCAGGTCCGGGGACAGCGGGAAGACGCGCTGCGCCTCCCCACTATCCCCGGAGCTTACGGGGCTGGCGGCGGGGTCTCCCTGCCGTCAGCCTCCAAACCACTTCGGGAGACAGCGGGATGGCGGCGTTCCGCCTCCCTCTGTCCCCCGACCTTGTGGGGCTGGCGCTGGGCTTCCTGAAGCCTGGAGAGCGAGAGGCGCGGTGCGCACCGACCCCTCTCGCTCTCCAGGCTTCAGTGAAAGCCTGCATTCGCCCCATAGGACGCACACACATTTCCCCTTCATTTTTGGAGGGGAAAAAGTGCGTCCTATAGGGCGAAAAATACGGTAACCTACAGCAGGGTTTCCCAAACTTGGGTTTCCAGCTGTTTTTGGACTACAGTTCCCATCACTACTGATCCTGCTAGCTAGGGATGATCAGAGTTGTAGTCCAAAAACAGCTGGAGACCCAAGTTTGGGAAACCCTGACCTAGAGAAAGATAAGAAGGCATGATTCTCGAGTGATGGGCTCCTGTGCAAAATGAAAGTTGGCTTGAAAATATTTTTTATTTCCTCCAATCCACCTTGGAGGTGGCAGAACATCTCTTTAGCACAGGGGTGGAAAATCTCTGGTTCATGGGCCACTTTTGGGTGTAATCTGACCCACAAAGTAATATCCACAAAACCACACCCACCTGTCAATCACCTGATGGGTGGGATGCAGGAGTCAACTGTGCTGGGTTCTGCTTTGCCAGCATATTTCCTCCAGGGAATGTTTTTCAGCAAACGCCTTTTGAAGCGCCGTCCACTGTCAGGAATGACGCTGACACGTCACTGCTTTTCCCTCCATCGCTTCCTACCGTCGTCAGGAAAAGGTTAGATGGCAGAACAGTGCCCCAGGAAACATGAAACATTCTGCTGTCTGGAAAGCTACATCACAGCAATTAGGATCTGACACCCCTGGAATTCTTGCATGGTTTCTGTACTTAGTTTTCATAAGTCGCCTTATCCCCCCCCCCCCCAAAAAAAAACAACAACAACCCCTTACCATGTTTGATTAGAACAGAATTTATAAGAAACATGAAAATTTAGATTGTGGTTCCTAATAAGCAGCTCCAACATGTCTTGTATGAATTCAGTTTATCAAACCAAAGCCACAATTTACTAGTCTTGCTTGTTAAGCAACACATGTACTCAGAATCGTGGTCTTAAAGTTTGTATCACTGGGTCATCAGTAGAGAGGATTTGCTTAACAAATTGGTTAAACTTCCTTGGGTTATTAGCCAAACTCAGTATTTCATTTGTCAAAGAATGCATTTTTAAAATCTGAACAAAATGTTATTGGGCTTACCTACAGCTCCAAGAAGGCTTGTGGAGAACGTGTGCCCCATCCCATTAAAATTTCTCCCAGCCTTTGTTTTTTTTCCCTCCTTAGTATGGGCTGTTGCTTAAATACTGACTCTAGAAGTTAACCTGGAGATCCAATATAGCTAACGGGATTGGAGCTGGCGAGATAAAAGTTTTTTCTAGAGGGCAATGGGACCTGGGTCAGAGTTACCTATCCATTTGTTTTAAATCTTCTGCTTCAAACAAAGGAACTTGAACACTCTAGATGCTTTAGGTTAGACACATTTTATTATTTCAAAAGAAAAAAGGAAAGGAAACCAAGACAGGCCTAAAGATTCAGGTTGTCACAATCTGTGGCTTGAACCACTAGTAAAAAGGGAACTGATTTGTATTCCAGTTCTTTGTTAAGCCCTGAACGTTGCCAGAGGATCTTCACTGGGTATAAAACAGCACAATCTTGGCTTTCGTTATAAAGTCATTAGAGTGGTAACATTAAAACAAAATTAAGCATTCATCATCCAGTTTTTCACTAAAGGAAGCAAGCCAATTCAAAAAGGCCTGCAGTCAAATGCATATGGCTCACGTCTACATGACAAGTTTCAACCAGCTTCATTCTAGTTTAACTTCCATAGCTTTCCCCAAAGAACCTCGAGAACTGTAGGACAGAGCTCTGTTCGATTCGGTGCTGTTCCATCCATTTAGAAGCTAAGCACCCATCATGGATCACTACACGAGATCCGAAGAACTCTTTCAAACATCAGACTCAAAGGCCTTGATCAGGACACGCTGAGCATCACCTGCCACCTCATTTAGGAAGCTGTAAAGCATGTAATACGTGGTTCCAAAGGAAATCCCTCCAGCTGTCACGGAGCCAAATACAGGGATCGTGCTGGCAAAGTACTCCACCAGCATCAATGCCCCACCACCGGCTTTGGTTAACATCTTCACCACGAGGTCCCTGGAGATTTCTTTGGTCAGTGGTGACTCGATCACCTCTTTAAGCTCCTCCACATTCTTGCCAACCTTCTCAGCTAATTTGCCGAGGGATTCGTCATCTAGGCCAAAGTTCTGACGGTATTCCGAAAGAGACTTAACCAGGATAGTTATATCGCAAGCTACAGAGAGGCCTGGGATGGGCACAGCTGCTATTCCGCATGAGATGGTAGCCAGCTTCCAGATTTGCTTCTGCAAGGCCTCTTTCTTCTTCTGCAAGATGGACAAAGAGATGTTTGGCAGGGCCATGAGGAAGGCATGTCTCTTGTGGCTCGGCAGCTCCTTCTCCAGCGTCTCCTCGAGCTGTATGAAGTCGTACTTGTTTAGCTCCCAGCTGGAAAGGAGGAAGACCTGGGGAGCAGCCACTCCTTGGGCCTGAAGGCACTCTTTGCAATTCTCTCGAATCTTCCTCAGTATCGCCTCCTCGTCGTAGGCTTTTGGCCGGCGCTTTTTGGTGGCCTCTAGATCTGCGTCTACCTTCGAGCGCACAAAGTAGAAGCATTTGCCCAGCCGCTGGATTTCCTGCGCCAACTGGGCATGGTTGGACTTGAAGCGCTCTGAGGCAATGAGAATAAAGAAGTCATAGCGGGAGAAGTTGACCTGCTCCAGGTAAGTGCTGGACTGGAAATCTGGAGTGCCGATTCCGGGAAGATCCCACACAGTCACGTTGGGGTGCTTGGGGTGTGAATAAGGAGTGGGCTCCTTTGTGGTCTCCACAACCCCCGTGTCGGCAGATCCTTCGTCTTCATCCCCTAGGCCTCGAATGGCGTTGACAAATGAGGACTTGCCAGCACCAGACTCTCCCGTTACTGCAATGTCCAGCCGGGCATTCTCCAAAGCCTGCAGGTTTTCCAATATTTTGGACGCTGCTTCTGCCATTCTTCCTCCTTCAAGTGCATCCCTAATCTCTTCGATGTCTTCTTCGGTGATGATATCATATTCTTCTGCATAGGCAGCGGCTTGCTTTTGGGAATCCGGCGGCGGCTGAACTGCCATAGGATCGTATCGAGGCCTGGCAGGAAGGGGGAGAGAATGCAATACAAGGAGACATTGAACAAGTTTCACTTATTGTGGTACAATGTGTTCCACACCTGAGACATCAGCTGAGGAGATGGCATGAAACAGGGCACCTTTTTTTCATTTAGAGAGCCATGCAGCCAGCTCAGCTCTAGGCTGGATATTTGGAGAAAGAGAAAATGGGCCAGTGTTGTCTTGAATAATGTTTATGTTATAAAGAGGGCCTTATTCCATCCAAAATTTGTTATGTGAGAGGTTGGGGAAAATTAGGGCTGCCTGGCTTCGACCTCTGAAGCAAGAACTAATAGCCTGCTTCCTTTTTGTTTAGTCCACAGGTGGGGGAACCAAAGGTCCTTGGGCCAAATGGGGCCCTCCAGGCCTCTCTATATGGCCCTCAGAACTCTCCTCAGGCCACACCCCTCAGCTGCACTACATCTCCATGTTTTTGCTGGGTTTTGCCATTGAACTCTGATAATGCCTTCTGCTTGAGTGTAAGGAAGCCGACTTTTGACTTCCATTTTTCCCAGGGCGAAAGAGAAGCATCACATAAAGTGTTGGTGTGTAGCCAATTTAAACACTATTGCACTAGTGATTAACGCCATAAAATGACTTAGGCCCCAAATGGCAGCCCCTAAATTGTGGAATCCCCTCCCTACAAGTGTGACCCTAACACCTTCATTGTATCATTCCCATTCCATAGTGTTTGCATCCTGAAGCAACACCTCCGGGTGTTTTAAACCGTTTCAAGCATTGCATTTTAAATTGTTGCAATCCCCCCCCGGACTTTATTGCAAAGGGTCAGGTGAGAAATCAAATTAATAATAATAATAATAATAATGAAGAATGAGCAGAACATTAAGTTTCCATAGGAAAATGCAATGATTAAAAATGAAACATTTTCCCCAGAGAAAGACAGCAAGGTATTAATAACAAAATGCTGTTTATACTCAAAGAAAGTGGCCAAAATGCTCTTTGTTCCTTGATCTTGTAACCCCCGTGTGCTAGTTATCAGTGAAACCTGCCTGAAGGGAAACACACCTTTTGGGCCTGCTCTCGCCAACCTCTGCTTCACCTCGTCTCTTGGCAGCCATCTTGGACTAGGTCTCAGGCCAGCAGGTGTTTGCTCAACAAAGCGTCAGTTTGCACCTTTATAGCCTTAGTTAAGGAGAGTCCTCTCTCTCCCTACTTCAGGCCTGACTTTCTCCACCTGAAAGTGCCACGGTATTTGGCTGACAGCGAACCAACAATTCACCCTATCCAATTTGGTTCTGGCTAGCTCCTTTTCATCCTTGCACCGTCGTCTGAAATGGCCATTTCCTCTCTTCAAAGCATCTCGGTTCCTCCTCCTCTCCTCCTTTGTTTTAAATGTGTATCCTCAAAATGCAGGCACCCGCTCACAGCCCAGCCTCTCAGCTTCATTCCCACACAGCTCTATATATGGCCTAACCACTTCCTTTTGCTACCTAGCCCTGGATTTCCTCCCCATTCTACGCTGCAACGATACCTCCCTGGTAAATGTTTTCAGAACCAGCTTAAGGGGCCTAATTCACACAAGGAGCTCTGGAGACAAGCAAATACTCAAGAGAAATGTTTCTCGAACTCCAAGGAAGCTGTATGTTGGAAGGTTTAGGGCAGAGAAAAGAAAGCACTGATTCAGGCAGTGCAGTTAAAACTATGGGTATCTCTGGTTGACCACGGTAAATACAAGATGCTGGACCAGAGGTGAAAAAATCTCTTTTTGTTGAAATCCCCTCTTCTGCACAGCTGCCTTTTTCCAACTTGAGACCATTGGCCTATTTGGATTAATCCAGTGATGGCCAAACTCTGCCCTCCAGCTGTTTTGGGACTACAGCTCCCATCATCCCTAGCTAACAGGACCAGTGGTCAGGGATGATGGGAATTGTAGTCCCAAAACAGCTGGGGGGGGCCAAGTTTGGCCATTACTGGATTAATACTAATATTGTCTACAATGAACCGTCAGTGGCTAGCTAAGATTCGCTTCTTGTGATAAGGGAAAAGTACAACAGAAAGTTGTTTGCATAACTCTGCAAACAAATCAGAATGAATGTCACAGTCAGTTTGCCTTAACACACACAGCACGTTGACCTTTAAGACACCCACATACAAGTGAGAGCATTTCATTTCCTCTGCCCTGTGAGACACTGCTAATTTCACAAAAGAGGGAAACCCTTTGCATTGCATTTCAGTTTTTGTTTGCTTTTAGAAAGAAAGGAAGAAAGAAAAAAACCTTGGGGGAAAATTATAGAACATTATAATCACTTACAAAATACACAGCACTGATGCCGAAGCATAGTAATAGAATCTGGGGCAGACTTTGGTAATCTTTCGTAATTATGGTGTTCTGTCCAGGGCCAAAATTTGTTTGTGCAAGGTCAAAATCCCCCCCCCCATGGATTTTCTCCATTATGGATTTTCTTTTTGTGTGTGTGTAATAATTTCTATTAGTTTTCAATTAAGGTAAAGGGACTCCTGACCATTAGGTCCAGTCGTGGCCGACTCTGGGGTTGCGGCGCTCATCTCATCTGCGTTTGTCCGCAGACAGCTTCCAGGTCATGTGGCCAGCATGACTAAGCCGCTTCTGGCGAACCAGATCAGTGCACGGAAACACCGTTTACCTTCCCGCCGGAGTGGTACCTATTTATCTACTTGCACTTTGATGTGCTTTCGAACTGCTAGGTTGGCAGGAGCAGGGACCGAGCAACGGGAGCTCACCCCATCGCGGGGATTCGAACCGCTGACCTTCTGATTGGCAAGCCCTAGGCTCTGTGGTTTAACCCACAGCGCCACCCGTGTCCCTAGTTTTCAATTACAATAACTCAATAAAAGCCTCATTGCCCATACCAAAATATAATACCAAATTATAATACGATTAATAATGCCGATTGTTCAGATGCCAAATTATATTATTTTGTTGCCCTCCGTGCTAGAATTGATGATTTACTTTAACTCTGCACTCTAAAAACTTATAAATTCCAATGCACGCTAGTCAGAATAACAAACCCTTATACAGTACCGCAGCTGCAATTTTAACGACTTCAATTCACATTAACACATCAAATAATTTACAGTCCTACACCAATTATGGATCTTCTCAATTTTGGTCCTCCTTGGCTAGGTGTTCTGCGCTGATAAAAGTAAGAAGTTGGTGCTGTTGCTATTAACGTTACCATTATTAAGAGCCCTGCTGCATCGGCCCAAAGTCCAACGCACTCTGCCATCCTGCATTCCAGTGTGGCTAAGCAGACGCTTCCCAGACGCACAGCAGGAAGGCGAGAGCTATTTACTTCCTAGTCAATACCTGGCGGCATATACTGCACCTGCCACTGGAGGTTTCCTATGACTAATAGCAACGCATCTGTTGTCCTGCGCTCTTGTTTTTGAGCGCCGTATCCTGAGCCACTTCCTGCTTCTTAAGTACCTCCAAGGCAGCAACAGTTTCCAAATATTTTAAGCCAAGGCAGCAACACTTTCCAAACATTTTAAGCCAAGGGCCACCTACTGAAACGACAATGGCCCCCGCTCCGAACAGCACAAAACAGCAACGGAAAAGTCCACTAAGGTGTCAGAGCCGGATCTTCGCTTCCTCCAGGATCCAGATAGATGGGAGGCTGGTTTTCCGAGTCAAGTGTTTGAGCCGCCGATCCACATTTTCTTTCCAACCCCTCCCGCTGCCTCCCGTCCTTTTGCAGGCGGGACTCAAGCTGTCCTCCCGCGACCTCAGTGGCAGATTCCCAGCGATCCACCGGTGGGGAGGCGGGGTGGGCGAAGGGATCTCTTGATCTTGCCGAGCAAGCCGCTTTGAGGGGAAGCCTCCCTTTCCCTGCAATCTGAATTGCTCGCCATCTGAACTCAGCTCTGGCTAAACTTTGGCCAGCCACCCCCAGCTCCTCTCCAATCCCCATCCACCCCGCCAGCCCCCTCACCCCGCATACCTTTCAAGGCAAATCCGTGGCGATCCAGACGTTCAGCAGAGTGACCTAGGAAAGAATGTGGAGCAGATCGTTTGGAGTGGGGGGGCGCTGAGGGGGTTTCCCGAGGGGCGGCCGTTTTGTTTTGCGCGCGCGGCGGCTCCAGAAGCGCCCTGATTTCCCGGTGCATCTACGATCGACTTTCGGTTTCCAAGCTGCTTATTGTTCCTTGCTGCCTCCTGGTGGAAGGAATGAGTTCGGACCGCAACAGAATCGCTATTATTTTTAAGCGGGGGGGGGGGGAGGGGGATAGGGGTGAAATTACCATAAAATTTGCTGTGTGGTGCACATCCAAAAGTGCGTGCGAAGTGTGCGGCGGGGGAGAAAATATATTTGTTTATAAAGGCAGTAATCGAAGCAGGTAAAATGCTTTTTTTATTTTTTTTTTTATTTTGCAAGGGAGAGAAATGGCACGATCGCGTCAGTCGGGGAGAACACTAAAACGCTTTTTTTCCTTTATTTCCCCTGAACCGAGTAAGGGGAAAACCGACTTTAGGACCTGTTCGTTGCGCGCTGTTAGAGGCAGCGCCGTGCGCCAGCGTGGAGTCACGTGTATTGCAGGAACCCGAAACTGAGAAGTTAACAAAGTAGGATTGCTCTCATTGTAGGAGAAGACGGAGAAACGGCGGCGTGCGATATGTAAGTCACTAAGGAGGCAGGTGTAATTTTTCATAGGGGTTTTTTATTTCTTCCCGAGATCGCATTCCACACGGAAGTGCAGGTGACTCTCTGCTGCTTATCCGGATTGCAGTCGTCAGGTTTGTAACGTTAAGGACGCAGTGGTTCGTTTGGCAAGAACCAGAGGAGGATTTATTGATAGGACATGTGCAAGATAGAAACCGAAATCTGCAACTGGAGCAGGTCTCTTCCAGGAAACAGTTTGGCTTATTGTAATGGTAACAATTTTTAATTTATTTATACCTCGCTCATCTGGCTGGGTTTCCCCAGCCACTCTGGGAAGCCTGCGGAAAGCCATCTAATCCAGATTTTAATTTTACCCTGACTTGTTTTTAAGAGGTGGTTTAATTATTGTTTGATTTTATATCAATGTTTATATTTGATGTTAGCCACCCTGAGCCTGGTCTCGGCCAGAGAGGGTGGGAAACAAATAAAAGTTTTTAAAATTTTTATTATTATTATTACAGCACATTAAAAAATGCAACACATTAGACATTAAAAACTTCCCTAAACAGGGCTACCTTCAGATGTCTTCAAAAAGTCAGATAGTTGTTTGTTTCTTTGACATCTGAAGGGAGAGTGTTCCACAGGGCGGATGCCACCACCAAGAAGGCCCTCTGCTTGGTTCCCTGTAACCTTACTTCTCGCAGTGAGGGAACCACCAGAAGGCCCTCGGTGCTGGACCTCAGTTTCTGGGCAGAACAATGGAGGTGGAGACGCTCCTTCAGGTATACTGGACTGAGGCCATTTAGGGCTTTAAAGGTCAGTACCAACACTTTGAATTGTGCTTGGAAAGGTACCCGGAGCCAATGTAGGTCTTTCAGGACGGGTGTTATATGGTCTCTGTGGCCACTCCCAGACACCCATCTAGCTGCCGCATTCTGCCACAGTCTAGCTAGCCTTCTCCATTAATTTGCCTGATCCGCTTTTAAAGCCATCTAAGTTGGTGAGCATCGCTTCCTTCCTGTGGGAGGGAGTTCTTTAGCTTAACTAGGTTCTGCATGAAGAAGTGCTTGTTTTATCTGCTCTGAGGGAGGGTTTCTTAATAAGAATTAAGTATCCACACCCACTGTTGTGCATGCCAGGATCTAGAATGAATCTGGACTGAAAGCATTTTGGAGATGAACATGAATGGATTGAGAAAAACTAATTTTTTGTGGCACTAGCGGGTGAGTGTGTGCACAACCTGAGGCTGCAATCCTACCCTCACTGTCTTGCGTAAGAAAGTATCAGGAATGTCACACCTAAGGCAATGGGACATACATGCCTGCATGCCTCCCTTTTCTAGGACCATTGCAAAATCTGTTGAGTTTTGCACAGGAGGATAAAAGGGGGAGCACACAGCAAAGTTTTCAATTAGATGATGCAAGCATGCATACTTTCCATCAATATGCTCTTTATTTTCTCTCTCACACACAGAGGTGGGAAAGCCTCTTTTAAGATGATGGGTGGCACCAGCTGTATTCTTAAATTTAAAAACTATAGATTTGGATTGGCTGACCAATTAATTGTGAAGGCACCTTTCAAGCACAGTGGAACCTTGGTTCTCAAACTTAATCTGTTCCGGAAGTCCGTTCAACTCCCAAAACAGTTTGAAAACCAAGGCATGGCTTCCGATTGGCTGCAGGAGTTTCCTGCACTCAGGCGGAAGGTGTGTCGGACGTTCGGTGTTTGAAAACCGGAACACTTCTAGGTTTTCAGTGTTCGGGAGCCAATTTGTTCGTCAACTATGCCGTTGGAGAACCAAGGCTCCACTGTATATCTTTGGTTGGCTTGATGGATTAACCCAGGTGATCAGTTGACAAAGGCTGCAGTCCTAGGACACCAGAGGTGGGGAACCTGTGGTTCTCCAGATACCGAACCTTTAACCTGATTTGGTGGTGCTGTGGTCTAAACCACTGAGCCTAGGGCTTGCTGATCGGAAGGTCGGCAGTTCAAATCCCCGCGATGGGGTGAGCTCCTGTTGCTCGGTCCCAGCTCCTGCCAACCTAACAGTTCGAAAGCACATCAACGTGCAAGTAGATAAATAGGTACTGCTCTGGTGGGAAGGTAAATGGCGTTTCCGTTCGCTGCTCTGGTTTCACCAGAAGCGGCTTAGTCATGCTGGCACATGACCTGGAAAAACTGTCTGCGGACAAATGTCAGCTCCCTCGGCCAGTAAAGCGAGATGAGCGCCGCAACCCCAGAGTCGTTCGCGACTGGACTTAACTGTCAGGGGTCCTTTACCTTTTTTTAAAAGACATCTGAAGGCAGCCCTATTTAGGGAAGCTTTTAATGTTTAATAGATTATTGTATTTTAATATTCTGTTGGAAGCTGCCCGGAGTGGCTGGGGGAACCCGCCAGATGGGCGGGGTATAAATAACAATTTTTTATTTTTATTTTATTTTAAATTCTGGAAACAAAAAGCGCCAATGAATTCCGCCCCTCCCCAGCACTGATGATATTTCCCTTCTTTTTAAAGGAGACATGGCCTCTGTCCTCAGCACTGTCTTGCAGTGGGCTCTCAGCATCGTCATCCCATGTTTTACAGCTCAGCTCTGGAGATTCATGAACAAACTGCTGACCTTCGTGGTCGTGGTGGCGCTCGCTGTTCTCCTCTCCACGATGTGGCTAGCCATGAACAAAGCGGAGTATTCCCCCATGGGCACGGACCACGAGGTTGCTGTGACAGCCAAGCAGTTGTGGAAGCCCACCAGTGTCCTCAATATCATGAAGGATGCCCTGTTGTACGTGGCTAACCTGCTGCCCTCTTACGAACCACTGACAGCTGAGAATCTCCTAAGGCACCGTGATCGGCTGGATGGTGTCAACTACATACTCCAAGCCTGTTTCAACAAGGCCATTGATACCTTTCTCCAGGAGCCGTGGTCTGTGCAGCAAAATGCCCAGCTGGTTATCCAGTGCGGCGGACCTCCCATAGAGTTTCGGTCTGGCAAGGGGGACTGCCAGATTTCTGTATATGTCCTATACAAGCAGATCCAGTGTGATATCAAAGAGCGGACGGCCGAAATGTACCTTGCGAGGCTGGCCATTCGCAAGGAGCCGCTGAGCGTCGGAGACCTGCTGAGAGTGAGGCAGAGCTTGCGCTCCTGGGGGGTTCTTCCCGAGGAACTAGGCCACTGCTTGGAGTTTGCAGTGGAAGAGTTTGCCAAGGAGCCGTTCTGCGTCCAGGACAATGCCCACATGGTTGTAGACTGCGGCGGGCAGGTGCTGAACTTTGCCTCTGGCGAAGGGGAGAATAAGATCAATATCTACGATGTACGGGGAGGCCTCATTCACTACCGGATCAGGATCTCGGGTTCCTGGACCAGCATCGTACGGTTCTTTCATGGGAACAAAAATCACGCGCAAACACGTGCGAGGAAGCCTCTGCAGTTAGAGTGAGATCAGAGCTACGAAAGGAGCTCGCCTTTTCTCGCCTCTAAAAAGACTGGTTCACAGTTTCCCCCAAACATGAGAGAGGCAGAACATGTGCACATTTTTGCAAACAGCTCCCCCCCCATTAAATGTGTTTTGTATGTTGTTTTCACAAAGTCATGGATTTTTATGCACGCTCAACCATACTTTTATGTATTTTTGAACACAATTTGAGTTGGGGAAACTGCATTGATAAAATTCTGATAAGCACTGATTTTGAAGAGTAGCTTCCTTTTGATCCATGGGCTGATAGGAAACTTTTGCAACCCAAGAACCACATTTTCTCACAGGGAACCTTTCTGGTTGGGGCCACCTCCCTCCGGAGATGGGTGATGCAAACAGATTAGGAAGACTAGGCAGCAATTGAACCCCAAATGCTTTTGTTCATTTGTTTATTATTTACAACATGTATACAATACTCTAGCCAAAAAGGCGCCCAGAGCAACTGATATGATCAGGCTTTCACAACACACAAGGAAAAGGGGTGGGGATGGAGGAGGAAGCATGCCAGGACACTAGTTCTTAAAGTCCTTTTAAGGACCTGTTGGGAAGCAACTGGAAACTGTTTGGTAGGCCTGATGCGACTGGCTACTGCTCCTGATGGTGGACCAATCACAGCTGGTCTTTGAGCAGAGGCAGTGACACAGCCCTCCTGTGCTGCTTCCCCTCTGCTCTGCCGCCAGGTGGAATTGCAAAGCAGCCTTGACCCTCATCCACTCGTTGCTAAAGCAGCACTTCATAACATGGCATGGAAAAGTCTGGGAGAAGGGCCATAGCGCAAATGGCAGAACATCTGATTTGCATGCAGAAGGTTCCAGGTTCAATCCTCTGCAGGTAGGCTGGGAGAGACCCCTGCCTGAAACCCTGAAGAGCAGCTGCCAGTCAGTGTAGACAATACTGAGCTAGGTGGGCCAACGATCTGATTCGGTATAGGGGAGTTTTTACCACCAGTGTGTGGCTGGTCCCTTGATAGGGTGATAGTCTTCACCAGCTGCAGCCAACCCATGCTTGCCTGTCTTCTTACACCCGGTCCATGGGGTGACATTCCCTCTCATCTTCTTATTCCTGGAAGTATTGCCCTTGTAGAACTCAGCAGGAAGGAGGATGGGGACAAAACCAGGGTGAGCTGCCTCTCCCTGTCATTGGCTCTGGCGCCACCTACTGTTTGTCTCCCTGTCTTCCTCCCCACCAGACACCACTGCTTCCCATGCTCCCCAACGCCACCAAATCTCCCCCTGCCCAATTTACGCATCATCAGGGCGCCTGCTTCGTGCCCCGAGCCAGCACAGTATACAGAGGGGAAGAGGGAGGAAGAGAAAGAAGAGGAAAACCAGCACAGGAGAGCGGTGGTCTATTGCGCCTCCTCCTTTAGTGCTGGTGTTGGACTCTGTCACCAACCACGATGCATCCATTGGTGGAGAAGTAAACATAGGGGTTGACCTTGGCGGCTGGTATGGGCGTGGACCAGAGGAAGGGCTTGGCTTGAAGTTGTCAGGCTGTGATGGGGCAAGGTGCCCCAGGTCTTGGTTGTTTTGAATTACAGCTGTCCTCGTTTTATATCCATCTGCTTCATCTTGTCCTCTCATCCCACGCATTGTGGTTCCCTCTAGGATGCTGGAGCTTGCTGAGCCGGTAGCAGGAGTGCAGCAGATTGTAGAAGTTCCTCCCAACCTCTTAATCCAAAAAGGAGCCTCTTCTGTGTTCTGCCTAATTCTGGCCAGAAGACTCACTTGGGGGTCCTTCTGGGTTTCTGTCTTGGGCGTCTCTCTATAGCGCCACTTGCTATAGACTTTCAGACTGGGTGGTGTAGCTGTAGTTGCAGCCTGGTCTGTGGCCTTGTTGATGCTGTCCTGGGCAGCCATTGATGCTGTGTTTTCTTCAGGAACATCCAGGAGCTTGGGTGTCCCCAAAAAGGTGCGATGGCTGCCTTTCGAGTATTGCAACTGGGCTGTTGTGTGACCTGCCACAGGAGTCATGGAAGAGGATGTAGCTGGAAAGAGAAATCAGACTTTGGTCACCTTCTCAGTGTCTTGTGCTTTTTTTTTTTTTAAAATAATTTTTTATTAAAGTTTTAAACAAACAAAAAAAGAAAAACAACACACACAAAAAACAATACAAAACTTAACAATAAAAACACAAAACATAGCAATTAAAAACAAACTCTCTTTTCCATTTCCAATTTTAAATACTTATTTTCTGGACTTCCTCATACCTCCCTCTTTTGTATTCCAATCTACATTGTTTGTCCAGCAGTTTCTTTTCCACTTTTTTAATCCCAATCTTTAATTTAATAAAACGTTAAGATATATAACTTCAACTTTTTTAAACCTAATCCTTGATCTTAATGTCATATAACTTTAAATTTTTCCCTTTTACTATCAAATTTCCATTTCTTTAAACATCTTTAATCTTGATCTTTAATCTTAATCTATCCTTAACTTTAACCTGTACAGCTGGAAACCACTTGTTTTCAGTCCAACATCACTCTAACATTCCTTAATTTTGCAGTGTTTCTGAAGATAGTCTTTGCTTTTGAACTATAGACCTATTGTATGGAAGTTGGCAGCAGGACAGTGAAAATGGATTCTGTGTGCCCTAATGGTGGCCGAGAGACTGATACGGGTAAATTGGAAGAATGGAGATACATTTCCCCTTAATCAATGGCTTGACAACATTTGTAACATAGGAACAGACAGCTTTCAGACGCAGGCTTTCCATGGATAAATACAGTGAGTGAGTTTACTGTGGTGAGTGAGAAGTCATTTAATTAAAATTAATTTGGTATCAATGTGTAATCATTTGTGAAAATTGGGTTGTACTTTGGAAAATCAATAAAAATAATGGACAAAAAATGGAATGAGTTTACACAGAATATACTAGGTTATTGACAATTATATATGGGTTTTTTTTGGGGGGGGTTATTGTTTTTATTTGGATTTTATATATTGTGATCTTTTTTTGTGAACCGCCCTGACACCTCCAGGTATAGGGTGGTATATAAATTCATTCATTCATTCATTCATTCATTCATTCAATAAATACTGGTACAATAAGAATACAGTGGTACCTCGGATTAAAAACTTAATTCGTTTCGGAGGTGCGTTCTTAACCTGAAACTGTTCTTAACCTGAAGCACCACTTTAGCTACTTTATGGGGCTCCCCGCTGCCGCTGCGCCGCTGGAGCACGATTTCAGTTCTCATCCTGAAGCAAAGTTCTTAACCCGAGGTACTATTTCTGGGTTAGCGGAGTCTGTAACCTGAAGCGTCTAACCGGAAGCATCTGTAACCCGAGGTACCCCTGTATGCACAACTGTATATCAATGTATGATAATGCAACAGTATTTTTTTCATTTTCACTCACTTTTTTCTTTCTTTTTTCTCATTCTATGTCTTTTAATAAATGAAATTATTATTATTATTATTCCTCCAAGGAGCTCAAGGTGACATACATAGCTCTCTCCATATTATCTTCACAACAACCCTGTGTGGTAGGTCAGGGTGAGAGGTGGTGACCGGCCCAAGGTCAGGGAGCGTCATTGCTGAGTAGGGATTTGAACCCAGCTTTCCCAGTTCCTGGTCCAACACTTTAACCATTGCACCTCTGCTAACTGAAAATCCTGGGGATTGCACCCGTGACATTCTGCCACTGAGCTACAGCAGTCCTTCCCTAGGAAGAGAGATTGGTGGTTAAACAACTCTCTTTTGTTGTTGTTAAAGATTAAAATCAATGGGAGGTTTTATTCCATCGTGAATAGCAGGAATAGTTGGAGTGGGAAGAATTTCAGCCGGGGTCACAGCAGGAGCTAAAGGATTAAGGCCAACTTTCCTGCCAGGCCACAGTCTCGGTCTGACTCTGGGGTCCATTGCACTGGCTGCTTAATGAAAACTCAGTGACAGAACTCTAAACCAGGTGTGTTTAGTTGGGCTTTAGGGGGAGCCGGCCTTCCCCACCAGGCGGCACTCCTCCCAGGTGTATCCGTGATGCAATAATTTTGTGCGAGTCGTGACCTCGATTGTGCAAACTGGGCCTGTTTGGCAGAGCTGTCCTGGCTGAATAGGGAAGGGTGCAATCTATGCTTGGAACGTCATCGTAGGGGTGGATGCCTCTGTGCTGAGACGCACAGGTGGTTTCCCCAGGGCATATCCAGGCCTTGTGAAACAAATCACATTCCGGAGGGAGCGGGCAGGACCCAGAACGAGGAAGAAGGAACAATAATATGGTGGACTTCGGTTATTGATGAGGGAGAAGTTACAGACTTCCCTCATGCTCAACCTGTAGATAAGTTAACAACTTTTTTGCTATTCCTGAAATGGAAACTGATGGATCAGTGCTCTTTCTGGTCTGGTTTGAGTTCTTGTGCATGTTCCCTAAATACATTTTTTTTTAAAAAAAAAGCGCAACTCAGACAAAAGCGTTAGCAGCATCTGTAGCTAGGTAGGTCCTAGGTTCAATCTGAAGGCAGCCCTGTTTGGGGAAGTTTTTAATATTTGATGTTTTATCGCTTTTTAAAAATTATTAGTATTAATATTCTGTTGGGAGCTGCTCAGAGTGGCTGGGGAAACCCAGCCAGATGGGCGGGGTATAAATATCATTATTATTATTATTATTATTTATCAGTCCCCAGCATCTCCAGGCAGAGCTGAAGGAAGCTCCTGCAGCCAATTGGAAGCCATTTGGGTTCCAAAGAACGTTTGCAAACCAGAACACTCACTTCCGAGTTTGCGGCTTTCAGGAACCAAAACGTTCGAGTCGCAGGGTGTTTGGGATCCAAGGTACGACTGTGTTTGAAATCCTGGAGAGCTGCAGCCAGACATTATAGACAGTGCTGAGATAAATGGACCAATAGTCTGACTTGGTATGAGGCATATTCCTATGGGCTGTGAACATTCTTCTTTCTCCCTGAGGAGACACTTCCGCAAGGACACACGTTTCGTATTTCATCTTGCGGGTGCAGCCATTGCAAAGAAGATGCAGAGCAGCCTCGGCTCAAACCAAGCCCTGAGTTGTGAACCTTTTGGGAAGGAAATGTACAGCAATCCATTGAATGTGAACACGTTTATAAGTACCATAGACTTACGTCTTGCGTTCTGAGCACCAGCTGCACCCAGGAGAACCAAAGAAAAGCAGAGGATGGGTGGAGACAGCATTGCAGGTTTCTTTTTGAAATCTCGGTGTGCAAAGCCCCACTCAAAGCTTGACGCCTCAGACTACAAGAAGGGATGACCTGAGGGTGGAAGCACAGCTGCATTGTAGCGATGATGGAGAAGGGATAGAGAACAACCTGAGGACTTGGTGACACTGGGCTGCATCAGCCTTCTGATCCCTTGCATTAGCAGATGGCAGAGTTTCAAGCTGGTGTAATAAAGCAATCCAACGAAACAGTTGCACGTGTGCAAGCTGTGAAATAAGTAATGCGGCAAGTTTTGGTAATGTACTTACTATACTTAGCAAGCTGACTTACACGGAGTCAGTCCATTGGTGTCTCTAGCTTAGCAATGCCTCCAGGGAGGAATCCACATCGTGATCAACTCCTGCCCGGAAACCAATGTCCCCACTGCGGAAGGACGTGTGGATCCAGAATTGGCCTCCACAGTCACTTACAGACTCATTGTTAAAACCGTGTTTATGGAAGACAATCTTACTCGGCTATGAGTGATCGCCAAAGAAGAAGAAGAAGAATTCACACTTACCCCTTGCCCCATCCTATCTAGGCACAAGTCTGAGTTTTCCTGGTCTGTGTCAAATGGGTCCCCTCCCCCACCGCTTTCTGCAGGAAAACCTGATCTTCACTGCTGAATCAGGGCAGAAAACAAGGATTTAAGGCAGGGGTCTCTTTCAGCCCTATGTGGAGATGCCAGGGAGTGAATCCATGCCCTTCTGCATGCAGGGCAGATGTCCTACTCCTGAGCTAGGGCCCCTGAGTTTTCCCATCTGCAGCAATGCCCCACCTGCGCAGTAAATACAGTGGTACCTCGGGTTATGTACTTAATTCATTCTGGAGGTCCGTTCTTAACCTGAAACTGCGCTCTCTCTCTCTCTCTCTCTCTCTCTCTCTCTTGATTTTAACATATAAATTATAAAATGTACCACAAAGCTTATCACTTATACAATCTTTTTAGACTTCCATCAGCACCTCTGATGATCCACCGTTGTAACCACTTCTTAACTTTATATTGCCTTTACATCTCTTAACAAATCATCCTTCCCCTTCTCCATTTTTGCAATACTTCCAATAATACTCCTCACAAAACTTCTTGCAAACCTACAAACGTTGTCTGATCTTCACAAATACTTTTCAAGTAGTCCGTAAATTTACTCCAGTCTTCCGTGAATTTCTGGTCCCGCCGGTTTTGAATCCTTCCTGTTAGTTTATCTAGTTCTGCATAGTCCATTAACTTCATTCTCCATTCTTCAACCGTCGGTAATTCTTCTTGCTTCCATTTTTGGGCCAGTAATATTCTTCAGGATAAGAACAGAAATCGGGCTCCGGCGGCGCGGCGGCAGCAGGAGGCCCCATTAGCTAAAGTGGTGCTTCAGGTTAAGAACAGTTTCAGGTTAGTAATATTCCTGAAACTGTTCTTAACCTGAAGCACCACTTTAGCTAATGGGGCCTCCTGCTGCTGTCACGCTGCCACCACACGATTTCTGTTCTCATCCTGAAGCAAAGTTCTTAACCCGAGGTACTATTTCTGGGTTAGCGGAGTCTGTAACCTGAAGCATCTGTAACCTGAAGCATATGTAACCCGAGGTACCACTGTATACTACTAACTGACTTGTAACTTAGTGTTGTGTTGGAAGCAACCCATCAACATTTTCATGGATGAATCACTTCCTTTGAAGCAACAACACAATACAAAAAGAACGTATATAATTGCCTGCCTGCACGCAAGCGGACATATTTAACAATATTGCGTATATCGAAGCAATTTCAAATCCAGTACAGATGCTGACAGGGGCAAAAATAATAATCTCCACTTAGAAGGCTTGCTGAAAGAGGAGTTGGATTTCCTCCCTCCCAAGTGAATTCATGGAGGACAAGGCTGTCCACGGACTCTAGCCACAATAACTCTGTAAATTTGCCTCTGTTGGAGACAGTATGCCTCTGGATGCCAGCTGCTGTGGGTCTCAAGCGGGGAGAAGCTTGTGGGCTGCATGAAGGACTGCATGCTGAAATTCCTGCATTGCAGGGGGTTGGACTAGATGACCCTGGGGTGTCTCTTTCAACTCTATGATTTTCCTGAGCATCTTGGCCACTGTGAGAGCAGGATGTTGGACTAGGCAGGCTGGTCACCTGAACCAGCAGGTGACTGGTAACGACAATAAAAAAAACACACACGCAACCATAATAAAACCACAATTAAAGGCAATGGCTTAAAAACTTTGTCAGCATTAGGGACAGATGAAGCTGTCTCTTTTGGTTTCTCTCTGTTTCTCGTTTCTCGGATCTTCAGTTCTCCACATTCCCAAAGCAATTTTTGTTTTTCTTTAAGCCCTCAGGAAAGTTCACGTACAAAGAAAATTCCTGCCAACAAGAACCACATTTTTGTTGGCACATTCTAACATGTACGTTTTTGCAAGCAATTCCCCACCCCTTTGCATATTCTTTGTAGGTAAAACTTTTGTTACCGTCTTCCTCCTTTGCTTTGCTACTGCTTCCCCCTGAAGTGAGAGGAGAGACACTGGACCGTCTCTAGAGGAAATCGGACTCACCCGCCACTGTTTTGCAACAGCTGGTCTCAACACCCGACTTCTGGGTGGAGTGGGGAGGTTAAAGAGGGAAGATTGATGGGTTGATGTGAATGGTTTTTGGATTAGAGGAAGGTTGAGGTTTTGTTTATCTGTTAAGTAATGGGTCTGGTTATTGCTTTGTTCATTATTTGAGTATTTTTAAAAAATGGATTCCATGTTTATATGGAATATTAATGTATTAATGTCTTACGTGATTCCCCCCTCAAGGTATTATGTACTGTATATCTTTTTTTGCTGTAAGTCACTTGGAGACATTTGGGTGACAAGCAACTGAGAATGAATGAATTTCTGCATGCGTTGTTTGGCTGGAGAACAGCACACTGCAACATTCAGAGATATCCAAATTTCGAAGGATAGCTGTGCTTTGGTTCACATATTGTTTTGAGAAGTACAAATCGGGTAGTTTCTTATTAAAATACAAAGAAAATCATACCCTACCCCAATCACTAGCTAAGATTAAAAAAACAACAACTGTAAAAGAACAATGCAACAGATACATTAAAGAACAATCATTTTTGAGCTGACATTGTTGAGTCTTGTGAAGGGTCTTAACATATTTAATCCAGATTGAGATTGTTTTCATTTTGCAATATTCCCAATGGAACAAAACTGAATTTGTTTGTTTTAACAACATAGGCTACAGGTTGCCCACTGCTTTTCTATCAGAGCTTCTTCGACTACAACTCCCATCATCCCTAATCACAGGCCATTCTGGCAAGCACTGATGGGAGTTGTATTCCTCTTCGGTTGGAAGAGGGACCAGGCTCTCACCCGCAGTTTGCCTGGCAGTCACTTCCCCATGGAATGCAAGGGCAGGTAAAGACACTGGGTGCACGAAGCACTCCGGCTGCTGCGACCCTCCCCAACCCCAATCCTGTTTGTGGAAGCACAGGTTATCCTGCTATTTGGTTTCTAAATGGAATAAACTACAGGTGCATGCCAGAGATGAGATGAGAAACAGAGAAAACAACTCAACTACAAGGAACTAAAAGGTTTGGAATGAGAGTGGATTCCATTCGTTGAAAGAGAGGATGGGGGGAGGGGAGCCCACAGTTTGCTTATTTAAAGTTTTTCTCTACATTTATGATACGGCAACCCTCCCCGGAATGCAAGTTTTATTAATAAAATATCTATACAAGCGAGGATGGGAGAAACTGGAATATAAATATGGACTTTAACAAAACTGGAACTGTGTGTATGAGAGAAAGGAACTGATAGGGAAGGGGAGGGCAATGCTATGCTTTGAAAATATGGAGCAAAGTTCTCCCTAACCTCCATTATCCACAAAGGAATGTGTTTGAGATAAGGACAATTGGCCATAAATCAGTGGCAGGGAGGAAAGGAGTCTACCAGCTGCGGGAATAGAAGTTTCTGGATTAACTATCTGTAGTCTGGATTCAGACTGTTCTTCCTAGGCTGGCTGGGGAAAATGGCAAGCTGGAATCACAGGGCGGAGTGATGCAGTGATTTTTGGAAACACTGGGATAACCGCTTCTCTCGGGGTGCAATGGAAACCATCAACAGTTGCAGGAATAAAAGATTCAACACCATATATGAACAGGAAAACAACATGGGGGGAAACTGTTACACACAGGAAAGAATAAGGATTACAGTTAGAATTCTTCACTTGAAATTTTATAAATTACCTAATATACCATCGCAAATAGAAATCACAACTGTAGCTGTTAAATAAGGAATTATTATATCTGAAAGGAATGGAATGGAAATTATTAAAATTTTGGAACGCAGAAAAAATGTAGAAGAATGAAGCCATCATATCTAGCATGTGAGAGGGCCAGTTTAATTAAATTGTATAATTTGACATTTGAATAATTGGTATTAATAACTGTATTAATTGGATAAAATTGGTATTGTTATAATGAGGCTGCTATTGGAATGATACTGGAAAATCAATAATAATAATAATAATAATAATAATAATAATAATAACCTACATAAGAAATGTATTTTCCGAAACTGATAAAGTACTGTAAGTTACGAAAGAAAAAAACACTGCAGTACAAGATTTAGCATTTCTAGAACTATTTCCAGATTGAATTTTAACAAAATGTCCAGAATTAACATTTTCAGTTCTGAATGTCTAACAGCTGCCCTGTTTCAAATATGTATGAAATTGCATTTATTCTAAGGCTGCTAGAGGCAGGACAATGGGCATATATTTGTCAGACCTAACAAGGGTTTACTTACTGAACTTAGATAATGGCTTACCTGGCAGTTGTTCCTGAGAATCCCAGTGACTTTGTTCTTCTGTGGCAGGTAAGAAATATGGAGTGACCACCAGGTCGCTCTGTATGCCCTAAACTTCATTCGCTATTGAAAGAGTGATAAGTTTCTTTTGGGAGATGAGAGCAGTTTCTGAGGCGGCACCCTCACATTCTAACATTAAAAGAGGCATTATGCAATGTGAAAAGGCTTTCCTGGTCAGTGAGGTTGTCACAAAGCTGCAATTGGGAAACTGACAGTGCTTACCTCTGTTTCACCCGAGAGGAATCCCTCCCTATTTCATACCTTGTTCAGCAGCCTTCATTGTTTGCAAAGGTTGATGTCTCATAGGATCAAAGAGTTGGAAGGGACCGTGAAGATCATCTGGTCCAACTCCCTGCAATGCAGGAATATGCAATAGGTCCATACAGGTATCAAACCTGCAGCCTTGGCGGTGTCAGTAAAAACCCATGCATATAGGCTTTGTGGTTGGTTTCTGACTAAAAAGTCCCGGTAGTGCAAGGACTTTTGGCTGCATATGGTGCATGTTTTTCCTTTTTTCCTTTTAGATGCTGATTTTCTTCTTTGTTTTGTAGTCGTACCTTGGTTTTCTTTTTTTTAAAAAAATAATTTTTATTCATTTTCCAAACAAGTTTTATACAATCATCAAATTGTTTTACACTCATGCTTCAATTTTTGACTTCCCTCAGTTTCTCTGTCAATCTTTCGAAAAATTTCTATTTATTGACGCATTTCTAAACATAATATTGCCTTTCCCCACTCCTTTTCCTCTTACTCTCTTTTTTGCAGTATTTCTTACTATTTCACAGAGTCTCTTCAAAACCAACAAGCGTTGTCTGTACATCACATATATTTTTCAGATACAGTGGTGCCCCGCAAGACGAATGCCTCGCAAGATGGAAAACCCGCTAGACGAAAGGGTTTTCCGTTTTGGAGGTGCTTCGCAAAACGAATTTCCTATGTGCTTGCTTCGCAAGACGAAAATGTCTTGCGAGTTCCTGCGGGGTTTTTTTCCTTTCCCCCCTCTTTTTCCCAAGCCGCTAAACCGCTTATCAGCTGATGGCTAAGCCGCTTAACAGCTGATGCTAAGCCGCTTATCAGCTGATCTTTAAGCCGCTTATCAGCTGATCTTTAAGCCGCCTAACAGCTGATGCTAATCCACTTATCAGCTGATCGTTAAGCCGCTTATCAGCTGATCTTTAAGCCGGCTAAGCCGCTAATACTGTAGCGCTAAGCCGCTAAACCTCTAATGGGCTTGCTTCGCAAGACGAAAAAACCCGCAAGACGAAGAGACTCACGGAACGGATTCTTTTCGTCTTGCGAGGCACCACTGTATTCTGTAAATTTCCCCCAGTCCTCAATAAACTTTTGGTCTTTCTGATATCGAATCTTCCCAGTCAATTTGTCCAATTCTGCATATTCAGTCAATTTCCTTCTCCATTCTTCGTCGTACCTTGGTTTTCAAACAGCTTAGTTCTCGAACATTCCAGCTCCCAAATGCCACAAGCCCAAATGCCACAAGTGACTGTTCTGGTTTGCGAACTATTTTTGGAAGCCGAACATCCGATGGGGCTTCTGCGGCAGGAGTTTTCTGCAGCCACCCAGAAGCCTCGCCTTGGTTTCTGAACATTTTGGAAGTCAAATGGACTTCCGGAACAGATTCCATTCGACTTCCAAGGTACGACAGTATTGCATGTCAAAACTCAATAAAAACAATTTAATTTACAATGCAAATGCAAATGAATACATCATCAAATCAATGCACTCAAAACAAGATATTGAAATCCAAATAATTCATTTTGACAATATAGACATGCCATTTCAAATTCATTATAAAATAACCATTAGAACATATCAGTTAATGTAAACTAAACACAAGAAATTTCAGAACAAATCACATATTAAGAATAAAAAGAGCATTGTTGGCTGCCCACTCTCCACCTTAGAGCAGATTTATGCCACAAGGTGCCATAGGAAGGCACTGGACATAGTAAAAGATCCATCGCATCCTGGTCACTGTCTCTTTGAGCTCTTGCCGTCGGGACGGAGATACAGGACAATGAAGACAAGAACGAGCCGTCTTAAGAACAGCTTCTTCTCCAGAGCGATCTCGGCCCTGAATGGGAAGCCCGGACTTTGAAAGTCATCTAATCTCCCTTGCTGTATTATACTGTATTGATTAATTAGTGTTTTTATGGAGCAGTCAAGTAATTTCGTTGTCCCCGAAGGGGGCAATGACAATAAAGGTATTATTATTATTATTATTATTATTATTATTATTATTAAAAAAAGGAGCCACTGTATCAGTTAGGTCTAAAACAGAATTAGGCAAGAGTCTTAGCTGGTCAGATCTTATCATAATAGAATGGTTTTGTCCTTGCTGAAAAGGAGCAGGCTTATATTTCTCAATAAATGAGAGAGAAGGCAATTGTTGTCCATCAAAGCATGATATGTTTGCTGGAAAGAATTCATATACTCACTCAACACTGTGAGGTTGGCAGGAGCTGGGACAGAGCAATGGGAGCTCACCAGCAAAAGGTTAATATATATCATTAAAACAACTCTTCATGTATGCAACATTAACCCTGCCCTTGCAGGTGCCTGCAGTGCCTGGAGACAATCAACCAGAGGAGGAATGACCACTGGGAGGATTGCAGAAAGAGAAATGAAAAATACCTGTTGCTGCCGCCCCTTCTTACCTCTTTTTCAGAACATCTATAGAGGCACTGCTGACCAGCTTTGTGCTCCAGAGATGTTCTGAAAAAGAGGTAAGAAGGGGCAGCAGCAACAGGTATTTTTCATTTCCCCACAGGGGTTGTGCTTGTTCTAGGTGGGTGCTAAAATTAGAATGCTTATATTTAGCTTGCAATAAAACTTTCAAAAGACATTAAGCGGAAACGCCTCTTTCTGTTGCAAAAGATTACCTCTTGGCCCTGGCATGGTTCGTGAGCCTTTATCGTCACCGTATATCATCTATAAATTACCTAATATTATGTGTCATTGCAAAATAAGTTTTAAAAAGCAGATCCCTGCCTGCAGGTAAGCAATGTGACTACAGATCTTCCTGGGACTTTGCCACACATTGTGCAGTGCAGTTTAATTCGTACCATTTACAGTGTTCTTTCTGTAAACAAAAACAGGCAGCCATTTTGACCCCTCACAATGAAACAAATGGTTGAAACTCCCCATTGTCAACCACGCATAGAGGGGTAAATTGTGGGTGGGGTGGTTTGTTCTGTCCTAATCCCACAATATAGTAGTATTTCACCTCAGCCTTCCCAAAGCAAGTAATGCTTCAGAGGTTTTGAACTACAACTCCCATCAGGTCTAGCCAGCATGGCCAATGAAGCCCAACACATCTGGAAGGCATCAGTTTGAGGTAGGCTGTAGGGATCTTCCAGATGTCCTTTTTATTGAGCGTTCATATCTGAGCTTATACTGGGGTGATTATACGTGATCCCACTTTCTATACCCTTTGCATCTGCAAATGTTTTGGGATGGTCATTCTGCTTCGTTTGCAATAGGAACGGACTCCATAGTTTCCTGCTAAAGCCCAGCAACTTTTTTCTAACACAAATGTTCATGGGTGTGTGTGTTGCCCACTTTTGTCACAATACAGAGCAAGAGTGACCTTCCAGATGGCAATAATAACCGAGTGACATTGGGGAACTATTGCTGAACTCTTAATAGAGTGGAATGGTATCTGGATGGCCCACTATAAACACACACCTCCATGCATTTTTATTGTGTCGATGACATGTTGTCTCAAGGCAAATCTAAAAAAATGTAGTATAAACACTGACAACTGGGAAACACTGCCCTGTGAGCACTCCAGTTGGAGAACAGCCTTTATCAAAGGTGCCATGGGCTCTGGAGACACTCAAACTCAGGACGCTAGGGAGAAACATGCTAAGAGGAAGGCACGCTTGGCAAATCCACACTGTGATCTACTCCTGCCTGGAAACCAATGTCCCCACTGTAGAAGGACGTGTGGATCCAGAATTGGCCTTCACAGTCATGGACTCACTGTTAAAACCGTGTTTATGGAAGACAGTCTTACTCGGCTACAAGTGATCGCCAAAGAATGAGGGGGGGGGTCTAGATAATTCACCATATTTTTTCATTTATGAGACTTTCATGGAAAACTGAAAGCTGATTAGTCAGTTTGGCCATATTTTAAAAGGAGAAAATCCAAACACAAAAGTGTATGGTTTTTTCTCCCCCCAAAAAGCTACACTGCCGACATGGGCTGCCGTACATCTGGATTTTGCTGGACATTTCTAAAATAATTAGAGTGACCATGTGAAAGCAGCGTTGATTATAACACAAACGTCCTGGAAGTAGCAAGGAGATTAATTTAACCAATTAGTTTATTTCATGAAAACTTTTACACTGCTTGATTCTAATAAAACCTCAAAGCAGTTTGCAAAGAGATAAACCAATAAAACTAGGAAACAATTACAGTCGTGCTTTAAGATATGCAAGAGTTTAAATACTAGAACAGATTAAAATTACCTCAATTTTCTATTTAACAAATGTGGAGGCTCCTGTCTAGCTGAATGCCCTCCTTCAGTTTGAGTGTGTCTGAGGGAAAGAACATTCTGAAATAGATGTTGCATGGGACTTGTGATACAGAGCTAACTCTTGTTCCTAAAGAAAAATAGCAAATGCAGCACATATATATATATATATATAGAGAGAGAGAGAGAGAGAGAGAGAGAGAAGGAGAGAAAGTGAATGCTGCAGCCTGCATAAATTATAACTTGAGACCATCCCTGCAAGCAGGTTCACATAGGTCACTAGTTTTTTCTAGTCTGACATCATATACAGAGCAATTCATCAGTGGACTGAAAGAATTATGAATAGGAAAAAGTCCATTTGTCCCAAAGTCTCCTTTCAGTATTGGTCTTAATTCTTATACATTGGATAGAGATACTAATTTTAAAGTAACTGAAAGGGTATTATGCTGGCATTCAGATTATTTCACTTAGGGTGTTTGAGAAGCCTAAGATTTATGGAATTTTTAAAATAAAAAACCTGATCATCTGATTATTATTATTTTAATGTCTTTTGGTGGTGGTTGTTTTAAAAATGGAAACGTATAATTCACCAGATACTATATATCAAGCACTTAGTCATCATGGCACATCTGCTTGCTGCTAAATGGACTTTTTCCCCTCTGCCTCAAGAGCTTTGGACAAAACCCTCTTGGTGTCATCAGCAGCACCCGATATGCATTTCTGCAGCATGAAGTAGGTGCGAGGAAGCGAAATCCCAACGGACAGAAGGCAGCCAAAGATGGGGAAATGCTCCCAGTGGTGATATTCATAAGCCATCGCTGAGAGTCCCACCAAGTCTGGCAGCACCCATAAAATGGCAGAGAACATTCCCAGGGACTGCATTGCTGCTTTAAGGGCTGTGCTTGTCTTTCCAACACGCTGGGCCAGAGCTGCAAGGGATGGATCATCCAGGCCAAAGTCTAGGAAGCACCAGGAGCGGAACCTACTAAGGAGAAATATGGGAAGAAGGAAGGGAACTGGGCTTCCAAGAGCGACCAGCAAACAAAGCCTTCTGGTCCAAATCTTCTCCTTCACAGTGGTTTTCTTTTTCTCTAAGATAGGCAGGCAGATGCTAGGGAAGCGGCGCAGAAAGGCTTGCCTCTTCAGCCGCAAGAGATCGTTCTTCAGCGTTTCCTGCAGGAGGGGGAAGTCAAAGCAGTCGGCTTCCCAGTTGGAGACGATGAAGACTTGTGGGTCCCTCACTCCTTCTCTTACCAAGCACTCTTTGCAGTCCTCCTGGATGTGCAAGAGGACCTTCTTCTCACTGTAGTCAGATGGCTGTTGCCTCCTGGCGGCCAGCAGGTCCAGGTCTGCTTTGGTGCGCACAAAGTAGAAGCTCTTGCCCATATCTTGGATCTCACGGACCAGGTCAGAATGGGTGGAGCGGAAGCGCTGGGAGCCGACGATGACGAAGAAATCAAAGTGATTCAAATCGACCTTCTTCTCAATTTTGTCCTCCCCAAAAGTTGCCATTCCCCTTCCGGGGTGGTCCCAAAGGATTACTTGCGGAAGTGTCGGGTGTGGGTAATCCTTGACTTGCACTGTCGTCATCTGTATGCCAGTCGCAGCGGCACATGGCTCATCAGCACGAAGACCCAGCATGGCATTGATGAAGGAGGACTTCCCGGAGCCGGGCTCTCCTACTACGGCAATGTGGAGCGGAGTGCTGTTGAAAGAGTGCAGTGGTTTTGCCAGCACGTGTGACATAGAGTCTGCCAATTGGCCCTGAGAAATGGCTACCTCAAAGTCTTCCACCATTGTGGATCTCGGTGCGCTGCAGAGAAAGGAAGCAGGAAAATGTTAAGCGACTGGCCTAACTAGAAGCATTCATTCATTTAACAAGAGTGGCATGCCCTCCGTAAAATTTCCAGCGTCGCCAATATTATTGTCATTTGCCAAGCAACAAAGCTTTACAGGTAGATGGTATGAATCCCATCACATCCCATAATTCAGAAGTGAGTGCAAGGATAAAGTGCCCAAAGGTCATGGGACGTCAGGAGCTGGAGTTGGTGAGCAATAAAACACCCGTTGTCTGTGAAGTTAACTCTTTACTCAAAGAAAACCAAACAGCGCAGGCCAAATGAACACAGCAACTCTTCCCAGTATCTCTTGCCCCAATGAAGCTGTTGCGAGGACTGTAGGTCCCCACATCCCCGCTCTCTAAGGCTCCTTCTTCCCCAGCAACCTGAATTTCTTTCATCTTGTCTCTCATTGCTCTGCCCTCTTCATTCCTCTTCATGTTCTGGGAGACCGGGGGGGGGGGGGGAGGGAAACTGGTTACACCACAAGGGGGAGATTCTCTGTCTCTACTCTGCCTCTTGACCCCCCTCCAGTTCTGCCTCTGATTTTGGACCACTTTCTGCCACAGACTCTTCCTGCTCACTAAACCCTGTTGCCTCTTCAGCTTCTGACATCTTCTCCTCCTCCCAGTCTGCTCTCTCTTCTCCCTCTGACCACTCATCTCCATCTCCATCCCACCCCCAATCCCTTGGCTCTGAGATTCTTCCCCTGGGGGTTCCCCAACTGGTGCCTCCCACCACTCCTCTGCTTCCATGACACAGGAGCAGAGCCCAAGAGCCCTGAATACAGAGAGGGACATGAGGAAGGGGACTCTCAGCATTTTAAGAAACTGCACTTCCTAATTTTTGATTTTTTTTTAGGTTGGGGAGGGATGCTGTGCCCATTACATTGATGATTAAACCTTACATGTTTTTTAGAAAGATGCAACAAAGAGTTATCGGTCTGAAGGTGCAGAAGAAGAAGATCTGGTCAAAAAGAAGAAGGGGTTGGGGCAGTTTTATTTAAGAATGTTTTAAGAGCGCATCCTACCTTTACACACTGCATGTAAATTCTGCCCCTGCTTGTCATTTAAGTCAGGTGTTTTCAACCTTTTTGGGTCCCCAGCTCCTTTGACCAAGTACCTTCTTTCTGCCGCTCCCCTGTGGGGCTCAGAAGCCCAGTTATGTCACCCCTTGCCTGCAGAGCTTGCAGCCTCTCATCTTTTTTCAAACAACCCCCTCCTTGTTAAGTCTTCCCTCAGCCTCCTCTCCCCTCTCCTTGGGAGTCCTCTGGGCAGCTGCTGATGCAGCCCCTGCTCTCTGAGTTGCGCTTCCTGCCCTCAATAGAGGTGCCTCCCCACACTGCCCCATGGGGGCCTGGGACTTGTCTGTCCATTCCCAACAGCAAGGGCTGGTGGTCTGGCTGGCTGGGCTCCCTCGCCCACTTGCTTGCTTACCCTGAGGCCCCGCTTCAGCTCCTGGAAACCAGCACCCCCTGGCCAGCCCCAGAGGCACCATTCGCCTGGGGAGCTTGTAGCCAGGGATGCAGCAACAAACAGCTCTTCAAGCCTTTGGGAGGCAGAGACACCAGAGGGCATCAGAGGAGGGAGGGAATGAAAGAGGAACAGAGGCCAGTGTTGCCTACGGCACCCCTGACCACCATTCAAGGCACCCCAGGGTGCCACACCACCCTGGTTGAAAACCACTGATTTAAGTAATTAATAATCAGATACACCTTATGTGTCTAAATTCTCCACCCACTTCCCCCCTCCCCCAAGCTGCACATTACAGTGGTACCTTGGTTTAAAAACATAATCCGTTCCGGAGGTCCGGTTGTAAACCAAAACAGGTTTTAACCCATGGCGCGCTTTTGCCAATGGGGCCTCCCCCCCCCCAAAAATTGGTTTTGATCCAAAAAAAGGGACAGGCACTTCCGGGTTTGACATGGTTGTAACCCAAAATGGTTGTAATCCAAAGCGGTTGCAAACCAAGGTACCACTGTATCAGCTTTCCAGCGAAATGGTTTCTCTTCTCAGATTGGGGACAGCCTCCCCCCTCCTTCTCCCCAACCTGTGGAAGGACCAGACACAAATTCCTCGCCTCTTGATCCCTCAGCAAACCTTTATTTTCTTTCCCCTTCTCTCTCCCCTCCTCCGAAGTTTTTTATGAGTGAGAGACTTTTCCTCACGCTCCTGACTGGAAATTACCTGGGCGGCTGCTGAGATTTCTTGTTGGTGTTGCTGGGAGAGGAAAGGGCGGGGGGGGGGGTGCAGATCAGGGTCCAGACTGGAAAGTTGACCGGAAGTTGGGTCCTTTCTCTCTTTCCCCCCACCCCACCATCTTCCCTTCAGGGAGGGAGCGAGGGAGAGAATGGGATGGGAGCTCTTTTCCTTCTGATCCTGGCATCCAAGGTGAGGGAAGAGCCCGGACACGAGGGGAGGGGTTAATGAATGAGGTCTCTCTCTCTCCCCCTCCCTCCCTCCCTGCTCCAGGTGTGTGTTGGGTATGCGGGCGAAGAGCAGCCTGGAAGGGAGGGCTGTGTGCGCCAGTGGAGAGATCTGAGATCGCTGGTGGGGGCGGGAGGTGGGCTGTGGGCTTTGTGTGCGTGTGTGTGTGTGTGTGTGTGTGTGAGAGAGAGAGAGAGAGAGAGAGAGAGAGAGAGTGTATAGGATCTCCAACACCTCCGGCTCTGAGACCAGAAAGTTATCATTGTGGGAAAAATCAGTATGATATGGTTTGTACGTTCCATTTAGGCCTATCTGTGTATTGTTTTACAACTGAATTACATTAAAAAACACACCTGCCAACTCACATCAAAATGTCATTTTCTTTGCTGGAACCTTTTATTAAGACATAATAAATTAAATATAAAATATTGGATTTTCTGTGCGTGAGGAATTGAATGGGTGGAGGGGGGATGGAGGAGATACGGAAAAAAGAGCTACTTTTTCCGTGGCTAGGGGGCGCAATCTGGACGGGTCTGCCAGGGGCGCCAGATCACCTAGCTAAGGCTCTGTCTGCTTCCAAAGAACTCCCCCCGCCCAGTCTGCCAAACCCCAAAAAGGGAAAGAGGCAGGAGGCGAGAGGAGCAGGAGGGCAGCCTCGTAGCAGCTGCAGAGGGGATGTCGAATGAACACGCGTCACCGCTCGAAAGGGAGACCCGCGTTGATTTGAGAGCAGTTACTTACAACTCTTAGAGTAGCACCAGCTCTGCTTGCTGCTTCCTGGATTTTGACATGTTATTTATTCCCTTTGCAGCGGGGAAGAAGGGTAGCCTTCTCCAACATCATCAAGAGTAAAATTAAACGATTCTGCCTGCCCCTCCCGCCTAGCAATGAGCTCAGAGTCTCCTTTAACGCAGACACACTCAGAAAAAAACACAAAACACGAGAATCATCAGAGCCCAGAAGAACTGCTCACCTCCTTACCTGCTGCCAGTCCGAATTTTTTGCAGTAAAGCTCAGTTCCCTCTTCGGAGGCTTTGCTTGCTGTTCTCTTAGCCTTTCCTCCGTCCAACTCTCTTCTCTCGCTCTCGCTTTTATTCCTGCTCCCTCCCGGTCGTCGCGCTAAAAAAAAGCAAAGAAGAAAGCGAAAGTACGAGCGAGGACGAGGATAGCAAGAGCCGCATTCCCCGCTAGAGGGAGCTCCAAGCAGCCTGATTGACAGCAGTGCAGCTGCCTTTAAAAGGGAAGGTCCCAAAGGCTCACTCGTGAAACTTGAAGCATCCGAGATGGTTAATCCTTTACCTCTGCCGTAGTTGCCTCTGTGCCCGTCTCAGCAGCTCCCGCGGTTTCTGCACTTAAGCCCCACATGCACTGATTTCAGGGGGTTGATCTAGATGACCCTTGGGTTCCCTTTCAGATCTGCAATTCTACGATCCTATGACTTTCCAGAGCTCGGCTCTCCTACTACTGCCGTGTAGATTGGAGTCTTTGCAAAGGACGGTAGAAATTTCAGGAGCGGCGCGAAATGTTTTGGAACCTGCAAAGAAGCAGGACGGGTCCTATCGCCTGTCTCAACTGCCTTGAGGTTTTATTGCAATTAAGCAGGACATAAATGCTGCGAAATAAACAGTGTTGTTGCACAATCCTTCCTTCATAGCGTGGATGCTTGCAGCTCATGATCTCGTTGATGCAACAGTAGCAACATTTGTACCATGATGTATTTATTGCTTTAAAAACCTCTTCCAACAAAGCTTTATGTATAGAATGAGTCAGTGCCCATCATACTTTCTAACCCCTATTAACCAGGGCCAGTGAGAACAATCATGCAGGCAGGATAAAATCTGCCACTCACTCCTGATATTTGGGAAGATCTTCTGTAATTCAGAGCAAGGCTTTGAGTGTGACTTCCCCTGTTCTGTGGAATAGCATTCCTGCAGAGATACAACAGGAACCTGCTACCGGCAATTTCTGGAAACAACTGAAGATGTTTTCATTCCGACAAGTTTTCCCAGGTGGATGAATAGGTTGCTGCCATGAGTGTCTATTTAGCATTGTTTGGAAACATATTTACTTTTTTCCTGTGTTGTTTTAAATGCTTTTCAGCTGTGTTCATTGCATTTTGTACACTGCCTTTTGAGGATGATAATAATAACAATTATAATCATAATAAATAGAAGTCCTGATGAATTTTGCTGAGAACTTTTTAAAAAAGGAAATAGCCAACTTTTTTGGAAAAGTTCTAACATTCTGCAGGGTGCAGAGCGGCTATAGAGCCCGCATGACAAGCTGGCTTTGCAAACCAGGCAGGCAGGAAGAACACCAAACGTTCCTCAGAGTGATCCTAGGCTGACAGCAAAGCCTGTGTCTTATCTGACACCCTCAGCCTTAGGGGGACATAATGCAGGGTCCCCCGGCATTATCCCTTCAAGGGTTTCTACAGCCTCACGCAGAGAGACTCGCCTTCCTTTCCCTCAGCTTGTCCTCCACCTTCCTGCAGCCTTGGGAGCTGGAGCTCTTTCCACACACATCTCCCGACACAGTCTACTTGCAGACCGGGCAGGCAGGTAGCAGCTGCATCTGCAAAGCCAACTGAGAAGTGTCTGCAGCGGGAATTTCTTGCCCCACGCTCTGAGTGCCAGCAGTGGCTAATTATGATCTGAAATCTTTTGGCACACTGTACTGCGTTAAGAGTTCAGACACCCAATCAGGACCCAGCACAGTCCAAGAAATTATTTACAAGAAGGAGGAGGACCTACAGCAACACCATTAACTTTCGTTTTCTCAGAAATCACCTGTTTGAGCAGAGCTGTGTGTTGGGCAGGGGAGGGGGAGAGGACAACTTGTAAACAGGATCTAATTTCTGCTCCAAGATATTAAAAACCCAAAGCTACTTTCCCCTTTCAAGGTTATGCAGGGTATACAGTTGCAAATCGTCACCAGCAGAGCATTTAGTAACAAATACATGCCTGCACCAGTTAATTAGGCTTTTGTCGGAGATAAGCTCAATGGTCCTTGGTGATTTAAAACTGCATAGGGGTTTTCAGTCTCTGTTCGGGGTCTCCCATCCAGCAGTGGAGCATATATCCACGCTGCCCAGTGTGGGTGCACCCTGAAGGGGCATGGGCGTGGGGCACCTCCCAGGCACGGGATAGCTGCTTGGGTGCCCAGAGTGGCATGCGCGCCCTGCAGCCGGAGGTGGAGTGAGCTGCCCATGGCGGACATTTGGCACGCCGCCTGCCCCAACTCCCAAGCTGTCAGAATGAAAGGGGAGGGGAATGCTGTCAGCAAAGCAGCACAGCTCCCCCTCTTACTCCGACGGCTCGTGGGAGGCTTGGGAGTTCCGGGTGGACAGCGTGCCGAATGTCACCCCCCTCAGTGAGGGCACCCGGGGTGAACCACCCCCACCGCCCCACCCCTTCCTATGCCCCTGCTCCCATCAGAAGTATTTATGTAATTCCTAGATCAAAACTGGTGATACACGGTCATCACTGCTGATCTTCAGTGCACAGCTACAACAAGCACGGTCTTTCTGTGAGTTTATGCACATTCCCAGCCTATGGACCTTGACAGTGAAACCTGACAGGTCTGAGCAGCACTCCATGTGAACCAATATAACATGCTTATGATGCTTTTCCATTCTCAGAATTTTCTGCAAGGCAAATGGGTCATGTGACAAAGGATGTACAGAAGGCCCTCAGCAGACCTGTTAGTGGTGAAAGGGCTCCTTTAAGCAGAACAGAAGCACATGCTAATGCAATGCACTGTCACAACCCCCCATCTATTTTGTTGCAAATAACAAGTGAGGTCTATGCAGAGACAGGGTTGGAAGAAAGAACCTGACACACTTCAGATAGGAGGCAGAACCTTGTTGTCATTGCATTCTTACACTGTCTCCCAGCTCCACCTGGTACGCAGGCTGCCTGCCCGTGGACTGTATTGCCAGAGTGGTGCATGCTCTAGTTATCTCCCACTTGGACTACTGCAATGTGCTCTAATTGGGGCTACCTTTGAAGGTGACCCAGAAACTAGAACTAATCCAAAATGAGGCAGCTAGACTGGTGACTGGGAGTGGCTGCTGAGACCACATAACACTAGTCCTGAAAGACCTACATTGGCTCCTGGTACATTTTCGAGCACAATTCAAAGTTTTGGTGCTGACCTTGAAAGCCCTAAAGGGTCTTGGCCTAGTACCTGAAGGAGAGTTTCCACCCTCATCGTTCAGCCCAGACACTGAGGTCCAGCTCCGAGGGCCTTCTGGTGGTTCCCTCCCTGTGAGAAAGGGGGTTATAGGGAACCAGGCAGAGAGCCTTCTTGGTAGTGGTCAGATGTCAAGGAAATAAACAACTATCTGACTTTTAGAAGATATCTGGACGCAGCCCTGTTTAGGGAAGTTTTTAATGTTTGATGTTTTATGGTATTTTAAATATTTTATTGGAAGCTGCCCAGATGGGCGGGGTATAAATAATAAATCATCATCATTACTACTACTACTGCTACCACATCTGATGTACCTCAGATGCAGGTCTGGTTATGCAACCATGGGCATCACATGCCCTTATCAGTCAAATTTTCCTCATAGCACTATTCTGCACCCCCAGCTTGCCATTTACACCCCAGCCTATGGATTTTATCCAACATTACTCATGCTCAGAGCACACCAGTTGAAATGAATGCACCTTATTAACTGGAAGGTTAAAAAAATAAACGAAAATTTCTACGATACTTTGCAAATATTCTACACTGCAGTAGTAGGAAGGCCAGGTTCTGCGTAGTCCTCTTTCATCAACGCCACGCTGCTTAAGTGCAGACAACTCAGGTGCTGAGGCAACAGAGCACAGAGGCAACAACAGCAGAGGTGAAGGATTACTTCCATGGGATGCTTCCACAGGTGATCCTTTGGGACTTCCCAGAAAAGGCAGCATCCCCGCTGGCAAACGGGCTGCTTGGAGCTCCCTCTGGCCAGGAATGCGGCTTCGGCTATTTGTTGCGATCTTATCTCGTCCTCGCTGGTTACCTTCACTTTCTTTTTTGCTTTTAGTAGTGTGAGGGTCAGGAGGGAGAGAGGGTGTAAAAGGGAGATACAGAGAGAGAGCAGGACGGAGAAAAGTGCGAGAAACCTCGAAGCAAAACGTCTGAGAAGACGACTGAGCTTGGCAGCAAAATATTGGTCCAGCAGCAGGAAAGGAGTTGAACTTTTCTCCTGGGTCTAGAATGATTTCCGCTTCTTTCTGAGCTTCTTGCATTAAAGGAGACTCTGATGTCCGGGCTTGGTGGGGGTGGCAGAATGATTGTTGTTGTTGTTTACCTTTTACCTTTTATTGTTATTATATTAATTATATTATAGCTGTCGTGATATTATATTATACTTTCATATCATATTACATCCAGTGCTTTTTTTCTTAAAAATGTTTAGGGTACTCTCATTTGACCATTCAAAACCACCATTTTATAGTTCAAATCAGGGAAGATAAATACAGTAAATGGTCAGTGTAAAGAACATGCATTACCTCATATTACACAGCTCACAGAAACTTCCACATTGGCATGAGGTTGTGTGCACTAACATCTTCCTGATTCCCTTCTGGGAAAGGAAATAAAGCTGCCATCGAAGGTGGTAACAACAAAATGTTTAGGGGTATGCGTACCCCTGCATCCCCCCCAGAAAAAAGCACTGATCATATCATATTATAAACAATATTATTATTAACAATGATGTTCTAGAAGACTGCCATTTTCCCCCGTGGCAAAGGGACTAAATAACATGCCATCACCATTGAGCAGAGCTGGTGCTACATTAAGAGTTTTAAGAAACTGCCCTGAAGCCAATGCGGCTGGTCTCCCTGTCGAGGGTTCATTCAATATTTCCCTCTGCAGAGCCCCCCCCCCCCAGTTGATGGATATTACCACTACAAGAAAGCAGCAGGAACACTTTTTGGCATGTACAAATGGTATCTGTGAGCCATATCTGATTAGAAAAATGGCATGGCAAGTGTTCAAGGCAGGGCAGAAGATGCTGGAGGTTCTCTTGGTTCTGGGTTGGTGCTGCCTGATGAGCCTGGGTAGCTCAGTTGGTTAGACCGTGGTGCTGCTAAGCTACTGTGTGTTTCCCAACGCCATTGACTCCCTTCTTTCCATGCCATCCTAGTCTTCCCTCTTTCTACCGAGCCAATCTGCATTGGTTCAACTGCTTGCCCCTGGCTGGATGGGTCGCCCATCCCTGGCACAGAAAGACTTGGAGTGTGACTCCTTACTAGCGCAGGCCCCCCAGCCCCCCTCTTTTCTAACGTCCGTTGCTCCTGACGTCACCCCAGCTGTAGGGAGGCTCTGACTAACTCGTCCAGCAACTGCATGGGTTGCATCTTCGCCATCTCATCCAGGATCGATGGGTTCAATTCTGCTCCATACATGGCTGCCAGCGGTCCGGTGTTCTGTCCCCAGCCAACCCTTTGCAATAAGGCATTGAAAGCAGTCCAGTAAGAGGCCACAGAGCTCCCCGCTCCCTCCAGTCGCAGATTCAACAGTTCTTGCTCATCCGCTGCATGCTCCATGGGGCTCTTGAACATTGCATCCATCTGTCCCCAGAATTCCCACAGCTTTCCCAGCGTGCTGTGCTGGCCCTCCATTAAAGTGATGGCCCAGTCCTTAGATGGTCCTTCCAGCCAGCTTATCAGATAAGATATCCGCTGTTTGTCCGAGCTAAATTTGGCTGATCTCACATCCAAAATGTAATTGGATCTCCGTTTAAGGGCAGCATAACGTTCTGTGTCCCCATTGAATTTTGCAGGATGAACCCCAGGCCCCTTGCCAGCCCTGAGGTCCCTTTCAGCCTGTGTGTTCCTCCTTTGTTCATCTAGAGCTCTACCACTGTGATTGCTCCCCACATTGCTGACCTCTTCAAGATATCCATGACAAATTCTGTTGTGATCATACCGGTGCTTGGGGTATGTTCAATAACAGATTTCAACTCCTCAACAGGTTTCCCCACACGATTTGCTAGTATATTGAGGGAATCTTCATCCAAGCCAAAAACTTTGCAGATATCCCTCATTGTCACAGCCACAATGGCAATGTCATAACCAAGCGAGAGGAATGGGACAGGAATCAACCCAACAGTACAACTCACCATGGCATTTTTGCATATCAGGCTCTCCATAGCAGCCTTTTTCTTTCTAATGCTATCTTTTGTTAAAATCGGAAGACACATAATTAAAACATCTCTCTTGATTTCATCCTGTTCCTTTTCAAAGGTCTCTTGAAGCAGGGGGAAATCATACCTGCCAAATCCCACCTCGATATTAGAAAGACCCTTGGAGAAGACTCACCTAACTCCTTCAATTTCTCATAGCTATCTTTCCGTATAACGTCAAGAGCTTCCTTTTCAGACTGCATCATCTCATGGGTATCCTCCACATCGATGCCTTTTGACCGCCTGTCAGTTATCTATATCGATATCCACTTTGCTGCGCACATAGTAGAATTTCTTCTTATTTTTACTGGATCTCAAGAGCCAAGTTGGTGTCATCCTCAGTGAAGCGTCCTGAGGAGACAATGATGAAAAAATCATAATCGGTGAAATTGACCTTTGTTAGGTATTCCTTTGCACTAAAATTATTTGTTCCAATTCCTGGTAGATCCCAAATTTTGACTTTGGGGAATGTGGGGTGTGAATATTCTTGTGGCACCATTGTTGTTTCTGTCACCCCCGTCTTAGCTGCACCCTCTCCAAGATCTTTCATTCCTCGCAGGGCATTGACAAAAGATGATTTCCCGGCACCAGATCTTCCTGTGATGGCAATTGCCAATGTGATGTTATTTAATAAATTTGACTGCTGTTGAGCTTCAGCTGAAACAGCTTCAAATGGTTTTTCTCGACAGCAGCCTTCACTTGATCAAGGTCTATTTTAGGTTTCTGTTGTTACAACAGTGTTTTCTGTTATTTGTGTTACAGCAGGATCCATGGCAGTGATTCCTTGTGGCTCAGTTTATCTGAGAAAGAGAGGAAAATTATAATAGTTAAATGATAGCCTTCAACACACTTTTATGGACATATTTACAACCTATGTTTTATGGGGGAAATCAATTTACATAGGACATATCTCTAAGACCAGTGGGTTGTTTGAGCAGCAGTCGGTAGTATCTCAATGAAGTGAAGAATTGTACCTATTGTCAATCTCTCAGAAATCTATATGTGCATGCATTCACACATAACCCTTAAAACATGTTTATGTGAGATGTGGATCTTTTTGAACTCAAATTGTTCATTCCTCTAGAGCAGGCATGGACAACTTGGCCTCCAGCTGTTTTGGGACTACAACTCCCATCATCCCTGACCACTAGTCCTGTTAGCCTGGGATGATGGGAGTTGTAGACCCAAAACAGCTGGAGGGCCGAGTTTGGCCATGCCTGCTCTAGAGATTTGACTAAAGGAAGCATTTACACACACACACACACACTAAGGATTCCTCTTTTTTTTTTTTGCTAAAACTTTGGATAAAACGCTTAATAAAAAAAAATAAGCCAATGCACTGTGCGTATCCCTAGTATATTCTGGCCAAGTCTTGTCCTGCCACTTTCACAAAAGTGACCTTAAAATGAAGAACATTTTTAGAAATATCACCAAGGGGGAGATAAAAAAAGGAGTCAAAGGGTAGAAATAAGTGATGCAGAAAGAGCCCAGAAATATTCTTAAAGGGCCCTGCCCTGCCTCAAACCCTTGCCATGCAGTTTTTCTAATCAGAAGTGGTGCACGGATAGCATTTTTACACACCAGCAAGTGCTGGAACGCAGCCATGTTCCTGCTGCTTTCTTGTAGGGACTGGGGTGGGGGGTCTGCAGAGGGATATATTGAATTAACACGCGAAAGGGTGGCATTGGCTTCAGGGCAGTTACTTAAAACTCTTATGCTTTGCTTCTCCACTAAGGGGCAGCCCAGATGGTCTCTGCCTCTTCAGCACTCAGGGCATGGAGAATAGAAGTTGCTGTATTCCTCTGTTCTGCACCCCGTTCTCCGTTCTGACAAAGAGGGTGGGGTAGGGTTGCCAGATGTTCCCAGTACAATATGCATGTGTGGTTGGGCCCAGGGTCTTTTGCCTCACCATCCTCACTACTGACTCCCTGTTGCTACTCAGCTTCAAAGAAAAAAGCAAACAAAACAAGTGTCCCGGGGTTCATTGGGGAAAAAACCTGGTGACCATAGGGTGAACTGCATTGCAATGCTAATAGACGTCTTTTATTAAACTTGTCGGGGGGAGGGGACTAGTAGCACGAGCTCTACTTGCTCCCTGGTGATGGCATGTTATTTATTCCCTTTGCTGCGGGGAAGAAGGGCAGCCTTCTCCAACATCATTGTTAATAATATTATTGTTGTTTATAATATGATATGATATATGATATCACAATAGCTATAATGTAATGGTTACTATAATAATAAAAATGTAAAAATAACAATAAATAGGTAAAAGGTAGATGACGACAACAACAATTGTATCTGTCACCCACCAAACAAGGAGCTTAGAGTCTCCTTTAACGCAAACAAGCTCCAAAAGAAAAGGAAAGTTCAGCTCCTTTCCTGCTGCCGAACCGATTTTTTGTAGCCAAGCTCAGTCCTCTTCTCGGAGGTTTTGCTTCGAGGTTTCTCGTGCTTTTCTCTGTCCTGTTCTCTCCCTCTGTCTCCCTTTTATACCCTCTCTCCCTCCTGACCCTCACACTACTAAAAGCAAAAAAGAAAGCGAAGGTAGCCAGCGAGGATGAAATAAGATCGCAACAAATAGCCGAAGCCGCATTCTTGGCCGAGCAGCCCGTTTGACAGCAGGGATGCTGCCTTTTCTGGGAAGTCCCAAAGGATCACCTGTGGAAGCATCCCATGGAAGTAATACTTCACCTCTGCTGTTGTTGCCTCTGTGCCAGTCTCAGAAGCACCTGAGTTGTCTGCACTTAAGCAGCGTGGCATTGATGAAAGAGGGCTCAGAGCCCAGCCTTCCTACTACTGCAGTGTAGAATATTTGCAAAGTACCGTAGAAATTTCCTCTTTTTTAAAAAAACCTTCCAATTAATCAGGTTCATTCATTTCAGCTGGTGTGCTCTGAGCATGAGTATATTGGATAAAATCCTTAGGCTGGGGTGTCAATGGCAAGCTGGGGGAGCAGAGCAGCGCTATGAGGAGAATTCGGCTGATCAGGGCATGTGACGTCCATGGTTGCACAACCAGACATGCATCTGCCGTACATCAGATGCGCACTGGGCACAGACTTATTAATATAAGAATGCAATGACAACAAGGTTCTGCCTCATGTCTGAAGTGCATCAAGTTCTTTCTTCCAACCCGCTCTCTGCATAGACCTCTCCTGTTATTTGCATTAAAAAGATGGGGGGGGGGGTTGGCAGTGAAAGGATTTTATTAGCATGTGCAGAGGTACTTTGTTCTGCTTAGGGGACCCTTTCAACACTAACTTGTCTACTGAGGGCCTCCTGCACATCACTGATCACGAGACCCATTTGCATTGCAGAAAATTCTGAGAATGGAAAAGCATCATAAGGCATGTCATATTGGTTCACATGCTCAGACCAGTCAGATTTCACTGTCAAGGTCCATGAACTCACAGATAGGCTGTGCCTTGTTGTAGCTGTGCACTGAAGATCAGCAGTGATGACCGTGTATCACCGGTATTGATCTTGGAATGACATACAGTGGTACCTCAGGTTACATACCCTTCAGGTTACAGACTCCGCTAACCCAGAAATAGTGCTTCAGGTTAAGAACTTTGCTTCAGGATGAGGACAGAAATCGCGTGGCAGCTGCAGGAGGCCCCATTAGCTTAATTGGTGCTTCAGGTTAAGAACAGCTTCAGGTTAAGAATGGACCTTCGGAACGAATTAAGTACTTAACCCAAGGTACCACTGTACATACTTCTGAAGGGAGACCCCGAACAGAGACTGAAAACCCCTATGCAGTTTAAAATCACCAAGGTACTTTGAGCTTATCTCCGACAAAAGCCTAATAAACAGGTACAGGCACATATTTCTAACTAAATGCTCTGCTGTTGATGATTTGCAACTGTATACCCTGCATAACCTTGAAAGGGAAAGTAGCTTTGGATTTTTATTACATTGGAGCAGAAATTAGATCCTGTTTACAAGTTGCCCTCTCCCCCTCCCCTGCCCAGCACACAGCTCTGCTCAAACAGGTGATTTCTGAGAAAACGAAAGTTAATGGGGTCGCTGTAGGTCCTCCTCCTTCTTGGAAATCCTTTCTTGGACTGTGCTGGGTCCTGATTGGGTGTCTGAACTCTTAACGCAGTACAGTGTGCCAAAAGATTTCAGATTAAAATAGCCACTGCTGGCACTCAGAGTGTGGGGCAAGAAATCCCCCCTGCAGACACTTCTCAGTTGGCTTTGCAGATGCAGCTGCTACCTGCCTGCCCGTCTGCAAGGAGAGGGAATCGGGGTGTATGTGTGGAAAGAGCTCCAGCTCCCAAAGCTGACCCTGTGAAAGCAGCATTGATTATAACACAAACGTCCTGGCAGCGGCAAGGAAAATATTTTAACCAATTAGTTTATTTCATGAAAGCTTATACACCGCTTGATTCTAATAAAACCTCAGAATGGTTTGCAAAAAGATAAAACAATAAAATCAGGGGGGAAATTACAGCCGTGCTTTAAGATATGCAAGAGTTAAAATACTAAAACAGATTAAAATTACCTCAACTTCCTATTTAACAAATACATTGGGGAGGCTCCTGTCTAGGTGAATGCCCTCCTTCAGTTTGAGTGTGTATGAGGGAAAGAACATTGTGAAATAGATGTTGCATGGGGCTTGTGATATAGAGCTAACTCTTGTTCCTAAAGTAAAAAGCAAATGCAGCATATATATATAGAGAGAGAGAGAGAGAGAGAGAAGAAAGGTGAATTCTGCAGCCTGCATAAATTACAGCTTGATACCATCCTTGCAAGCAGATTCACATAGGACACTAGTGGGTTGTTGTTTTTTAGTCTGCCATCAGATACAGAAAAAATCATTTGGGGACTGAAAGAATTAGAAATATAGTAAAAAGTCCATTTGTCCCAAAGTCTCCTTTTGGTATTGGTCTTAATTCTTATACATTGGGTAAAGTTAAGGGACCCCTGAGCATTAAGTCCAGTCGCAGACGACTCTGGGGTTGCGCTGCTCATCTCGCATTACTGGCCGAGGGAGCCAACATTTGTCCACAGACAGTTTTTCAGGGTCATGCGGCCAGCATGACTAAGCCGCTTCTGGCGACCCAGAGCAGCGCACGGAAACGCTGTTTACCTTCTTGCCGGAGCGGTACCTATTTATCTACTTGCACTTTGACATGCTTTCGAACTGCTAGGTTGGCAGGAGCAGGGACCGAACAACGGGAGCTCACCCTGTTGCAGGGATTCGAACTGCCGACCTTGTGATCGTCAAGCCCTAGGCTCTGTGGTTTAGACAACAGCACCACCCGCGTCCCATCACATACATTGGATAGAGATACTAATTTAAGAAAGTAACGGTAGGGTTATTATGCTTGCATTCAGATTATTTCACTTAGGGGTTTTTTATGAGAAGCTTAATGTTTATGGAATTTTTAAAATAAACAACCTGATCATCAGATTATTATTTTTTAATGTCTTTTGGTGGTGGTGGTTGACTTTTTTAAAAAAACACACTGCCTCCTTATGATTAGCAAATCCAGAATAACTCATGCCAATTTGCTCTATTATCATTCATGATACGGGTGGGAGAATTGATCTTTTCTTAGTGCAGACTTTGAATCATCTGGGTTCGATATTAAAGCTTGGGACACACACAAGTCTTTTGATTTTCCCAGACTTTGTGCTCGCCATGTCTTCTGGGAGCTTGTTTTATAGAACACACAAATGAAAACATGTATAATTCGCCAGACACTATATATCAGGCAGTTAGTCATCATAGTCCATCTGTTTGCTGCTAAATGGACTTTTTCCCCTCTCCCTCAAGAGCTTTGGACAAAACCCTCTTGGTGTCATCAGCAGCACCCGATATGCATTTCTGCAGCATGAAGTAGGTGCGAAGAAGCGAAATCCCTCCAGACAGAAGGCAGCCAAAGATGGGGAAATGCTCCCAGTGGTGATATTCATAAGCCATCACTGAGAGTCCCACCAAGTCGGGCAGCACCCATAAAATGGCAGAGAACATTCCCAGGGACTGCATTGCTGCTTTAAGGGCTGTGCTTGTCTTTCCAACACGCTGGGCCAGAGCTGCAAGGGATTGATCATCCAGGCCAAAGTCTAGGAAGCACCAGGAGCGGAACTTACTAAACAGAAATATGGAGAGAAGGAAGGGAACTGGGCTTCCAAGAGCAACCAGCAAACAAAGCCTTTTGGTCCAAATCTTCTCCTTCACAGTGGTTTTCTTTTTCTCTAAGATAGGCAGGCAGATGCTAGGGAAGCGGCGCAGAAAGGCTTGCCTCTTCAGCCGCAAGAGATCGTTCTTCAGCGTTTCCTGCAGGAGGGGGAAGTCAAAGCAGTCGGCTTCCCAGTTGGAGACGATGAAGACTTGTGGGTCCCTCACTCCTTCTCTTGACAAGCACTCTTTGCAGTCCTCCTGGATGTGCAAGAGGACCTTCTTCTCATTGTAGTCAGATGGCTGTTTCCTCCTGGCGGCTAACAGATCCAGGTCTGCTTTGGTGCGCACAAAGTAGAAGCTCTTGCCCATATCTTGGATTTCACGGACCAGGTCAGAATGGGTGGAGCGGAAGCGCTGGGAGCCGACGATGACGAAGAAATCAAAGTGATTCAAATCGACCTTCTTCTCAAATTTGTCCTCTCCAAAAGTTGCCATTCCCCTTCCGGGATGGTCCCAAAGGATCACTTGCGGAAGTGTCGGGTGTGTGTAATCCTTGACTTGCACAGTCGTCATCTGTATGCCAGTCGCAGCGGCTCGCGGGTCATCGGCACGAAGACCCAGCATGGCATTGATGAAGGAGGACTTCCCGGAGCCGGGCTCTCCTACTACGGCAATGTGGAGCGGAATGCTGTTGAAAAAGTGCAGTGGTTTTGCCAGCACGTGTGACATAGAGTCTGCCAATTGGCCCTGAGAAATGGCTAGCTCAAAGTCTTCCACCATTGTGGATCTCGGTGCGCTGCAGAGAAAGGAAGCAGGAAAATGTTAAGCGACCGGCCTAACTAGAAGCATTCATTAGTGGCATGCCCTCCGTAAAATTTCCAGCGTCTGCAATATTATTATCATTTGCCAAGCAACAAAGCTTTACAGGTAGAAGGTATGAATCCCATCACATTCCATAATTCAGAAGTGAGCGCAAGGATAAAGTGCCCAAAGGTCATGGGACGTCAGGAGCTGGAGTTGGCGAACAACAAAACACCCATTGTCAGTGAAGTTAACTCTTTACGGAAGGAAACCAAAAAGCACAGGCCGGGTGAACAAAGCAACTCTTCCCAGAATCTCTTGCCCTAATGACGCAGTTGTGAGGAGTGTAGGCCCCCACCGTCCCCGTTCTCCGAGGCTCCTTCTTCCCCAGCAACCTGAGGTTCTTTCATCTTGTCTCTCATTGCTCTGCCCTCTTCATTCCTCTTCATGTTCTGGGAGACCAGGGGGGACGGAAGCTGGCTACACCACAAGGGGGAGATTCCCTGTCTCTACTATGCCTCTTGACCCCCCTCCAGTTCTTCCTCTGATTCTGGACCGCTCTCTGCCACAGACTCTTCCTGCTCACTAAACCCTGTTGCCTCTTCAGCTTCCGACATCTCCTCCTCCTCCGTCTGCTCTCTCTTCTCCCTCTGACCACTCATCTCCATCCCACTCCAATCCCATGGTTCTGAGACTTCTTCCCCTGGGGGATCCCTTGGGGGTTCCCCAACTCCTGCCTCCCCCCACTCCTCTGCATTTAGCCAGCCCTGGACACAGGAGCAGAGTCCAAGAGTCCTGAATATAGAGAGGAACATGAGGAAGGGGACTCTCAGCATTTTAAGAAACTGCACTTCCTGATTTTTAATTATATATTTTTTTTAGGTTGGGGAGGGAGGCTGTTCCCATTACACTGGTGATTAAACCTTACATGTTTTTAGAAAGATGCAACGAAGAGTTATCAGTCTGAAGGTGCAGAAGAGGGGGGTCTGGTCAAAAAGAAGAAGGGGTTGGGGCAGTTTTATTTAAGTATGTTTTAAGAGCGCTTCCTACCTTTAGACACTGTATGTAAATTCTGCCCCTGCTTGTCATTTAAGTCAGAGTTTTTCAACCTTTTTGAGTCCACAGCTCCTTTGACCAAGTACCTTCTTTCTGCAGCTCCCCTGTGGGGCTCAGGAGCCCAGTTATGTCACCCCTTGCCTGCAGAGTTGGCAGCCTCTCACCCTTTTTCAAACAGGCCCCCCCTTGTGAAGTCTTCCCTCAGCCTCCTCTCCCCTCTCCTTGGGAGTCTTCTAGCAGCCACTGCTGCTGCCTGTCCTCTCTGAGCTGCCACCCCCCTGCCTTCAAGAGAGGTGCCTCCTCACACTGCCCCACAGGGGCCTGGGACTTGTCTGTCCATTCCCAACAGCAAGGGCTGGTGGTCTGGCTGGCTGGGCTCCCTCGCCCACTTGCCTGTTTACTCTGAGGCCCCTTTCAGCTCCTGGAAACTGGCACCCCCTGGCCAGCCCCAGAGGCACCTTTCACTTGGGGAGCTTGTAGCCAGGGATGCAGCAACAAACAGCTGTGCAAGCCTTTGGAGGAAGGAGGGAAGGAAGAGGGATGGAGGCCAGTGTTGCCCACGGCACCCCTGACCTTCATTCAAGGCACCCCAGGGTGCCACGGCACATTGGTTGAAAACCACTGATTTAAGTAATTCATAACCAGATTCCCCTTATGTGTCTAAATTCCCCACAAACTTCCCCCCCTCCCCCAAGCTGCACATTACAATGATACCTTGGTTTACAAACATAATCCATTACAGAGGTCCGGTTGTAACCCAAGGCACACTTTTGCCAATGGGGTCTCCCCCCCCCCCATGGTTGTTATTCAAAAAAAGGACACACATTTCTAGGTTTGACGTGGTTGTAATCCAAAGCGGTTGCAAACCAAGGTACCACTGTATCAGCTTTCTAACGAAATGGTTTCTCTTCTCAGATTGGGGACAGCCTCCCCGCTCCTTCTCCCCAAGCTGTGGAAAGACCAGACACAAATTCCTCTCCTCCTGACCCCTCAGCAAACCTTTATTTTCTTTCCCCTTCTCTCTCCCCCCTCCGAAGTTTTTTAGGGGTGAGAGACTTTTCCTCACGCTCATGTCTGGAAATCACCTGGGGGGCTGCTGAGATTTCTTGTTGGTGTTGCTGGGAGAGGAAAGGGCGGGGGGGGGGGAGTAACGGAGTCAAAAACCTTCGAAATAAACAAGTCCGGGTGGGGGGGAGTGCACAGCAGGGTCCAGATTGGAAAGTTGGCCCTAAGTTGGGTCCTTTCTCTATTCCCCCCTCCCCACCATCTTCCCTTCAGGGAGGGAATAAGGGAAAGAATGGGATGGGAGCCCTTTTCCTTCTGATCCTGGCATCCAAGGTGAGGGAAGAGTCAGGAAACAAGCGGGAGGAGCTAATGAATGAGGTCTCTCTCTCGAGAGGTGTGTGTTGGGTATGCGGGTGAAGAGCAGCCTGGAAGGGAGGGCTGTGTGCACCAGTGGAGAGATCTGGGATTTCCAACACCTCAGGCTCTGAGACCAGAAAGTTATCATTGTGGAACAAATCCGTATGATATGGTTTGTACGTTCCATTTAGGCCTATCTGTGTATTGTTTTGCAACTGAATTACAGTACATTAAAAAACACACCTGTCAACTCACATCAAAATGCCATTTTCTTTGCTGAAACCTTTTATTAAGAAATAATAAATTAAATACTGGCTTTTCTGTGAAAGAATTCATTACAAAGGGAAGTGCGTGAGGAATTGAATGGGTGGAGGAGAGACGGAAATTTGTCCGTGGCTAGGGGGCGCAATCTGGACGGTTCTGCCAGGGGCGCCAGATCACCTAGCTAGGGCTCTGCCTGCTTCTAAAGAGCTCCCCCCTCCACTCTGCCAAACCCCCAAAAGGGAAAGAGGCAGGAGGCGAGAGGAGTAGGAAGACAGCCTCGTAGCAGCTGCAGAGGGGGATGTCGAATGAACACGCGTCACCGCTCGAAAGGGAGACCCGCGTTGATTTCAGAGCAGTTACTTACAACTCTTAGAGTAGCACCAGCTCTGCTTGCTCCCTGGTGATGGCATGTTATTTATTCCCTTTGCAGCGGCGAAGAAGGGCAGCCTTCTCCAACATCATTAAGAGTAAAAATAAACGATTCTGCCGCCCCCCGCCTAGCAATGAGCTCAGAGTCTCCTTTAACGCAGACACGCTCAGAAAAAAACAAAAAACACGGAAATCATCAGAGCCCCAGGAGAAATGCTCACCTCCTTACCTGATGCCAGTCCGAATTTTTTGCAGTAAGGCTCAGTCCTCTCTTCGGAGGCTTTGCTTGCTGGTCTCTTAGGCTTTTCTCCGTCCAACTCTCTTTCTCTCTCTCGCTTTTATTCCCTCTCCCGCCGGAACGTCGCACTAAAAAAAGCAAAGAAGAAAGCGAAAGTACGAGCGAGGACGAGATCGCAACGCATAGCCAGAGCCACATTCCCCGCTAGAGGGAGCTCCAAGCAGCCTGATTGACAGCGGTGCAGCTACCTTTCCTGAGAAGGTCCCAAAGGCTCCCTCGTGAAACTTGAAGCATCCGAGATGGTTAATCCTTTACCTCTGCCGTAGTTGCCTCTGTGCCAGTCTCAGCAGCTCCCGCGTTTTCTGCACTTAAGCTCCACATGGCACTGATTTCAGAGGGTTGATCTAGATGACCCTTGGGTTCCCTTCCAGATCTGCAATTCTACGATCCTATGACTTTCCAGAGCTCGGCTCTCCTACTACTGCCGTGTAGATTGGAGTCTTTGCGAAGGACGGAAGAAATTTCAGGAGCGGCGCGAAATGTTTTGGAACCTGCAAAGAAGCAGGACGGGTCCTATCGCCTGTCTCAACTGCCTTGAGGTTTATTGCAATTATGCAGGACATAAATGCTGCAAAATAAACAGTGTTGTTCCATCATGCTTTCTTCGTAACGTGGATGCTTGCAGCTCATGAACTCGTTGATGTAACAGTGGCAACATTTGTACCATGATGTATTTATTGCTTAAAAAACCCATTACAACAAAGGTGGTATCTAACATCGATGGTAACAAAGCTTTGTGTACTCTCTGGCCCCTATTAAGCAGTGCAAATGAGGACAATCATGCAGGCAGGATAAAATCTGCCACTCACTCCTGATATTTGGGTATATCTTCTTTAATTCAGAGCAGGGCTTTGAGTGTGACTGCCATGAGTGTCTATATAGCATTGTTTGAAAACATATGAACTTTTTTTTCTGGGTTGTTTTTAACTACTTTTCAGCTGTGTTCATTGCATTTTGTACACTGCCTTTTGGGGAAGATAATAATAATAATTATAATCATAATAAATAGAAGTCCTGATGAATTTTCAAGAGAACTTTTTTAAAAAAGGAAATAGCCAGCTGATATGGAGATGGGAAGAGCTGAACTTAAATATTGGAAAAATGAGAAACTGAGAGAAACTGAAAATAATAAATTTGCCCACTTCCCGCAGATCTCCCCCTACGCTGAAAGAAATACTTGCTGACATTCCCCCTTCTACACAAATGTTAATGGGGCAGGAGTCCCTGTCCTCTTTTTCCTCTCATCTCCCCCACATCTCCTCTAAAATCTGCTCTGGAAAGTTGCTCCCAGCTGGGAAGGTGTGCAAGTCATTTGCTTGGGTGAGGAGAAAACATGATGCAGACAGTGATGTTGAAGCTGGAAGCTCCTCATATCCTTCAGAAGAAGGATATTGACAAGCTGGAACTTGTACAGAGGAGGGCAACCAATCAAAGCTTTGGAAACCAAGCCTTATGAGGAACAGTTGAAGGAGCTGGGTATGTTTAGCCTGGAAAAGAGGAGATTGAGAGGAGATACGATAGCCATCTTCAAATATCTGACACAGAAGAGGGAATAAGTTTGTTTTCTTCTGCTACGCAGGGTAGGGCCTCAAATTGCTTCAAATTACAAACTTGCACATGAGGAAGAAATAGTTTATTTTTTGGAAAAGTTCTAACATTCTGTAGAGTGCAGAACAGCTATAGAGCCCGCATGAGAAGCTGGCTTTGCAAACCAGGCAGGCAGGAAGAAGGCCAAACTCTCCTCAGAGTGATCCTAGACTGACAGCAAAGCCTGTGTCTTATCTGACACCCTCAGCCTTAGGGGACATCATGCAGGGGGGCACCGGGCACTGCTCCCTTCAAGGGTTTCTCCAGCCTCATGCAGAGAGACTCGCCTTCCCTTCCCCCAGCTTGTCCTCCAGCTTCCTGCAGCCTTGGGAGCTGGAGCTCTTCGCCACCCCCACCCTCCGACTCCCTCTCAGTGCAGACCAGACAGGCAGGGAGCAGCTGCAGCTGCAAAGCCAACTGAGAAGCGTCTACATCAGGAATTTCTTGTCCCACGCTCTCAGTGCCAGCAGTGGCAATTTTAATTTGAAATCTTTTGACACACTGTACTGCGGACAGAGTTCAGAAATGGCTGGCGCTAATAAAGTTCCCTATGGCAGAATGCCCCTATCACTATGGGTCTTTCGGACTCCGAGATATGATCCAAAAATAATAAACCAGTGCAAGCATGTACTGCTCAGCTCTGTTGCTAATTTTCCTGCTTAATCTTAGAAAGGGGAAGGGAGTTGTGGCTTTTTGTTATCTTGGATCAGAAATTACATCCTGTTTCCAAGTTTTCCTCTCCCCCGCACTTGACCAGTACACAGCTCTGCTCAAACAGGTGATTTCTGAGAAAAGGAAACCTAAATGAGTTTGCCCTAGTTGCTCCCCCTTGTAAATTATTTCTTGGACTGTGCTGGGTTATGACAGAGAGCAAAAGGAAGCAGAAATTTCTCCAGCCTGAAAGCAGAGGAGGAGAATGCAAACAAAGTTTTCCCCAACAGTGAAAAGAACGAATTTGTTTGGAGTCTTTGTATCATGTCATCCCATTTCTCCTGAGTTTTGATGCAGTGTGATCCCCACAGGACTGGCTCCAAAGGGCAGAAAAACTGAAGCATATGGGGTGGTGTGGGGTAAAAGCAGGAGCCCTATGCCTAGGATACCCCAGTCATGGCTTTCCCCAAAGAATTCTAGGTAGGTAGTTAAAGGTGCTGAGAGTTGTTAGGAGGCCCCTATTCCCTTCACAGAAGTATAATTCTCAAAAGTGATTTAGCAGCCTCTTTAATCAGAAGTGCCTGGGCACCATTTTGGCGTGCAGAGCTGAGCCGCGATGGGTGAAAGAGGGCGAGGAGCTGGGGAGCACGAGAATGACTTGCGCACAGTTATAGGGGCCAGCTCCCAGGGGCCGAGATACTGAAGTACTGGAGGGGGGCTGCTCCCCACAAGGTGATGGGCATTGCCATTCAAATGGGGTGTGCGCCACATCTTGTGATCTATGAGGTGAGGCAGGGCTTATCTGCCTCCCCCATTGTTTCAGTCGGCACCCCAGCACACAGTCCTGTTACCTCTGCTGCTTGGCTCCCTCTCCCTCTCCAAGCCCAGCAGCAGTCGTGTTCCTGCTACTTTCTCACAAGGGCAAGGGCAATGCCCATCAACATTTTCGGGAGCGGGTGCCCCTCAAATATGATATTTGGAGGGGAAACACATGTAGACTCCTAACTCTGTGGTTAAAGTGGTTATCAGAGGCTGTCACAGGGGGAGGGGCCTGCTCTGAAGCATGCTGGGCAAGTGTAAACCCCATGAAACCCCCCAGTGTGCCCCCCCCCCAGCATTTTCTCCCTAGCGGAGGGGGGATACAAGCAGCTCCTCCTATTCTGCAAGAGGCCACTGCAGAGACATTCACTCTCTCCCAGTGTTTTGCATTGCTTGCTTTTATGAATGTAACTGAGCATCAAACTTTGCCCTCAACATGGCAACCCCAAATTTCCAGAGCTTGTTTCCGTGAGCTCATTACGGTAGTAGACACCATGTTTCCTTCCCTCTTGTTCGGCTGTATATTGGAGCTGCCTTCTTTCACCGCTCCAGGAGATTCACGTTTGAGAGACTCCCTTGCATGACTGCCAACTCCTAGGGGCTGTTTCATATATGTTGGAAGGTGCCCAGGCTGGTTGGCGCAACCCAGTCAGATGGGCAGGGTACAAATAATAAAATTGTTGTCATTGTTGTTGTTGCTCTGAGTCATTTTGGATGGTGTTTGGCACTGTTCTTGTTGTTAATTGAATTTATATACAGTGGTACCTCTGGTTGCGAATGGGATCCGTTCCCGAGGCCCGTTCGCAACCTGAAAAGAATGGAACCTGTGTCTGCGCACGAGAGGGTCGCGATTCGCCACTTCTGCACACGTGCTTAACGTCATTTTGCGTGTCTGCGCATGCACGAGTGGTGAAACCCGTTCTGTTACTTCTGGGTCACCACGGGACGCAACCTGAAAACGCGCAACCTGAAGCAAAGGTAACATGAGGTATGACTGTACCGCCCTATACTCGGGGGTCTCAGGGCATTTCACAAAATAAAATCAAGATAGAAAACCACAAGATACCAAATAAAAATAAAACAACAGAACAATACCCACCCCCCAAAAAACACATTTAAAAAGGGCATAGGATGTAAATCAGACCAGCCAAAGACCTGGTTGAAAAGGAACGTTTTTGCCTGGTGCCTAAAGGTGTATAATGAAGGCGCCAGGCGAACTTCTCTGGGGAGAGCATTCCAGAGACGGGCAGCCACTGCAGAGAAGGCCTGTTCTTGTGTTGCCTCATTCCATACCTCTTGAGGAGGGGGCACACGAAGGAGGGTCTCAGAAGATGATCTCATGGTCTGGGTAGGTTCCTATGTTGTTGTGATTACAAATATATAAATTGTTATTAAATATGGAATAGTGAGTGAGATGGGTTGGCTGGCCTGATCTGGCGTGATCTGGGATTGCCTCAACATAATCTGACCCAATCCTATGTTGATACAAATTGGCCCAGTCCAGTTCATTAATTGGATTGGGCTGGATCTGATGCACAGCCCAAGTGAAACGTGTTCTTAAATAAACTGAAATTTTTCTAGCTACACTTAGCTCTAGAGCCCCTGCTGCCATATTGTCCCAAGTCTCTTTCTCAGTTGCCGTAATTCTCCCCATGAAGTTCCATTCTCAGCGCCACAGAAGCTTCAACACGAAACATAAGTCCCTTGCAGTTCGGTCTCAGCTGTTCAGAAAGCCAAAGCAGTGTTGTAAATCAGATGGTGTTCGGCAGAGTCTGAGAAGCTTGTGCTCAGACTGATTGATCGCAGGGCCATGCAAGCCTAAGGCTACCTGGGGAGACGCTTTGCCACTTGTTGAGGGCTTCCAAGTGGCAGACTGAAGTGCTTGTTTAGTAATGTATATATTGCTTACTGTTTAGAATAAAATCTTAAATCTTCTCACTCACTTGTGTTCTGTATTGCCTCTGAAACTCAGTTTAAAAGAACCAACTTGCATTTGGCAAGACAACCATTCGTAACATTGCCAACAGAGTACTAAAGAGCTGAGGATAAAACACACCAATGGAGGGTTATATTTTTAAGAGAGACCTTTATTCCAGATAGGGTATCCCTCCTTTTTTTAGATTCCTATGTTGCCCTGCTTTAACGAACAAGGAAACAAACAACAAAACCAAGAACTCTGCAGGCAGTGCTCCAGACTGCCTCTCACTTTAGGTTTATCAGTGGCCTGTAAGGCTTAGCACTAGAAAGGCCAGGGTGAAGCTGCAAAGCTCTTTTAAAAAATGTATAAGCAAAAATTCACAAAACTCAGATACCTCTTAATTATTTTAAGATCAGAAATAACCTCCCACCCATGAAAATATCAAATAAGTATGGAGGAAAGTAAACCCACTTAACTTCCTCCACAAAGAGCCCCTGGATTTAGGTAGGCTTAATCCAATTTGTAGGGTCTCCTATGCCTGCAAATTTCACCCACTTTGGCCAAAAGGGATTATTTGATTCCTCATTATAATGAATGGGGACACAGAGCTTTATTTGGTTAGAGTTGTCTGGAACCCAAAACACAGATATAAGCAGAGAGAGTACAGAGTAATTAATGCACAGATACTTGGTCACACCTAGTGAGTTTGAATGTGTTTTGCTATTTGTCAATAAAAATTATATTACTTTGTCTGTTTCTTTGTGTTGGCAGCCAGTGGGGGAACATTTCAACCTCCAAGGACGTTGCTGTAAGGTTTTACAGAAAAGTTGCATTCTGAGGAGGGCTAAACTCATTCCACAAATAAGAGCTGGTGTTGCTGACTCCCAGCTTGATGCATAGCCAATGCATAGGCATCTCTTAGTGTAGCTGCTAGTAGCTGTCAGTGGAACCACCTCCAACAGCTGGAAAAACTTGGATTTTTATCTCAGCAGCTGGTAAAATCACGTATGGACTATAACAATCTCAAAAACAATTGGCTAGTGCTTGGAATGAACAAGTTCAATGTGCACTGAATTAGTTTGAAAAACATCTGAACTACATGAGAAAGTAGTTCCCATAATTGCTGGGTAAACTGAACATGACTTCAGTTGATGTTGGGGCAAAATGAAGAATGATTTCTGGCTCATCTTCAAGTTCATTGCCACTTTCTAAATGCTTTAGAGTATTTATACAAACAAAATTGGGGTTTTTCTCAAAAACCAAGAAACAAAAAAAATTAAATAAAAAGCACATATCCCTCAAAAACAAAACAAAACAAAAACAAAGAAAGAATAAGAAGCACCGATCTGGAGTTATTTGTGGCAGGAGGACACCCAAAACTCCCTCTACTCTACTCTACTCTACTCTACTCTACTCCCTCTTTGTTGAAGATGAACCAGTCTTTCTCAGTTTCATAGCATCCTAAAATACAAGGAAATTTGTGGGTATGTGTATGCTTACTTCCAGAGAAAAAACCCTACCCAAAGGCTCAGGCTTCCCTTACCCACCCACCCAGCTGGTGAAGTAAAGAAAAGATTAATCATTACACCAAGGAGGCTGAGAGAAAACAGGCTTGTGGTTCAGGTTTGGACAATTAAATCTGGACTGTTGCTTATAGCTTTCCCACGCCTGGATTAAATGATTTTTTTACAACTAAAATTAGAACAGTTGGGGAAATAATTGCAGTAGGGAGGATTCAGAAAAAAAAACCATTTCTTAAAATTTTAATATTTATAATTTTATTGAGATTATTAAAGTCAAGAAGGGAAAAGGAAAGAATAGCAATCAAAGGAGGAAGGGAATACGTTAAAACATTTTTAAAAGCAGAAATAACAAAATAACCATAAAATATACTAAAGGCTACAAAACTATATAGTATATTTTTGCATGGATAAGCATGTCTCGCAGGATCCCACCCAAGAAGACATCTGTGTTACATCTTGTTTAATTTGAACTGATTCTGATTTTGATATCTCTTCATTAAGATCAGTAACTCTTTGATCCAGGGCTGTAATTTTAAGATTCAACTTTGATAATTTATCCTTCAGATATTAATTCTGCATCACAATTTACTTAAGCGTATCAGCAACAGGACTCTCTGAAGCCATTTCTCTTCTCTTCTTTTCTCCATTCTTTATGTTTTCCTGCTGCAAATTTGCTGCATGTCGGAGGGGGAGACATCCATCGTTTTAACACTGACAGGTAGGATATAAGAAACATCTTACCTGGACAAAAATTGTCCAGGCAGGCTACTGATTAAGCGTTGTTACAATAGGGCTGCCTTATGTCTGGGATTCGTCCGTTGGAAGTAGTGTCCAGGCAGAATTCTTGAAAATTGGTAAAAATGTCTGTGAAATGTCAGAAGTGTTGATTTTTGGGGGTGAATCTCCTTACAAATAGCTCAAAACCCTTTTTGTTTTTGGGAGATTTTGGCAAAAAAAGCTCATCAACTTTGCCCTCCCCATCTCTATAACTTTGCCCCCCCCCCCCATAAGCGAAAAGCTCAACAACTTTTGTCTCCAGATTTTCACTTTTTGAAATATGGCAACCCTACGAGTGCTGAGCTGAAGAGTAATAAAGGGAGCATGCTAGGATGCCATCTTGCAAGACCAGAAGTTGAACTTGTGAAGAAAGCAATAGGTTGATGCTGTGGTAGAAAGATGAGATTATGCATGTTGTACCTGGATGTCTCTTCCCAGGTAGATGTATTGGCTGTTTACTTGCGTCTCTTGGGCTCAGCAGCCTTTGCCAGAACTTTCTCTGCATCTTTCACAGCGTTTTCCAGGAAATTCTTCAGCAAGTAGAATGTGGTAGCAAAAGAACTGCCCCCACCATAGAGAGACCCCAACACAGGTATGAAATCCAGAACCTGCTCTACCACTGTGATTGCTCCCCACATTGCTGACCTCTTCAAGATATCCATGACAAATTCTGTTGTGATCATACCGGCGCTTGGGGTATGTTCAATAACAGATTTCAACTCCTCAACAGGTTTCCCCACACGATTTGCTAGTATATTGAGGGAATTTTCATCCAAGCCAAAATCTTTGCAGATATGTATCATTGTCGAAACCACAATGCCAACGTCACAACCAAGCCCGAGAAATGAGAGAGGAATCAACCCAACACTACAACTCACAATGGCTTTTTTCCATATCAGGCTCTCCATAGCAGCCTTTTTCTTTTTAATGCTATCTTTTGTTAAAGACATAATTGGTAGAGACATAATTAAAACATCTCTCTTGATTTCATCCTGTTCCTTTTCAATGGTCTCTTGAAGGAGGGGGAAATCATACTTGCTCAAATCCCACCTCGATATTAGAAAGACCCTTGGAGAAGACACACCTAACGCCTTCAATTTATCATAGCTATCTTTCCGTACAGCGTCAAGAGTTTCCTTCTCAGACTGCATCATCTCATGGGTGTCCTCCACATCGATGCCTTTTGACCGCCTGTCATTATCTATATTGATATCCACTTTGCTGCGCACATAGTAGAATTTCTTCTTATTTTTCTGGATCTCAAGAGCCAATTTGGTGTCATCCTCAGTGAAGCGTCCCGAGGAGACGATGATGAAAAAATCATACTTGCTAAAATTAACCTTCTTTAGGTATTCCTTTGCACTAAATTTAGTTGTTCCAATTCCTGGTAGATCCCAAATTTTGACTTTGGGGAATGCGGGGTGTGTATATTCTTGTGGCACCATTGTTGTTACTGTCACCCCAGTCAGAGCTGCACCCTTTTCATCATCTTTCATTCCTCGCAGGGCATTGACAAAAGATGATTTCCCAGCACATGCTCTTCCTGTGATGGCAATTTCCAACGTGACGTTATTTAATAAATTTGACTGCTGTTGAGCTTCAGCTGAAACAGCTTCAAATGTTTTTTTCTCCAAAGCAGCCTTCACTTCAGCAAGGTCTTTTTTAATGGTTTCTAATGTTATGGCAGGATCCATGACAGGGATTCCTTGTGGCTCAGTTTATCTGAGAAGGAGAAGAAAACTCTAATAGTTAAATGATATCTTTCCACACACTTTTCTGGTTATCTTTACAATCCATGGTTTATGTGGGAAAATCAATTTACTTAGGACATGTCTCTGAGACCAGTGGGTTGTTTGAGGGGCAGTTGGTAGTATTTCAATCAATCTCTCACAAATCTATGTGTGCATGAGTTCACATATAACCCTTAAAACATATTTATGTGAGATGTGGAACTTTTTTGAACTCAAATTGTTCATTCCTCTATAGTAGGCATGGTCAAACCTGGCCCTCCAGCTGTTTTGGGACTACAGCTCCCATCATCCCTGACGACTAGTCCTGTTATCATCTGGAGGGCTGAGTTTGGCCATGCCTGATGTAGAGATTTGACTAAAGGGAGCATTTACTCCTTTTTTTTTTTTTTTTGCTAAAACTTTGGATAAAACACTTCATAAATAAATTCACTGTGCATATCCCTAGTATATTCTGGCCAAGTCTTTCCCTGCCACTTTCACAAAAGTCACCAATAAAATGATGAATATTTTTAGAAATGTCAGCAAAGGGGAGATGAAAAAAGGAGTCAAAGGGTCAAAATAAGTGATGCAGAAAGAGCCCAGAAATATTCTTAAAGGTCATTAATACTGGGGAAAATATCCACATTGCATTCTTGTCAACTAACTTTTATTCACTGATGACTCAATGAAATTAATAACCATGCCTAAGGTCCATTAATTTTAATAGATTTACTCTGAGTAAATGTTAGTTGAAGACAACCCATTATCAGCAACATTATCTTGTCCTGAAAGCCATATAAATATAATGAGTAAATAAATGAAATACAGCTAAAGGAAAAAAAACGTAAAATCCTTTTTAGAATTAAAGACATCCGAGGACCTAACTGCATGATACTTAAGTGTGGGGTGTTATCAGTGGAGTTTTGTTTGTCTGTCTGTCTGTTTTAATTGATATGGGGAGGCGATTTTGCAGCAGGACTAAGGTGTATGGAGAAGGGAAGTTTCATATTTCGTACCACAGTCATGGAAGGATACGGAAAGCCCCAAAAGGGCGACTTGGGAAAGTCGTAGAAACATAGAACTGTAGAGTTGGAAGGGACCCTGGGGATCATCTAGTTCAACCCCCTGCAATGCAGGAATATGCAGCTGGTCCATACAGGGACCTAAAACCTTGGATTTATCAGCACCATGGTCTAACCCACTGAGCTATCCAGGCTCATCAGGCAGCACCAACCCAGAACCGAGAGAACCTCCAGCATCTTCTGCCCTGCCCTGCCTCAAACCCTTGCCATGCAGTTTCTCTAATCAGAAGGAGCTCACAGATAGGGCACAGCTGTGGTCCTGCTGCTTTCTTTCAGGAATAATACCCATCAAAGGGGGGGGGTGTGCTCTGCAGAGGGATATATTGAATTAACACGCGAAAGAGAGACCGGTCGCATTGGCTTCAGGGCTTAAAGTAGACCAGCTACTTGTGGCATGTTATTTATTCCCTTTGCCACGGGTAAGAAGTGCAGCCTTCTAGAACATCATTGTTGGTAATAATATAATTGTTTACAATACGATATGATCAGTCTTTTTTTCGGGGGGTGTGACGCAGGGGTACACGTACCCCTAAACATTTTGTTGTTACCACCTCCGATGGTGGGTTCCTTTCTTTCCCAGAAAGGAATCAGGAAGATGTTAGTGCACACAACCTCATGCCAATGTGGAAGTTACTGTGAGCTGTGTAATATGAGGTAATGCATGTTCTTTGTACTTCTGTCCATTTATTGTATTTATTTTTCCCGATTTGAACTATGAAAAGGTGGTTTTGAATAGTCAAATGAGAATACTCCTAAACTTTTTTTTTTAAAAAAAACCCACTGGATATAATATGATATGATATATAATATAATATAATATAATATAATATAATATAATATCACAATAGCTATAATAGAATTAATGTAACAACAATAAAAAGGGAAAAAAGGTAAAAGGTAAAAATAAAAAGGTAAAAGGTAAAAAAACCCCAGCAACAACAATTGTTCTGCCAAGCAAGAAGCTCAGAGTCTCCTTTAACACAAACATCTCAAAAATAAACGGACATCATGAGAAATGTTCAACTCCTTACCTGCTGCTGAACCGATTTTTTGCAGCCAAGCTCAGTCGTCTCCTTGGAGGTTCTGCTTCGAGGTTTCTCGCGCTTTTCTCTTACCTTCTCTCATTGTTTGCCTCTTTTATACCCTCTCTCCCTCCTGATCTTCACACCACTAAAAGCAAAAAAGAAAGTGAAGGTAACCAGCGAGGATGAGATAAGATCGCAACAAATAGCCGAAGCCCCATTCCTGGCCAGAGTCCAAGCAGCCCGTTTGCCAGCGGGGACGCTGCCTTTTCTGGGAAGTCCCAAAGGATCACCTGTGGAAGCATCCCATGGAAGTATTCCTTCACCTCTGCTGTTGTTGCCTCTGTGCCAGTCTCAGCAGCACCTGAGTTGTCTGCACTTAAGCCGCCTGGCATTGATGAAGGAGGACTACCCAGAGCCTGGGCTTCCTGCTACTGCAGTGTAGAATATTTGCAAAGGAGCTACAAATTTCCCAGTTTTTTTAACCTTCTAGTTAATCAGGTGCATTCATTTCAGCTGGTGTGCTCTGAGCATGAGTAATGTTGGATAAAATCCTTAGGCTGGGGTGTAAATGGCAGGCTGGGGAAGCAGAGCAGCGCTATGAGGAGAATTCGGCTGATCAGGACACGTGGCGTCCATGGTTGCACAACCAGACCAGCATCTGCAGCACATCAGATGCGCACTGGGCACAGACTTATTAATATAAGAATGCAATGACAACAAGGTTCTGCCTCATGTCTGAAGTGCATCAAGTTCTTTCTTCCAACGGGCTCTCTGCATAGACCTCTCCTGTTATTTGCATTAAAAAAGATGGGGGTGGGGGTTGGCAGTGAAAGGATTGCATTAGCATGTGCAGAGAAACACTGTTCTGCTTAGGGAGCCCTTTCAACACTAACTTGTCTCCTGAGGGCCTCCTGCACATCATTTGTCACGTGACCCATTTGCATTGCAGAAAATTCTGAGAATGGAAAATCATCATGGAAAGGTCTTACCCAAATACCTTCAGTGAAGAGGAAGTCCTTGAAAAGATGAGGAATGACTTCAAGAAGCAGCTTGAGAAGTGGTTCAGGAACACCTTCCCTCAAGTCTTTTTGATCTCCTCCTGGGACCTTCGCAAGTATGACTTCCCCCGACTGGTGGAGACATTGGAGAAAGCTCTGCCCTGCCTGAAGAGACTTGCATTCCTGCTCAGCCTTCCCAACTTTTCATCTGAGGTCATAGAAAAGAAGAAATCTGCGCTGAAGAGCCACCTGTGGAAAATATCTCTGGCATCTGCTGGCATCAATGAGATTCCCATTCCGGGCCTTCCTCTGGCTTCTGATGTTGCCCTCTTGTGTGGGTCCATGGTTGCCTTCTACAAGAGATTTGAGCTGGCTCCTTTGCTAGGCTGGCCAAATTGGCCAGGAAGCCTGTTGAAGAACTGAAGGCTGTGATTAAGTCTCCTCAGAGGAAAGAAATTACCAGGGATCTGGTTATAAAGAAAATAACCGATTATGCAAAAGAATTATTCCTGCCTTCGCTAGTTAGAAGCTTGGTAACAGCAGGGGTGTCTTTTGCCACCACTTACTGGATGCTGTCGAGCTTCATCGATAATCTAGCTGAGGATGCTGAAAGGGTTCGAAAGAAAGCCCTAGGACTGGAAGAGTGTGAGGCAAAGCATCTCAGGGCCACGTAGAACTGGCACAAGACATGATGCAAGCCAAGGTGGGGTAATAGGAGCTGCTGCTGCTGCTGCTGCTGCTGCTATGGCAAGTCTTCCCACTTTGGCACCACTTTTCATACCCATTTTGGCTGGTTCTAGAGACAATGGAGCAGACCCTATAGCTGATTTGCCTTATCGCAATACGACACAATCAAGTTCAGATGTAAAATAGGCACATTTGTTATATTAACGTAACATGCTATTGAAACCTTCTGTGTAACTTCTACCCAGGTAGAAGTTTAAGAAAGAGAATTGTTTGATTTCGATGTAGTTTTATTACATGTTGCTAAAATTATTTTGTTAGATGATAGTAGGCAATAATCAAAATTACTTTAGAAGTTGAAGTGCAGGTATTTTGGACATATAGCTTTTTCTTTTCTAAGGTTGCAGATTTTGTGGAATGTAATCTTGCTTTCCTTCGATAATTGAGAAAGCTTAGAAAAATTACTTTCATCAAAGGCAAAAAATGGGAATAAATATCCATTCCTTTGAGCACCCCCTCTTTCATTTGACCCATATAATATTTTGCTCCCTACCCAATTCTAGCCTTGCTGATTCAGGCAATTTTAATTTAGTTAAGATTTAGTCAAGGTTTCTCAGCTTTAACAATATTTTAGATCTGTAAAGGTAACATATTATCATGTTTTTATGTTATTAACCTCATTTATTTTATTTTCTGTAGTGCTCAATTAAGTTTCACCAAGTAAAGGAAATGTGTTTCCTACGTGCCTGAAGGCTTATCCTTGAACACTGAATTTTCTGTGTTGATATGAAGGGGGGCTCATTTCGTTGTAAAGGGAACTGAGATGAGAAATTTGATTGCTGCTTTGTAGAAATCGAGCTTAGATTTCCCCCTGAACAAAGCAAAACCGTCACACTGCCTGCTCTCCTTTCCCCTTTTACTTTCAAAATGCTTTGCTGTCACTAATGCAGCAGCCCCTCTTTTCTCCCTTGCTTTGCGGAAGAGGGTCATCTCTCAAAGGGAGACATTCTGGGTTAGGTGGCCGGGGAGAGTTGCCTGCACACACAAGTTTCCACAGGGGCTAGAAATTGTTTTAAAACATAGTTAAAAGTTCAAGATTAATAAACTAAGGACTTGCAACTACTTCGAACTTTTTGTTATCATATTCTTTCAGACAACAACAAAATACCCCAAACGGTTGAAATAGGTCTTAATGGCATTTGATATCCTTACTACCTGCCTCGCACCCCAGCAGTCTCCTTGCCTGAGCCAAAAGAGCTTCTCGGGGGTGGTGGGGTTGAGGAGTCATTGACTGCTGGTTTGGGGGGACTTCAGCATCCATGCCAAGGTGACCAGCTCTGGGGTGGCTTAGGACCTCATAGCTGCCATGACAACCATGGGGCTGTCCCAACATGTCAACAGCCCAATCCATGTGGCAGGCCACACTCTGGACCTTGTTTTCTCAACTGGCCAAGAAGAGCGTGATCTGAAAGTGGGGCATAGCGACATCAGTCCCTTGTCATGGTCAGATCACTTCCTGCTGAGATTTAGGCTTTCAGCACCTTTTCCCCTCTGCAGAGCTGGGGGACCTAATAGGATGGTCCGCTCTCAGAGATGGCTCTGGGGGACTTCCCATTCTGCCTTAGTACCAAAATAGACACACGATAGGTACGTTGGGTTCAGCTTAGGGCGACCTCATTTAAGTTTCGTTTTCTCAGAAATCACCTGTTTGAGAAGATGTGTGCTGGTCAAGCGGGGGTGTAATTTATGCTCCAAGATAACAAAAAGCCACGACTACTTTCCCCTTTCCAAGATTAAGTGGGGTAAATAAGTAATCAGCAAGAGAGCATTTATTGCTCTGTTGCTGAGCAATACATGATTGCACCGGTTTATTATTTTTTTGATCATATCTCAGAGTCCCAAAGATGCATAGTGATAGCAGCATTCTGCCATAGGGAATTTTATTAGCGTCAGTCATTTCTAAACTCTTACCGCAGTACAGTGTGTCAAAAGATTTCAGATTAAAATTTCCACTGCTGGCACTGAGAGCGGGGGACAAGAAATTCCCGCTGCAGACACTTCTCAGTTGGCTTTGCAGATGCAGCTGCTACCTGCCTGTCCGGTCTGCAAGGAGAGGGAGTTGGAGGGTGGGGGTGGCAAAGAGCTCCAGCTCCCAAAGCTACACGAAGGTGGAGGACCATCTGGGGGAAGGGAAGGTGAGTCTCTCTGCGTGAGGCTGAAGGAACCCGTGCCTGGTGCCCCCCTGTATTATGTCCCCTAGGGCTGAGGGTGTCAGATAAGACACAGGCTTTGCTGTCAGTCTAGGATCACTCTGAGGAGAGTTTGGTGTCCTTCCTGCCTGCCTGATTTGCAAAGCCAGCATGTCGTGCAGGCTCTAAAGCCGCTCTGCACCCTGCAGAATGTTATAACTTTTCTAAAAAATAAACTATTTCTTCCTCATGTTCAATCTTGTAATTTGAATCTTGTAATAGTTCCGGCCCTACCCTCCAGAGCAGAAGAAAACAAGCTTATTCCTTCTTCTGTGTGACAAGCCTTCAGATATTTGAAGATGGCTATCGTATCTCTTCTCAATCTCCTCTTTTCCAGGATACACATACCCAGCTCCTTCAACTGTTCCTCATAAGGCTTGGTTCCCAGAGCTTTGATCATCTTGGTCGCCCTCCTCTGAGAATGGAAAGGCATCCTAAGGCATGTTATATGGGTTCACATGCTCAGACCTTTCAGGTTTCACTGTCAGGGTCCATAGGCTGGGAATGTGCATAAACTCACAGATAGGCTGTGCCTTGTTGTATCTGTGTACTGAAGATCAGAAGTGATGACCGTGTATCACCGGTTTTGATCTTGAAATGACAGACATACTTCTGATGGGAGACCCCTGAAATAAATAAATTAAGGTCTTATGTATATAATAAAGGTTCATAAATGTACGAGGCAAACACGTACATAGATATATAGGCCACATGTCTGAAGCTGCACAGGAGAGCAGCCATGGAGCCATTTTGACTCCCAGGCTGACCAGGGGTTTTCTCAGCAAGGTCAAATGGAGGAGCCTCCCCATTGTCTTTTCCTTCACAAATCCTGTCCTAAGGGTATGTCTGTGTATGAACAGGCTAAGCCTGTGACTTGGCTCAGGAACTAAGTACTTATCATTACAAAAGACTGGCCAGGCTGCCCAGGGTATCAATCCAGTAAACATTAACAGGTAACTTGCCAGACAGTAGGTAAACAACCCACTCAGATTTCTGCCTTAGCCCACCCCTTCTGTGATGTAGGTATGATGTTTCTGGGGGTGGTCTTTGACTCCAAGGTGGGCAATTGAAAATGTCTATATAAGGGCAGACACACCTTGATTCTGGGTCCTCCTCTTTTCCTGTGTGTGATAAAGATCAGGCATAAAAGCTGCTTTGCTTCTCAATATACTCTGGTTGGCCTCTGTTTCTTCCTCCGGCCGATGGAGAACCTACAAAGGACTCTATGAGGGCTCTTGTGTCCCCCATAAGGGAATAAGGGCAGATTTTCGTTTATTACACCCCAAACAGAGACTGAAAACCCCCATGTAGTTTAAAATCACCAAGGTACTTTGAGCTTATCTCTGACAAAAGCCTAATAAAGTGGTACAGGCACATATTTCTTACTAAATGCTCTGCTGCTGATTATTTGCAACTTTTTATCCTGCATAACCTTGAAAGGGGAAAGTAGCTTTGGGTTTTTATTATATTGTAGCAGAAATTACATGCTGTTTACAAGTTTTCCTCTCCCCTCCCTTGCCCAGCACATAGTTCTGCTTTCTGAGAAAACAAAAGCTAAATGGAGTCGCTATAGGTTCTCCTTCTTGTAAATCATTTCTTGGACTGTGCTGGGTCATGACAGAGAGCAAAAGCTAGCAGTGTGAGGCTCACACTTCATCAGAACTCAGGAGGAATATGATGATATGATACAAAGACTTTAAACAAATGACATAATTTATAAATAAAAGCACCACTGACTCAACAGATTTCTTTCATCGCTTCCATTCCTGTTCATCTAGAATTGACCTCTTCTGCATTCATCTTCCACACCCATTTTTAAAATTATATTACAGTGGTACCTCGGGTTAAGAACTTAATTCGTTCTGGAGGTCTGTTCTTAACCTGAAACTGTTCTTAACCTGAAGCACCAGTTCAGCTAATGGGGCTTCCTGCTGCCACTGCACCGCCGCTGCACAATTTCTGTTCTCATCCTGAAGCAAAGTTCTTAATCCAAGGTAATATTTCTGGGTTAGCGGAGCCTGTAACACGAAGCGTCTGTAACCTGAAGCGTATGTAACCGAGGTACCACTGTATTAATGCTAATACTCCAGAGGGAGTCCGTTCCACTGTCAAAGAGCTCTCGCTCTCAGAAAGTTCTTCCTTGTGTTTAGTCAGAATCTCTTTCCTTGTAGCTTGAAGCTGTTTGTCCAGGTCTGACCATCTGGAGCCGGAGAAAGCAAACTTGCATCGCCCTCCATATGGCAGCCCTAGAGATATCTGAAGATGGCTATCATATCTCAGAGTCCAAAAGTCCCATGGTGATAGGTGAATTCTGCCACTGGGAGTTTTACTAGTGTAAACAGTTTCTGAACTCTTATCGCAATACACTGTGTCTAAAAGTTCAGATTAAAATTGCCACTACTGGCACTGTGGGCTGGATAGGAAAAGATCCTGCTGCAGCCGTTTCTCAGCTGGCTTTGCAGATCCAGCTGCTTCCTGCCTGCCCGGTCTGGAGGGGGTGGGGAAGGGCAACAGCTCCCCCGGCTGCAGGAAGCTGGAGGACAAACTGGGGGAATGGAAGGCGAGCCTCTCTGCGTATGGCTGTAGAAACCCTGGAGTGTAGCAACGCCATGATCCCTTGCATCATCTCCTTCTCAGGTTGAGGATGGCGGATGAGACAAAGGCTTTGCTGTCCATTTGGAACACTCTGTGGGGAGTTTGGTGTCCTGCCTGCCTGCCCGGTCTGCAAAGCCAGCTTCTTGCTCTAACGTCGCTCTGCACCCTGCAGAATGTTAGAACTTTTCTAAGACGTCCTAAACCCCCACAGCTTTAAAGCCCTTCCACTTTATGCAGCCTATCAATGTAACAATGCAAAAGTCGACAAGGAAGCCATCAAGGAATAATATTTATATTCTGCCTTTCAGCTCTAAAAGGAGCCCCACCTAATTAATTCTGACTGTTTCTTTCTTTGCTCACTTTCCCATATTTCAACCATTCCTGCTATGTATTCAGCAGTGAACGGTTGCTTGAAAGGACAACAATCAAATATACAGTGAGTGGAACCTTGGTTCTTGAACTTCATCCATTCCGGGTGTGTGTTCGATTCCCGAAACCATTCAAAATCAAGGCGTTGCATCCGATTGGCTGCAGGAGCCTCCTACACTCAAACAGAAGCCATGTCGGACGTTCAACTTCTGAAAAACGTTCGCAAGCCGGAACACTTACTTCTGGGTTTGCAGAGTTCAAGAGCTGATTTGTTCAACAACTAAGCAGTTCGTGAACCAAGGTACCCCTGTATATCAGAGTTTCTCTCTCCAGGAGAAACCCTCACCAGGACAGGAAGTCCAATTTATGCAGTTTGAAAGCTTCTCATCAAAGCATTGCAGCCATTTCAGGGGGTTTAGGCAGGAAAACTGAGAGGCAGATGAAGCTGTATAGGAATTTCAAGAACATTTGTTGAAGCTAATTACTTAAGGCTTTGTAATAACTATAATGTTGCCTGCACCCCAATTTCTGTTCAGTAAGAGATTCCAGGGGTTCCAGTGCTAACCCAGAATATGGTTTCCTTTGAATGCTCAATGGAGTTAAACACTAATGCGAGTAGCTTGAACTGGGCCTGGAACTGAACTGGCAATCGATCCAGCTGTTTTAAAAGAGGAGTTAGATGCGGAAGGCATTAACTGCTGCAATATTTCTGTTCTTATTTAGGTGTGATAAATCTCAGAGAAGAGCAGCCATGGCTTGTAAGAGCAGCAAACAAGACACATTAGCTCAAATGAATCAGCCATCTGGCAAACGTACCCTTGATATCGCCATCGTAGGGGACTCAGGTGTCGGCAAATCATCCCTGGTCAATGCCCTGCGAAATATGGCAGACGATGAGGGTGGTGCAGCTGCGGTCGATGTGATAAAAGGTACTAGGGAACCAACGGGGTACTTGTACCCCCAATATCCAGATGTAACCCTTTGGGATCTACCAGCTGAAGCCAAACTTTATTCAATTACATGTCTTCAACTCAATATGAAAGCAAAGATGTTTAATGTTTCTTTTTTCTGTGCTATTGTGGCTGTACCTTTATAGAAGGATGCAGAGACCATACCTGCCCTCACCTTCCTCTTAATAGCAGTATTGTGGGGAGAAGGATTATCATCAGAATCATGGGATGGGGAGGGAAAGTTTCAAACTCTCCTTGGCCTGCAAATCCCTTCTGGGCTGTAGAGCTGACTGGGGAAGCGCTGAGAGTGCACAAAAGGAGGCTGGACAGCAGAAGTTAACAGTTAGAAATCGAGAAATCGTAGAATTCGAGCATGCATTTCCCCCCTGAACAAAGCAAAACTGTAACACTGCCAACTTTCCTCTCCCCCTTTTACTTAAAAAATGCTTTCCTGACACTAATGCAGCAGCCCCTCTTTTCTCCCTTGGTTTGAGGGTCATCTCTCAAAGGGAGACATTCTGGGTTAGGTGGCCGGGGAGAGTCGCCTGCATCACAGGGGCTAGAAATTATTTTAAAACATAGTTAAAAGTTTGAGATTCATAAAGTTAAGGACTTGCAGCCATTTTGAACTTTTTGTTATGGCATTCTTTAAAACATGAGTCTCGCTTCCTCGTTCAGTCTGAGGATAGTAGAGCCTACAGACAATTTGGGCTATGAGGGATTTTGTGAACTTGGGTTTTGCATGTGTGGTTTTGCTGTTTTGGTTAAAACACACTGAAATATAACGGTCATGGCCCACTGCAGCAGCTCAGGAAGATGCATGGCTCGTAGTTGACACTTTATTGGCAAGAGAAACACTGACAGCAGCTCCCACAGGGCGACTTCTTCTGCACGGAAGCCGCTGCTGCTCATTCCTCTTCAAGCCCCTCCTGGTTCTAGGAGATGGCGGAGCAGGGGAAGGCGGGGAGTCAACTGGCCCATCCCTTGCCTGAAGAGTTTCTTCTTCCTCCACCGCATCCTGCCCTAACTCTTCTTCTTCTTCCTCCCCCTGGTCTGGCTCCCATAAACCAGTGGCTCCCTTTCCTGGGTCAGCCTCCTGGCCCCGTCTCCACCACATTCACAATCACTGACATCTATTCTCTGAGGAAGAATAAGCCAAGACGTTATGTTGCCTGAGGTGAAGGGCAAGATGTCCACTGCCCCTCCCTCCATTCCATGGGCAGAAACCAACTGGATCAGCCACTGAATGACTTCAGAACACGGGCAATGGGGCCCTGACCTCTCCTCACCTGAGGGAAATGGCCTTAGGGGACTTAGGCAGGCTGTTTCCAAAGGGGTAGCCATGTCGGTTTGTTGAAGCAAAAATAGCAAAGGCAGACCCTCCAAGTATCCGTATTTTCCAGGGATGTCCCTGATTTAGAGAAGCCGCCCTGGTTTCTGATTTGATCCCAGAATGTTCCGCTTTTCCTTAGGATGTCCTTATTTTCATTGGAGAAATATTGGAGGGTATGGAGTTATCTGGCTCCTGAGCTGCCTGAAGGCAATCTTGTATGGGGAAGTTATTTAAATGTTTAATGTTTAATGCTTTATTATGTCTTTATATTTGTTGGTAGCTGCCCAGAGTGGCCAGCTAGCCAGCATGGCCAATGAAGCCCAAAACATCTGGAAGGCATCAGTTTGAGGAAGGCTGTAGGGATCTTCCAGATGTCCTTTTTATTGAGCATTCATATCTGAGCTCATACTGGGGTGATTATACGTGATCCCACTTTCAATACCCTTTGCATCTGCAAATGTTTTGGGATGGTCATACTGCTTCGTTTGCAATAGGCATGGGTCCATAGTTTCCTGCTAAAGCCAGTGTGGTGTAGTGGTTAAGAGCGATAGACTCGTAATCTGGGGAACTGGGTTCGTTTCTCCGCTCCTCCACATGCAGCTGCTGGGTGACCTTCGGCCAGTCACACATCTCTGAAGTCTCTCAGCCCCACTCACCTCACAGAGTGTTTGTTGTGGGGGAGGAAGGGAAAGGAGAATGTTAGCCGCTTTGAGACTCCTTCGGGTAGTGATAAAGAGGGATATCAAATCCAAACTCTTCTTCTTCTTCTTCTGCAACTTTTTTTGTAGCACAAATGTTGATGGGTGTGTATGTTGCCCACTTTTGTCACACTACAGAGCAAGAGTGACCTTCCAGATGGCAATAATAACAGAGTGACATTGGGGAAGTGTTGCAGAACTATTAATAGAGTGGAACGGTATCTGAATGGCCCACTATAAACCACCCACTCATGCATTATTACTGTGTCAATGACATGTTGTCTCAAGGCAAATCTAAAAAAAATGTAGTATAAACACTGACTACTGGGAAACACTGGCATGCGAGCGCTCCAGTTGGAGAACAGCCTTTACCAAAGGTGTCATGGGCTTTGAAGACACTCGAACTCAGGACACAAGGGAGAAACGTGGTAAGAGGAAAGCACACTTGGCAAATCCACACCATGATTAACTCCCACCTGGAAACCAATGTCCCCACTGTGGAAGGACGTGTGGATCCAGAAGTGGCCTCCACGGTCATTTACGGACTCACTGTTAAAACCATGTTTATGGAAGACAACCTTACTCAGCCCAGAGTGATTGCCAAAGAAGGAGGGGGGTCTAGATAATTCACAATATTTCTCATTTATGAGACTTTCATGGAAAACTGAAAGCTGATTAATAAGGGTGGCCAGGAGATTAATTTAACCAATTAGTTTATTTCATGAAAGCTTATACACCGTTTGATTCTAATAAAACCTCAAAACTGTTTGCAAAAAGATAAAACAATAAAATCAGGGGGGAAATTACAGCCGTGCTTTAAGATATGCAAGAGTTAAAATACTAAAACAGACTAAAATTACCTCAACTTTCTATTTCACAAATGTGGAGGCTCCTGTCTAGCTGAATGCCCTCCTTCAGTTTGAGTGTGTCTGAGGGAAAGAACATTCTGAAATAGATGTTGCATGGGACTTGTGATACAGAGCTAACTCCTGTTCAAATGCAGCATATATATATAGAGAGAGACAAAGAGAATGCTGCAGCCTGCATAAATTATAACTTGAGACCATCCTTGCAAGCAGGTTCACATAGGTCACTAGTTTTTTCTAGTCTGACATCATATACAGAGCAATTCATTAGTGGACTGAAAGAAGTATGAATAGGAAAAAGTCCATTTGTCCCAAAGTCTCCTTTCAGTATTGGTCTTAATTCTTATACATTGGATAGAGATACTAATTTTTAAAAGTAACTGAAAGGGTATTATGCTGGCATTCAGATTATTTAACTTAGGGTTTTTTTTAAAAAAAATGAGAAGCCTAAGATTTATGGAATTTTTACAATAAAAAACCTGATCATCTGATTATTATTATTTTAATGTTTTTTGGTGGTGGTTGTTTTAAAAATGGAAACGTACAATTCACCAGATACTATATATCAAGCACTTAGTCATCATGGCACATCTGCTTGCTGCTAAATGGACTTTTCCCCCTCTGCCTCAAGAGCTTTGGACAAAACCCTCTTGGTGTCATCAGCAGCACCCGATATGCATTTCTGCAGCATGAAGTAGGTGCGAGGAAGCGAAATCCCTCCGGACAGAAGGCAGCCAAAGATGGGGAAATGCTCCCAGCGGTAATATTCATAAGCCATCACTGAGAGTCCCACCAAGTCTGGCAGCACCCATAACATGGCAGAGAACATTCCCAGGGACTGCATTGCTGCTTTAAGGGCTGTGCTTGTCTTTCCAACACGCTGGGCCAGAGCTGCAAGGGATCGATTGTCCAGGCCAAAGTCTAGGAAGCACCAGGAGCGGAACTTACTAAACAGAAATATGGGAAGAAGGAAGGGAACTGGGCTTCCAAGAGCGACAAGCAAACAAAGCCTTTTGGTCCAAATCTTCTCCTTCACAGTGGTTTTCTTTTTCTCTAAGATAGGCAGGCAGATGCTAGGGAAGCGGAGCAGAAAGGCTTGCCTCTTCAGCCGCAAGAGATCGTTCTTCAGCGTTTCCTGCAGGAGGGGGAAGTCAAAGCAGTCGGCTTCCCAGTTGGAGACAATGAAGACTTGTGGGTCCCTCACTCCTTCTCTTACCAAGCACTCTTTGCAGTCCTCCTGGATGTGCAAGAGGACCTTCTCCTCATTGTAGTCAGATGGCTGTTGCCTCCTGGCGGCCGACAGATCCAGGTCTGCTTTGGTGCGCACAAAGTAGAAGCTCTTGCCCATATCTTGGATTTCACGGACCAGGTCAGAATGGGTGGAGCGGAAGCGCTGGGAGCCGACGATGACGAAGAAATCAAAGTGATTCAAATCGACCTTCTTTTCAAATTTGTCCTCTCCAAAAGTTGCCATTCCCCTTCCGGGGTGGTCCCAAAGGATCACTTGCGGAAGTGTCGGGTGTGGGTAATCCTTGACTTGCACAGTCGTCATCTGTATGCCAGTCACAGCGGCACGTGGGTCATCGGCACAAAGACCCAGCATGGCATTGATGAAGGAGGACTTCCCGGAGCCGGGCTCTCCTACTACGGCAATGTGGAGCGGAGTGCTGTTGAAAAAGGGCAGTGGTTTTGCCAGCACGTGCGACACAGCACCTGCCAATTGGCCCTGAGAAATGGCTACCTCGAAGTCTTCCACCATTGTGGATCTTGGTGCTCTGCATAGAAAGGAAGCACGAAACGTTAAGCGACCGGCCTAATTGGAAGCATTCATTTAAGAGTGGCATGCCCTCTGTAAAATTTCCAGCGTCTGCAATATCATTATCATTTGCCAAGCAACAAAGCTTTACAGGTAGAAGATATGAATCATAGAAGGGACATCAGGAGCTGGAGTTGCTGAGACAGCATCTTAAAAAGCAGAGACATCACCTTGCCAACAAAGGTCCGTATAGTTAAAGATATGGTTTTCCCAGTAGTAATGTATGGAAGTAAGAGCTGGACCATAAAGAAAGCTGATTGCCAAAGAATTGATGCTTTTGAATTATGGTGCTGGAGGAAACTCTTCAGAGTCCCATGAACCGCAAGAAGATCAAACCTCCCATTCTTAAGGAAATCAGCCCTGAGTGCTCACTGGAAGGACAGATTGTGAAGCTGAGGCTCCAATACTTTGGCCACCTCATGAGAAGAGAAGA